TTGGAGTAAACCCAGGCTATAAGGCTAGCCCACCTGATTACAAGGGATGTGATCCAATGCAAAGGGGAAAACATCCGGTCAAATGTAAAAATGTCATGGATAAGTTAAACGCAGTTTAATGAATGAACAAATGTCAAAGCTGATAATTATAAACGTGATTCAAATACAGTGAAGAAATCTGAACAGAGAAATAATTCTTAGTAACCTTAATTACTTTATAAATAATGCATTTGAATGCTGTTTCTAATGATTGAAATATTCTTGCCTATTAATTAGTTTTATAATGAATAAAAGAAACTACTAAAACAATAAATACATTTAAATGCTTGAAGGGGTGAATGTTTGTGACGAAAAGAAATAAAATACGTTTCTTGTTATAAAATAATGTTTCAAGCTGTTGCATGGAAACGACTTTTGATAAACAAAACATTTTATGCAAGTTTTAGTTCGTCTGAAAAGTTATTAAAATATTTTAATTGTTCAAGATGTTCCGAACAGAGCTTCTTACTGCAATGGAACGTGATTCAAGTAACGTGTCATTAATATCTAATTATCAATCAGATGATTTGATTGAAAAGCTGAAGTTGTTGAATTACGAAAATCTTCTTTTGAAGTCAATGAAAATGAAGCCTTTGAGTAAATATTATTTCACAAAGGCAAAGAATTCTGGTGAACAATTCTTCTTATTTGTGTCAATATGTGCTTGGTTGATACGAGAAACAGGAAAATCTTTCGATCCACCTCAAGAATTTGATGATCCGAATGTTGTTATCTCGAAAATTATTCGCTCTCTCAGCGACATGGACATTGCCACAGATTTTCAGTCGAATAAACTTATTTCTGGAGCAGGGCCAATTTGCGTTTACGTTCTTGATTGTCTTGCAAGTAAAGTCATTAAAGTCTCAACAGTGCAAATTCAAAAGCCACAGATTAAAATCGAAGAAAATTCATCTCTTGACATCATTGAAAATGATTCGGAAATCATATTGGAAAAGTTAGATGAACAAAACATAATTGAGAGTGAAAGTGATGACGAACGCGAACGAAATTCCATTTATGACTTGAATCATCTTGAAAGGAAACGTCGTTCGAACAAGGACCCTGTGAAAGTTGATAGTCTTGCTGACAATGAAAATTTCAGGTTGACCACAATTTTCTTTTTTCTGCTTCTTTGATTTGATAATTTTCTTTCAGACTTGAGATGGAAAGAGTTTTACCGCAATTGAAGATCGTTGTTAAAAGTGACAACAGAGATTGGCGAACGCATTTTGAGCAAATTAAAAGTTTGCGTAACAATATCGAGCAGGTAACTTGTCGAGCTTCTTTAATATTAAAGATGTAAAGATTGACTAATGAACTCATTTTAGGTTTCTGACGATGCCCAAAATCAACTAAGAAAAATGCAAAATGAAATTGTTTTCGCTATGGAGAAAATTGAAAGCCGCGAAAAACATTTGAACAGAGATTTAAAAGATTTGATTAATGAATATAAAACTCTGTCGATTGAACATACAAGAGTTAACAACGAAATTAAACGAAATGATAAAGAAAAGTCTGAAATGGAAGAAAGTCGTGCAAGATTAACAAACGATTTGGAGAATGTCAAGATTCAAATGGAACAACGTGGAAATTCCATGAGTGATGGAAGTCCATTGATCAATATTAAGAAGGCAGTTGTCAGATTGAAGGAGGAAATTGCTGAAATGGATGTAAAAATTGGAGTCATGCAGCATACAATGACCAACGATGTCATTCGGAAACAAAACCATTACGCTGAGTTTGATCTCGGAACATCAAATGCTGCTTAAATATGTTTCAGCTCTGACAATCATCGATTGATTGAATCTGTTGAAAACAAGCATTGGCTTTGAATGAAAACATCAGTCAGATATTTTTAATTTGTTTTTATTTAAACACTCGTAGAATAAAAGTTTGTTGATATGAAATCAAACATCGCATTCGTCACGTTTATGAGCATTCAACGTTTGAAGAAAGCTAATGCTGAACTCGCTCAGAGCTTCTTCATCGCATCTTATTGTCGAATTCAAGGTTGCCATCTCGTCTTTGCCATTAAAAGATTTGTTTACACAAATATTCTGTTGCAATGACAACGAATTTAATTTTGTTAACCCATTAAAGGCGCCCGAGTCAATCAATTTAATTTTATTGTTTGCTATGAAGAAGAAAGATTTTAAACTTAAAAATTTATTTGAATATTTTAGTGACTTACCCAGTGACAGATGAACTAGAGATGTTAAACTGTCAAAAACATCTGATTCTATTTTCAAGATGAAGTTGTCATCCAAGTTAAGTGATAACAATTTTGCTAATCCATGAAAATTTAATTTGTGAATATCTCGAATTTTACAATAACTTGCTTTGTAAGCGATTAAATTTGGAAAAGCTTCTGAGATATTGTTTGGCAAATACCGAAACAAACCACCCACTTGAAAATCCACTGCTGTCACTGTGTCATTTTGAGATTCTGATAATGTTGTTCCTTTTTGACATATTCTCTGAGTTATGGAGCAAGTTTTGAAAGTTGTCGAGCTTGCATCTTTACAGAAATCAGAATGACATTCCTTGTCTTCTATGGTTGCACATGGCACTGTTTCACCATCGCAGTGAATTTCGACAGCAAAGATTAAAGTCACAAAAAATATTATTTTCCTATTTCAAATAAATCGAGAAATTTCTGTTCAAGTCTATCAAATAATTTATGAATTTAATAATCTTACAACATTGCTCCGTTTGGTAGAATATTCAGCATTCAACTGATCTCGGACAGAATTATCATAGTTCAAGAGAATATTTGTCAATATTTCGTGTACAGTGAACTCTCGATAGTAAATATCCTTCATGCACACACTCGAAATCTGAAACAAAATTCATTCGATACAACATTTCACTAGATATAACATCTGTTTTCCCTGTCTCTTTAGAGTATCTTATGTCGAGAGTTCACTGTACTTCTTTGATAGATAATGAAAGTCAACGATTACTTCACTTGCTTTTCAAAGAAATTTCTCAATTTGCAAAACATTTGATGAACTTATGACTTCTTCAGTGAGTTGACAATCCACAATAACTGAATCCATTTAAATATCTCATGAAAAGTTAAACATGTGAAGAATTTGCAACGATGTAAGAAAAATCAACGATAAACTTCAAAATAAAGACAGACAATCGAAGCTTTATTAAAGAAATGAGAGTTCATTCAATACCAAGTAAAGAGAGAGTGAAAGATAAGAAAAAAATTGACGAGAGAATAATATCAAAGGCAGGTATCATAACAACAATCACCTGTTTGGCTTTCACAATAAATAAGTAGTGAAAGTGTAACAGTAAGCAGGAAATATTGATTTTCCTTAGAAGTTTTCTGTCTCTATTGTCCCAAATAATAAATTAGTTTAAGTATGATTCCTATGAGTGCGGGTGTGTTGGCAAAGGTTTTTGTGTATGATTCAAGTAAAAATTGAAGATAAGCTTTGTCTCCACTGATAACAGTCGATAAAACAGTGTTGAAGTTAAATTCGTGACCTCAGCTTTGTTAAAGAGAAAATATTCGATTTAAAGCTTGAAATTATATTCGTGATTAAATTTCTGCAATTCACAAAAATATTTTAATACGATGAAAATATTTCTACTGTCGCCCACTCTTACATTCCGTAAGTTGTTTACAAAATAAACATAAAGATGTAAACTTTAAATGAATTTCATTTTCTTATCAGTTTTTTTCGTCAGTGTAAATGGTCTGAGTTCAGATTACAAATTAAACTCAAACTGTTCAAAGGGAATCAGTTATTGGTGCAATAATTTAATGTGAGCTTTCTTTCTATTCAAAGAATTTCTTGAGATTTAATTTCTTTTGCATTTCAAGAAATGCCAAGCAGTGTCGTGCAGTTGACTTTTGTATCACTACAGTTTGGGAAACTCATCGAGTTCAAAATGATTCGAACTTAATTTGCGATGATTGCAAAGAATGGGTTGACAAAGCCAGAAGTTTCATTAAGAAACAAGAAAATTCAGGAGAAATCATAAGCAGCTTGAAATGGACTTGTGACTTGATTCCAGTCGCTTCAATCGCATCATCTTGTGGGAACGTCGTCGATGAAAATTTTCCAGAAATCTTCAAAATGTTGGAATCGGCGATGGATCCAGACGCAATCTGTTCGAAATTATTCTTCTGTAACAACGCAGAGTACAGTGAAGCTCTCATTGAACCAAAAACTATTTCAAAAGAAACAAAGAAACTCTTGCCTTTGACTTGTGGCCAATGCAACCACGTCGGATCGTTAATGGAAAAGAAGTTTAACGAAGCAACTCGCGATGAAATCGTTGAAGGAATTTTGAAAATTTGTGGACAGTTCTCTTCATATTCCGACGCTTGTTCAAGCATCGTGTTGAAGAATTTCAATGAAATTTATTCAGTTATGAGAGACAATATCAAATCAAAGAATCTTTGTGACTTCGCCGATGCTTGTAATCGTCAACAGAACGAAGGAATTGTTGACATTATTCCATCAAATTTAGAAAGCAATCCAACCATTCCATGTCAACTTTGCGAACAAATGGTTTTACATCTTCGTGAGGTTTTCATTACCAACACAACAGAAATTGAATTCAAGAATATCTTGGAAGGTTTTTGTAGTCAAATGGGGAAATTTACAGACGAATGTATCAGCATCGTTAATCAGAATTATCATTTGATTTATACTTTCGTTGTTGAGAAGTTGGATGCTAATAAGACTTGTTCACTTGCTGGAATTTGTAAATCAACAGACATCGTTTGGCATGCTCCGTCCAAGCCTTTAGTACCAATTGATATTTACTCATCAGTTCCCAATAACTTCAAAGATTCTTCACTTAATCTCAATGAAAATGGAGCACTTTGTTCAACATGCAACATCTTGATAAATTATTTAAAACAAATTTTAGACAATAAAACAACGGAAGATAACATTGTACACATTATGGAGAATGCTTGTAAAGAACTTCCACATAAAACTCAAAAGGAATGTTCCAATCTTATAAATCTTTATGGAGATGCAATCGTTTCATTTTTGGACCAGAATTTGGATGCTGAATACATTTGTCATGAAATAAAAGTGTGCAGTAAAGCAAACGATTTAAGATTCGAGTACGAAACAAGTTTAGAAGAGAAACCAACATGTCCATTTTGTCTTCTTGCACTTCAAGAAGTTCGTGATGTTATCGCGAGTAATAAAACAAAAGAAAACATTGAAAGTGTTGTGGAGAAACTTTGTGCACACTTATCAGATAAACTTGTGAATGAATGTACAGAGTTTGTTAAGAAATATTCTGCTGAAGTTGTTGAGATGCTTCTTGCTGATTTCACACCACAAGAAGCTTGCACATTTATTAAACTTTGCAACGATACTAAAGTCGAATATAAGAAAGCAGTTATTGGAAGTGAGATTGACGTGATTGATGAAGATTTTGTTGCTATTCCAGCTGTAGAAACGAAAACTTTATCCAATCCACAATGTGAACTTTGCAAAGAAATTGTGAAGATTGTTGAAGAGCGCGTGATGAACAAAAAATCGAAAGATGAAATTCGACGTGAGCTCGAACAGTCTTGTTCTCGATTGAAGAAATTCGCTGACAAATGTAAGCAGTTTGTCGATCAATATTCCGATCGAATTGTTGACTTGATTGAAAAGGAGTTGGAACCGGAAGAAGTTTGTCGCGATTTAATTTTCTGTGTTGACGTTGACAATGAAGAATTTCAAGATTACGATTCTGGTTTGGATATTTTGATGCTTGCTGAGAGGCAAGTTGATGAAGCAATCAAAGACCAACCTCAATGTGTCATGTGTGAGTTCATCATGTCAAAGATTGATGATGAATTAAATGACAAAACAGTTGATAAAAAGCTTGAAGACATCGTCAGAAATATTTGCAATGATATGCCAAAAACAGTTTCAAAATCTTGCAACAAGTTCGTCGATTATTATTTCAACTTCATCATTGCATTCATCGAGACAATGAAACCTTCAGAAGCTTGTAAAGGAATGAAATTATGTCCATCAGTGAATTATCACGAAGTAATGATGGATGAAGTTAAGAAAGATGTTTACACTTGTGCCATTTGCAAAGGCTTAGTTGAAGGAATCAACACATTAATTGAAGATCCAGAAACTGACGTAAATTTAGAGAATTTCGAAGAAAAGTTATGCGAGAAATTTGCGATGAAATATAAATCAAAGGTTTGTTATTTCTCATGATTATGTTAAACAAATGAATCTTATTGTAATCAATCACATTCTTTCACAGTGTCATAATCTTGCCAACACTTATGGCTTGGCTATCATCAATCTTTTGAAAAGTATCACAGATCCCGAGCAAATCTGTTATAAGTTGGACATGTGCGCATTCAGTGGCCCAGACAGAGTTACGGGAATGATAAAGTTGTATTGAAGACTGATGGATGTGATGTTATGAAACGCTTGAGAAATCAAAAACGACGTTAATTCCTAATGAATCAATATTTGTTTTAGAATTTTACTTCACATTTAATAATTTTTGTTTATCTTCAGATTCCAAAGAAATTTTCATTTTTAATAAAACTGATGAAGTGCCTGAGAAGAAATTTGATTTCTTTTATATTTCAGGAAACGATAAACACTGAAAAGGAATAAAATTGAATTGTCTCAACACCCTGATGACGATATTGTTCTTATTATGATGTCTTGTAAGATTGTATCGTGCAAAATGATGTCGAAGTAAATTGTTGAAACGTGAAAATTTCTTCTGTTCATTCCTAACAAAATTGTTAGATGGTTTGGCTGCCAGGGTTTGACCTGGCTCGACTTGGGCCCGCTTGATTGTCCGAATTGACTTTTCTGAACCGACTCGGCTCGTTTGAAAATTCCCAACGAGTCAAACCTGTGTTAGCAACACGTTTTATGTTCAGATTCAGGATCGTCGGCTTTCTTTCTTCATCCTTGTCTTCATCTTTCCAATCAGACACTAAAATTAAAACATTTTTTCATTCAATATAATTTTATTTTTCTTTATTTCACTTGTTTTTTTTTTGTTTTGAACATGACATTATAATAGAATTTTCTTTTTCATAATATTTTTCTTGTTTGTAGCGAAAACTAGAACTTAAAAGGATTTTACTTAAATTTTTATTTACTTTTCTGCAATTTGTCTTAGATAAGAGAGACTTTGAAAGAGAAAAAGTTGCACGATTTATTTTTACTTTTTTTAATTTAATTTTCCTTAGCCAATTGTTTTTACTTTGTTTGTTTGTCTAATATCAAACTTAAAGAATAAGAACCCGCAAATGAGATTTTTTTTCTTTGTGTTTCTTACACAAAAACGAATGGCGCGATTAACTTTCTTATCTTTCATTATTATTTTGATTGATCTTAATTAAGTTAATGGTTTAATCAATTTTTTCTTTTAGATTATTATTTTCATCTTTTTTAAAGTAGAGAATTGACATGAATGTTATATAAATGGTAAATTAATGGCCCTATTTGCTAGATTCAAAAAAAATCCAAACTCTCAATCCTTTCGCTATTTACGTTTGCTATTTGTATCCCTTAATACTCTAATCTTCCTTCTGATGAGTTTACATATCATGTAAGGAAAATTTCCTTTCTTTTCTTTTGATTTTATTACTGTCAAAAAAAATTCTACATGCTTTCATGTCATGACTATGAACTTTAAATATTTCCTTTCTGGATTCCATTGCCATGCAACATCATAAATATTATTAATCCATAACGTTTGATTTCTGGTTGGTGTAGGATTATTAAAAATTGTTTTAAATGCACATGGATACAAATAATGATTTTTATTCAAGGGAAAATAATTTAAACAATTAGGTACTCACTTCCTTCGACAATTAATAAGATATTAATTCTATATTCAACTAACAAAAGTAGTAGCAACTTGATATATTGAAATGTACATTATTTCGCAAAGCAAATGAATCTGTTTCATTTATGTTTTAAGTTTATTTAATTGGATTTATTTTCTTTTAGTTTGTATAATGGTGTTTCATGCTTAGAGCAATTAGAGGAAGAGTGTGCTATGTTCTACCATCAATCTATCCTCTAATTACTCGTGATCAATTATTATCTAGTCAAGATTGTAATGTTTTTAACTAATGGTCTGACTGACGACACGATTTTCTTGTCTATTAAGGTATTTATGTAGATAAATCTGAAAGAGTCTTAAAACGAAACGTGTTTGAGTTTTCTTTCACGACATTTCTCAAGAAATAGAAAAACTAAACAAATGATTACCAATTCTTTTCTGATCTTGCTGCTATGTTATGAATAAACATCTAAAACTTATTTTTCTCTTTTCAATTTCTGGATATGCTGAAAAAATGGCCATTTTCCTTTTACTTCAAACTGCTTTTCCATTTTCTTTTTGTATTCTCATGCACATATTTTTGTAATTTTTCAAAACGTCAGACAAGCATTCTTTAGAAATGTTTTCAACTAATATTGCCAGCCTTGTCCAACATTTATTTGGCTTTTCATCGTTGTAGTGTTTACAATTTTTCTTTATTTGGTTCTCTAACGATGCACAGAGAAAAAAAGGAAAATTCTAGTTTTCACTCCTAGATTAAGTTTCAAACACTCTTTTTGATATGGATTCAGGTTTGCTCTTTCATTATATGATTTTTCATATTCATTCTTTAATAATCAAAATGATAGTTGAACGAAAAAATTAAAATGTCGATGTTTGTACTCAACACAAAAGAAAATAAATTTTAATTGATGAAGCTTTTCCTTTCACTGCTTAATATTTCATCACGGGAAAAACATGCAATCTTCATTTTTATGTTATTTCTTTGAGCATTAACTGTTATCTTCATTCTTTAAAACAGAAATATTATTATGTTTGATATAAAATGATGATGATTGAAGTTTAAGTTTCTTTGAGAAATTGCTTTTAGCATTTTTAAAGTGGAAAACTTTATCGGCCACAAACAAAAGCTTATGCTGCTCATCATAATTCTCTATGTACATCGCAATCATTAATCTTTATTTGATCTTTTAGATTGGCAGTTTCTTTAATAATTTAATGTTTGCTTAACAATTAATCATTTAGATGATGGTTTTTTTTTCTCTTTTATAATTTTTATTTTCTTCAGAATTTTCATAAACAAAAAACGAAAAATTTTCACTTTTCAATGAACACGAATTTGAAGATAAAGTGCGATAAAATTATTGAAGCTGATTTTTCTTTATGTCTGGAACATTTTACTTCATAATCTGTTAGGTACGTGAGATTCTGTATTATCTCTCTATTTATAAGATCACCAGCAAGTTCAAAAAGATCTCGTGAAAGTTTAGGTCGAAGCCAATTAATTTTTCCTTTTTTTTCTCGACTACACAGAAAAATTACAAACACTGAATTTTTTTTACTTCATTTATTACATTTGGAAAATTATCTAACATGATTTGAATGCACTTATTTTCGTCTCATTTTTATTTTGACCTTTTGTAATTACTAGTTTAAAACTCTACGAAAGGTAAATAATTGTAGAAAGATCTTTTGCTGAAAGGGAAGCAAACTTCCACACAGAAAAGTTGAAAGTTTATGTTGAGAGTAGTAGGAAAGGAGTTTTTATTTTTAATGAATTTTAATGTCTACCTAATCAGCTCGAGAGTAAGCTGTGTAAAGTACTCGAATATCTGGGTGAGATAAGTGAGAAAAAATGTTTATAAAATATGTTAACTCCGTTATTTACAAACGTCTGGCGTTATTTATGAGGCTTGACCTTCTACCTTTTACGAGCTCTTCTCAAACTTTCATGAAATCTATCCAGAAATGCTCTATTCTAGACTTAGTATAGCAGTTTAATATTTATTTTTATCAAAGAGCTTTTTTTGTTATCTAATAAATGTCTACGAATTAATCAAATGTTATTAGAGGCGAAAAAAGTTTTTTTTATCATTCAATCATGAAATTTACTTCCTTTAACATCGTTCAACAGCAAGAATTTTTTTTTAATTTTCTTTTTTTTCTGATTTCTTCATAATGCCATAAAGTAAATTGCTTAACATTTGAAGCAACTCAGCTTCACTCTCTTTTCATTTTAATTTTCATGATTTCTTCTTTTGGACTTAAGTACGTTTGTTTGATGTATTTCATTTTTATGTTATTTAAAATGTAAACTCAAAATTGCTATTAAAAGATATTTCTGTGGGAACCCAAAAAGGTGACCAAATGGAAAATAAAAGAAGGAGGAAGACGAAAAATTGTGAAATGAAAAAATTTGTCACATTAAAATCTGTACAAAAATAAACTCGGTACAGAGTGACTAAGTACAGAGCGACCAAAAATATTACATACTGAACAGCGTGCCCAACAACAGAGTGACTAAAGCTTAATGATTTCAATTTATTCTTTTTTTTATCATGGTTGTAATATTTTCTGATATAGTGTGCACAAACTTCGCGCTCTTTTTTATTGCTTGATTTGCCAATTCAACAACTTTTCAAAAATTACATTTTTATAGGGTTAAATACTTCTTCACTTTTAATTTGCCGCTGGAACGAACAGGTTTTCGCTTACAAACTGCCTATAACGAACTTAACAATCTTCGGTATGGAACATGGAAAGCCTAGTGAATTAACATATTTTTCTTATCTTGCGTTCAAGAAATTTTTTTATTATATTTTTTTCTCGTTAATTTACATTAATTTTGTCCCGAACCACGTTGTGACGTCTTTAAACTTCATGACTAGTAGAGAAGTTTACTTCACGAAAATGTCAATAAATAAAAAGAAAATAAAAGCTTTCATTTCCAACTACTTTAGAATGGAAATCAGCATCGGATGATATTTTTTGTTTTTTTAATTATTTTACAACTTTTATTTTGCTTTCATTCCTTTACAAGCTAAATAAGAACTGAATTAATTACTTCGCAATTAAAAGAACAAACTGCAAATTGTGCAAAAATCTAATATCTCACTTCCATGTTGTTTTTTGTGTAAAATGCTAATAAAAAGCACATCGAAGCATTTACGAAGATTTAAAACTGATTCGATACTTTTTTCTCACTTTTGTACTCATTTTTCATTAAACTTTTGTTTCATTTATGATCAATTTTTAAACTTGCCAATGAAAAAACACTTCACAAATTTCAATCAATATGCGGCGTTTATAATATTCTTAATTATTCTTCTCGTCATGATTTATTGAATCAATAATTGCAAAAAGAGTTTCATCTTTGTTGACTCTAATAATTCATTTCTTTATTTCGTCTTTCGACTATGAAAGATTTTTTTAAGTTTTTTTTTCTAGCTTTTTGCGTCGCAAAGAAGTGAAAATTTAATTTATCACACATTTCTTATTTTAATTAGTTTGAAAATTAATATTTCTGTCTTTTGTTCTACTTTTAGATATTTTTCTTTTTTAGTATTTCGAGAACAAATCGAGACTTTTCCTTTATTTTCTTTTTGAAAAATGATAGTCTGTGGAAGTTGATGGGAGAAAATCTCGTTTCATACTTTTAAATAGCAAGATTAAAAACTTAAGGTCTTCTTTAAAAAAATGAATTAAGGAAAGGAAGAATTGTAAGCCGGTTAAGATAATTTCTTTTATTAATATAATCATCATCATGCACTGCGAGCTTTGACTCAACCATTGAATTAGATTTTAATTCTTTTTTAAAAGCTTCTTCTTAATCTTTTAGCTTCATGACAACAAGAGCTGCAAAAACCAGAAATTTGAGTTTAACACAAGCATTAAAACGATTTCTTGCTGGCATATTATTTTATCTCAAATTATTATCATTCATAACATTCTTTTAAACATTCTTCATCTTTTTATTTTATTTTTTTTATCTTGCAAAATAAATTTCTTTGATCCTTTCATTCATTTTTTTTATAATAACAATTCTCGAAGAAAAGAGATTTTAACTCTTTGTCATAGCAACATTTTCTGTTTTCTTTCATTGACAATGAGGAAAGAAAACGATGCGGATCGAAATGGAGATATAACAAGGAAACTTAAGAAAGAAAACATTTGATGTCGATTGTGTGGGTGGGTGGGTAGTCGGTTGGTTGGTTGAGAGTGTGGCATATCATTTTTTATAGCCTAATAAATGGTTTCGTCACTTCTTCTTCACTCGTACGAGAATAGTTGTGAGAGATTAATTGAAGCAGTAGAAGAAGACATTTGGGTGTGAAAACATTTTTCAATTTAAAGAAAACGCAAGAAAAAAAGAAACAGAAACATGGAAAATAAATTAAAAGTAAAGTCTGCCGATTGATTGCTGAATCCATTTGACAGAGATTTTTTGTTGATTTGTTTTTGCTTTTTCTGTTGTAAATACCAAAGGATCGAATAACATGTCAGTGGTCTGAAAATAGAAAACCAATATTAGTCGTTACCTTGCTGAAAGAACATAAAATGTTTACGACAGGGGAAAGTTGAGAAAAGTTTTCTTTCGTTTTTCTTCGTTTCTATCAAATTTACAAGAATGTTACTTTGGCAATATTTAATTTCATTTCTCTGCCTTTAGCGATGCCACGTATCAAAGCTAAAACAAGATTAAAAAAATGGTTTCCCCTAAAATTTTATTGAAGCAATCAATCTTTGAATGTGATCGGCCTCTTTATGGCTTATGATAAAATAACAGATTTGAGTCGGAGCTTCCCATAAGATGAAAGCAACGACAAAACTTCTCGTTCGAGACAGAGTGGGAGAAAGTTCAACAACAATTAATCACAGCCACTCCCTTACATCATAGGAAAATAAAGATAGAATAAGAAAAAAAGTAGAACAAATTCCTTTATGTAACATCATTGTTGAGGATCAAATTTCAGTGAAATTTCTCAGATACGATCCCACAAACATTTCTACGGGTTTTCCTTCTTCCTTTCATTCCTTGTAAATATGTATCAGAGGTTAAATGTTTTATATGGAATGAAATCAAAGTTCAACATGATGAACGGAATTCCTTTCTAGATTTCTTTCTTTTTTTTTCCCCGACTTCAACGAAAAGTCATCAGTTAAAGCTTCTACTTCTAATATGAAGCAACATGTAAATATTAGAAGAAAGAGAGAGAGAATAATTGTGAAATTTGATATCTTCACTCTCGTCACCTCGAAGGTGAAAAAGATGCTTCGACTAATCTTTTCCAATTTCCCTTTAGATATTTCTTATGCTCAAGAGATTCGTTTTCAATTTAATCAGAAAGTTGAATGAAGAAAGTGTGGAATGAGAAAAAAAAGGAAGAAAACGATGGCAAACTTGTAACACTTCAGGGAAAAATTACCATTTTTATCAGCAATTTGTTGCACAATGAATGTATATTAAGTGAAGGTTTTCAATACAATTGCTTGATAATCAGAATTAAGTTGTGATGGTTTCATTTTAGAAAAGTAAAGACATCGTTATAGAAACTTTTAAGGTTTAGAAAGATCTTGATAGACAAAATATTTTAATTGCTTTCTAGTTTTAAGCGATTAAATTAAAAGTTTTGATGACTAGACTGAGAATCTTCGTTTTAATTACGAGTAGAAATGTTTCTTCAACATTCACCAAGACGACAAGAATTAAAAGAAAAAGTGAAAAAACATTTTTTCTGATTTAATATCAACAACGACTGCAATGGTGAAAATTTATTATGTTAGCGAGGCGACTGCAAAACGTTTAAATATATAAATTCAAGTTTTATTTAACATTTCACAAATGGCAGACAATTTTCTATTATAAAATAAAGAATTTCAGAAATTTTCCTCGCTTGGGAAATTAACTTAATTTTCATTTGTTTTTTAATTTTCCTCAAGATACAAATAAAAGTGCAGAGAGAAAATTATAAGAAAAGTTGATCATTAAAGTAAGTTCTGTTATAGATACCTGGAAGGGGTTAGAGATGCAATGGTACACGTGGTATAGCATTATGATTGATGATTTGATTTGAAACTTGAAGCTTCTTCAGGTTATTCAGTGGAACTTGATTATAAAGTTGAATTGTGATAGTTTATGTGCTATTTTTAGAAGAAAAGTTAGCAAATAGTTGAACTCCTGGATGTTCTATTGTTGATTGAAGAATTTTTTAAACAAGTCCAAAATAACCGGCAACGATGAGTGCCAAAATTACAAGACACACCAACATTATAATCTTTTTCTGTTGATTCAAAAAAAGATTTTTGACGAAGGAAAAATAAGAAGACGAAAAAAATAAGTTAGTTGATTTAATTAAAGAATCTTTTTCATGTGATTGGTGTTGAGAAATCCATTTATTTATAATGAGACATGCAACTTCAATTTCAACTTCTTCGTGCAATTTCAATTTCATTTTTTATCATGCAAATTTTTTTCAATCTTGTCAAAATTAAATTCAATTTAATAATTTAAAGTGAAGAGTTTATGTCAACAATTTCTTCCAAATTCGATCATGATGATGAGAATAAATTTATTTCTGCTTGAACTCTGAATTGAATGATTGAGATTGATAAGTAAATTCTATCTACATTAATTGAAAAGTTCACTTTCAAACCTGTCAAGGGAATTAGAGCAGTTATGACATTTATATTGTTATTTATACATTTTGCTGCTGTATCAGCTAAAGACTAAGTAGCAACCAGTTTAATGTTGAATTCTTTTATATAAAATTATTTCAGGAATCTAATTTTTTTAATTCATTTCTTTACAAGCCAGGAATCTTCGAGTAAACATAACCGCAAGCAATCAGAGCGAGAACAGTCAAACACAGCAACATCATGATCTTTTTCTGGAAATTTAATTACATTAAGAAAAGAAATTTTGTAAATGTGTTGTTAGTAGTTAGAAGTGGTGATTAATATCAAAAGTTTCAATTGATTAAGATGATAAATTGATGACAAATATCAAGTGCTGTTGAATTTTCATGCAGTGATGTTCAGAGTTAGTGTCCAATTAGAAAGATTTTCAATGACGCCATAAAACATGTAGAATATTAGTAGTGCCAATAGTTGTACAGACAGGATAGAAGTGTTTTCCTTAATCATAGCAATACCTGAAGTTCAGCTTGTCGTAGTCGTGTTGAACACAAAAGGGAAAATATTTAACATTCTTTGACGGTTCATTGATGGCATCATTAAATAACATTGTTGAAGTGAAGTGTACATGAAAGAAGACTGTGAGCTTTGGTGACGAACAGTGATGACGATGGTGACGTGCGTGAAGCTTTTTACAATCCTGGGATGAAAGAGCTTAAATACCAAGCGACTAGAAGTCCCAGAATCGTCAGGCAGATCAAGATCATAATCTTCTTCTGCAATTTTTCATATTTTTTTTGTGATGTAATAAAAACAAAATATGAATAAAATTTAATCCTAAGTTTATAAAATTTCAGCCCAATTTTATGTTATTAAAATTTCGCTGTTCTACTTTCTCTCATTTGTTTTGCAATATTAAATTAATTTCTTTAATAATAAATACAATTATGTTCATATAGCTCGTGCAGATTGAAAAATATTTATGCCAAACTCAACATGCAAACCTGTGAATTCATAAAACTCAAAAAACATGCATAAAAATAAATTTAAAACGAAGAAATAAAAAATATTTATTGCATAAAATATTTAAATTACACCCCCGCTTTCAACATGAATGCTATCACATGTTGAATGTAAAAATCTGACGATAGTAAAATGACGACTTAAAATAAATCGATTTTAAATACGGAGAAGGAATTTTTTTAAACAAGAAATTGTGTTCGAACATCAGATCATGATATCGAATAAAATTCTCTCGTATTTCCTTCACTTCTTTTTCAATCCAACACAATAATCATAAAAGTGAATTATTTATTGAAAGATATATTTATTTAATATCAATGAGGATTGTTCATTTTATTGTATGGATGTGCAATTTCATCATATTCGCTAGCGACGATCAAATTGATTTCTATAAGGAAAAAAAATCGTGAAATTTTCAACATTATACGAACGTGCAAACTATTTAAAGTTGTGGTACTAAGAATAATAATCTACAACACGAGAAGGGATAATGACATCACGAAAAAGTGGATTTTCTTATGTATATTGCTACATAAATACTTCAAGATATTTACGTATACATGAACACATCTACATACACAACACCAAAAACACCTCAAACAATTTTTTTTGCAATTTCCGATTTTCTTGTGATACCTGAGCGACTTTCTTTTTTTTTTTCTTTTTCTTTGCTGTTGTTGTGATGTGAGATAATGGCGAATACGTCATAATGATACTTTTGGCAAAGCCTTTTTATTCACGTTCAATTGTTTAAGTTGATGTTGTTTCTCAATTCTCAGCTTCCTTCTCTCGTCTCATTTACAACCCTTTCCGCCTGCTTTTCTAACGTCGATTGAATTCTTTCACTGTTTCTTTAATTCTTCTCTGTCGTCACGTGCTCTCACTGATTGTTATTGAAAATGTTTCTGTTGCTATTGATATTTTGAAAATGATGAAGATGAATAAAAGCAAATTTGGAAACGATAAGATTTTTGCTGGCAATTCTTTCTCAATTATTTCATTCTCGTATCGATGATGTTAAACATTTTACAATCCAGGAATCCATGTGCTTATATAACCGCAGACAATCAGACCAAGCACTGTTAAGCATATTAAGATCATGATCTTCTTCTGCAGTTTCATTTTGTTTTTGAAATTTTATTCCAATGTTGATCACATGACGAATTTCAATATTTTCAATCCACACAAATAATTTTTTTTAATTAAGAAATGAAAGAAGAGAAAAGTTTTCATCAGAACAGACAATAAAAAGTTAATTTGCAAACTAAATTAAAACTCATAAAAAATGTTTATTTATAGTCAAAGGTATTTCTTGTGTGTGGGTGGAGAGGGTGACGTTTTCTGTGTAGATGTGTGGGCGTTATTAAATATTTGGAGAAGAATCTTTTTTATGTTTCTATGTTTATTTAACTTGTTCTTGAACATAACTAAGTTAAATAATTTTAAGAAATAAAACAAAATTATTTTTCATGTGGTTTCTTCATTTTAAATAAAGATAAAACATAATTAAATTAAGCTTTAAATAAAGAGAAATAATTTTTCCAGCAATTAATTAGTCCCACAGTCACTTGTCTCATTAACCTTTGCGACTTTAGTCGTTTGTTGCTTTGTGATGTTTATCTTCATCTCAGTCATCGTAAGTAGAAACGTTTTGTCAATTGTCATAAGTTAGATTTCAGATGTTTATAATTAAATTCGCTTCTCTTTTATCGAGAAACTTCATCTCATCTTACATATTTCTCTACATAACATCATTGAACATAAAACACTTTTTTCTTTATTGTTACCACAATTAATTACATTTGATTTCTATTTAATCGACTTTCTTTTTCTTTATTTCTTTTTGTAGTAAATTCTATTAGAATCGTCATTGATTTTTATGGTCCCAAAACGAATTGATTCTTTCATTTCTCGAAGTTTCTCGAGTTCTTAAGTGCTAATCCATCCTTCGCCATGAAGTAAAGGAACGAGAATGATTAATCAACATTCTTTTACTTTTATTTTTTCATTTATTTCTATTTATAAGAAAATTTTGTGTACATTTGGTATGATTTGTTGTAAATATCAACAACCGATGGCGTGAGATATCAACGAGATCAAAGAAATATGCTAATCATAATTATGTTATTAAATATTTCCCAAAATGACATAAATTATTCACTTTTTGTCTTTATTGTTATGTAATTACAGTGAAGATTGCTAGTAATTTCCATTATTGAAAATGTGTGAGTCATAATAACCTTTCCACCCTAAGCACAACAAGCGCTTTCACGTATTAAAACGAACATTTTATCGAGCAATTAGACTCAAATCAACCGACATCACGATGCTCCGTTGAGCAATATCAAAGACTTATGACAAGTCAAATTGTCTGAACGAGAAAATGGTTTTTACAGATTTTCATTTTCTCTTTTCGGAAATTAATTAAAAATTTATTGTTTTGATCTTTTTTGTTCCCACTTTTCTACTTTCCTATACTTAGTTGTTTTTGTTAACAGTTCTCAGTTGTTTTGCTTTCAAAATGTATTCACTCGGCCTTTTTGTTTTGGTTTCCGTTATCGATTTTCCGGGTGTGGTGTCAAGATGGCTCGGGGATTGAAATTTAATTACAAGTTGAAGATAGAATAAAAACAATTTAAGATTCAAGAAGTTTGTGCTTAATCGTCTGTTGAATGGAGGAAACGATTTCGAACTATTTATTTGCAGATGAAACTATGATTTAAATGTTTTCAGTAGTTCATTAATTCCACAAGCTTCTTCATTGCTCGATTTGTTTTGAACTTAAGGTGATGAAAAGACTTTTCTGTCTCTCTTATGAATTAATTACCAACTTTTCTCATTTAACTTCAAAATAAGCTCGCTTTCAGTGTTGGCCCTTGATGAAAATGCGACGAATGGGAAGCAAAACTTTAACGAAGTTTCCTTCATTTCGCGGAAGCTTCAAGTGCTTGAATTTTCAGTTCCTTAATTTCTATCCGGTAATTTCAAACAATTTTTCTTTTCAACTTCACTGTAGCGAGCAAATAATTGCGATGGAATTAACATTAGAACTGAGTTGGAAAGGAAGAGAGAAGTCTTATTATACAAAATTTTCATTAACACCGACGAGCTTTTTCTCTTCCCTTTTGATTCTGCTTTCAACCGAAACATTTCATTTTCTTTCGCTTTTACAGACTCACTAATTTTATTGAATTATTTATTTCTAAGTATGAAGTTCATTTCATGCTAGACTTGAATAAATTTCTAATTTCTCATCATAAAACGTTAAGTTATTCAATATAAGTTTTTTTCAGACTAAACTTTGTCTCGTCGTCACGTCAATTTTTCTTTTTTTTATCATATCGATTTTCATACTTTTAGTTTGTTTGATTAAATTATTCGAAAGCACGCGATATTTTACGATATCCAATTTTGGTAAAGTTTCGTGAGATATTTCCACAAAATATTCACGCCTCAGCTCCTTCCATACTTCCTTATTAACTATCTAAGCAGAACTTTTCTAATTGTTGATTTTGTGCTTGACTTTTCCATTGCCAGAAAATTAATTCAATTTGATTTTTCAATTTTTTTTCTTTTTCTTTATTTAGACAGTTCAAATCCATCATCTTAAACCAAAAATAAGCATCGACGAAATCATTTAACGTGTTGTGAAAAAAGATGATAAAAATATTATCAAAATCATTACAGTAATCGTCAAACATATCAGAATCAAAATTTTTTTCTGTGAAAAAAAGAGAAAGAAAAATGCAAAGAACATTATTTGATTAAACTTCTTCCAGAACGTGTCGTGTAAAAGGATTTGATTTTTTAGTAAACAGCAAAACAGCACGTTGAACAAATTAAGAATTGTTTATAAGATTTCATTGAAATGATTTTTGTTTTTTTATTTTGTTAGGATTTCTATGACACAACAAAAACAGTCGGGAAAAACGGTGTTTAAATGTACAAGGAGAAAGTTTGTGTTTGTCACAAAAAGAAAACGAAAGAAATTTATTGTATAAAATCGCACGATAAACATTTAAAAGAAACAAATTTGTGTTTTTGCACAAACTCTTAAAGTTTTTTTTTAGAAGGCGAGTGAAGAAGGAAAGAAGCCAAAGTTACATTAACTATTTATAAACATCACACTTTTTCACATTAAAGTTGAAAGATTCATTTCTGTTTCAGAACTCTGTGGAAAGTCTTGTTGTTGGGACATTGAAGAGTTTTATGTTTCTTTTGTTAGCAACATCAAAGAATGAAAGAAAGTTAAAAAACAACAAAAACATCGAAGTGATATCAAGATGGAGAGGGGAGAAAACTTTTTTAAACATAAGTAAGATATACAACGAGACAGCAGTAGAAGTGGTAAAGACTCAAATTAAAACAAGGACTGAAAGTTAAGAGTGTTTGCCTCTTTCAATTCCTTGGACAAGTTTTCTTTTCATTCTGGGATAAGCTTTGACAAGAAAAATTAAATTAAGGTTTTTATTTTATCATCCAGAAGTGTTTCTGTTTTGTGTACCGCAAATTTAATTTTTGGGGCTGTGCAATTTGGTGAGGAAGAATTAAAAGATTGAAAGATGAAAACGAAGCATGAGTCGTATCATCATAAAGTCTTCTTATGGTGAATTAAAGATGAGAGCACTTAAGAGAAGAAACAACCACAATATAGCAGCATTGAATCTTATAGAAACTTTTCTCATTTTCTTGTACTTCATTCACCAAGGGAATTTAAAGAGAAATCCTTTAGTTGATAGAAAGTGAGCAAGAAAAAGATCTTTGCAAGTCATCACTTTAGGGATTGTGTGTATGTGTTTATATTTGTGTTCTTTTTCCTGTTATTTAAATATTTTATGCTTGTTTAGCATCGAACAACGGTAGAAGCAAAAGATGAATGAAAGTTTCACCGCAATTTCTTCTTTCCCGACATTTTTTGTTTCCATCATGAAGAACTGTGCTTGTGTTATTGCCTTAAGTTTATTCTTTGTTTTAACAAGCGTGATGTTGTTGCTTTAAGTTATTAGCTGAAGCCTTTAGTGCTGAATGATCAACAGATGAGATCCCACAAAAATCTATCCAAAGTCAGGTAAACAAAAACAAAAAATAGTTTTAAATGCCCAAAAATTTCCTTTCTTTAATTCTTCATCACATTTTACAAACTTTTCAATAAATAATTTTATGTTTTTCAATTTGAAAACCATGTCGAAATCCATATCGATAACATCACTATAAGAATGATTGCAATCACGATTAGACAAATAATAATAAATATTTTTTTCTGTGAAATAAAAAGAAAGATTTTCAATAAAATTATTTTGATTTTCGGTTGCTACTTGAAAAACGTCACAGGCCAAAATTCATTCATAAGATGAGAATACCATGACGAGATACAAATGCGAGGAGGCTTCGAAACAAGCACAGTAAGCATATTTATTTCTTATTTCCGTGCGGTCGTGGGTTGAACTTCTATTGTTGAAGAACAACATAAAGATTCTTCTATAATATTTTCAACCGCCTGGAAACATTTCCTTTTAACAATCACCCACACCTTAAATAAGCAAAATGGTATCGTGGGACATTAATCATCATCGCGATATATAAGCCGTAAGCGAGGGTGGCGGAAATGTGATGCAGTAAACATCAAAACGTCACGAAACGAGAATGAAGAAAAATATGAGATTACAATTAAAAATAAAGACCGAACAATCCCAAGAATTCTTTTCGTAATTCTTCGTTTATACGTAACTAGTAGCAAGCATTTCACGCAATTATTTATTATTTCCTGAAAGCTTGTATTCATTAGAAAGAAAAAAAAAGCGCCACCACCAGCAACAACAACAATGCTAAACATTGCCCCATCACCACAAGCATTCAACCCTCACACTCTCCGACTCGTAAATTATTAACATTAAAATGTTTTTCTTTTGTTTCTCACTTGCTTTCGCCTATTTTCATGTCGCATGTAAAATGTGTAAATTTTCTGCCTGTGAGTCGTGTGAGTCGTTAACTCCCTGACGCTGACGCTGAAGGCTGAACAGAATGAAAATTTTCTAACCGAACAAAATAAACTCGCCGATAGCAAAACTTTTTCTGTTTTTGAAATTTTTTAACATAATTTTGCTCGTTCGCTTGTTCGATGCTTCGATTGGATTGAAGAACTTTGCTTTTATCTTTTTGTTTTTTACGTGAAGAATGTTTCAGGCGAATATAAAAGAAAAACTTTCTTCGGAAATTATTTGAAATCAGCGTCGGTTTAAGGATTTGTGGAAAGCTTTTGAATGTAAAAAAAAGAAGTCACGAAAGCTCCTTTAAAAATAAAATCCTCGTAAATTTCGTCACGTGAGATTCTTTGACTTTCACAATTTCAACCCTCAACTTATGTTGAACATGAAATGTTGTTAGTACTCTTTACAGCATTCCTCACCTATCGTTAATTTCCTTTTCTAAATGAGATTCCATAATTAATCTCAACTGGAATGAATTCTACGTGTGCAAACAGTTCTCTGAAGGGCGGGGGAGGATAAGGTTAATTATTTAAAATGATTTGTCGATTGTTCATGTTGTTGTTACAGAAAAGGTTGTTAAAAAAGAAAAAGTTTTTAAGTAGGAGTAGAAGGAGAATTGGTTACTGTTTCTAACCTTTCTCGCCTTTGACGCATACACGTTAGCTTGGTAAATTTCCTTCTTTGCGTTTTCAGTAAAGTCCCGGCCCTGTTCCACATGGTACTCAATCCGATCCACAAGTTCACCCTGCGATTAACAATCGGATTCGGTTTCGTCGTGATTGCGTTGGCATGTTTCAGAGATGATGTCGTTGATAATGTTGACGTAGGCAAATGTACCTTGGTTGGTTTCGAAGGATTTGTGGTGGTGTCGTTAGAGGATAGTGGTGAGATTATACATAATTCCGTTGTGCAGCCATTGACATTAGCGACAGTATTTTCAGCATTACCATTAAAGACCCGTAGGGTTATAAACAAAATATCATTCAATTGTACAAAATCCCGTGACAATAGAAAATGTGGAAAGTTTTTTAGTTTTCATATTCATCATACCACAGGCAGACAGAGGCATTTATGGTTTTAAATTCATATTTCACCGCAATAAAGTTTATTCAAAGTTATTTTACGTGTGTTCATGTTCAGTTATGTTAAGTAAAAAAATTTCATACATTCGATGTTGTTAGTCAAAGAGAATTTTATGTTTTATGTTAAAGACATTTAGTTAAAAAAACGTCCATTTATAAAAAGTTTAGTCAGGTTAGTTGATTGAACAGAAATATTAGTAATGAAAGAATACAATATTGAAACATCAAAAGCATAGTTGATTCCATGTTAAAGTTAGTCAGTCAAAATTATAAAAAACATGCAAATTTATGTTAAAGAACATCAAAAAAAAGAAAGCATAAAACATTCAAGATGACAAAGTTCCATATAACAGAACATAACACAAGGCATTAGTGTGATTACAATGAGTTGTGTTTGTAATTTGAGATAAAGTCAGAAAAAGAATTTAAGAGAAAAAATGACGTGCCACAAAGCATCATCCGAAAACAATAAGATTTCATATGAATTATTCAAAAGGATAAAAGTGAAAGGGGTTTGTTTTCATGGTAAAGAATTTTCATTCATGATCAAGGAAATTGGATGGAAGGAAAAGACAAAGGCGCAATCAATTGAAATGAAATGTTTAAGTCATAAGATGAATTACGTAACACAAGGAAAAGGATATTTTATGATTCATATATGAATGTTGATTTTAAAAAAATATTTCATGAGTTACACAAGGATAATTTTGGAGAACAGAAAATGTTTTTTTAGGATTGTGTGGGATGAAAGGTTCATTCAAAAAAAAGAAAAAAACAAAACAAAAACACGGCATTAATAATGGTGGACATGTCAACTTACCCGACGAGCTTTACTTTGGTACTTGAGTGCTTTTTTGGTATCTTGTGTTGCCGTTTGGACGTAATCCATTGCATGTTCAACATGGTATTCTATGCGATCAATCATTTCGCCCTGTGATTATCATAATTTTTTTCCGTATCGCATTTTGTTATTCAATTGAAAATAAAATAATAAAAGTTTTCATAAGGGAGAGAGAAGAAAAAAGATTATGAAGAGAAAGAAAAAGAAAACAAATTTAATTCGTTGAATCATTATCAACATGAACATGATCGGATGTCACACGATAAAACCAAAAAGCATCGTCAAAAAACCAAAAGTTTTACTTTTCTTCATTACCTGACTTTCCACTAACATCGCCATGTCCATGAACATGTCATGAAGTTCTCGAATTGAATTCTCCAACTTAATGATGTCAGAATGTCGCGCTTCAATGTCGGCAAGAGTTTGTTTTGCTTGTTGTGTCTCCATGATAATCTAAACGAGTGATTGTAATTGGAGAATTGAAAGAAATTAATGGGATTATCGTTAATTGATTGTGAAGTAATTCATACTCCTTGTGTAAACACTGCTGAATTGCCTTGCTCAAGCATCTCCTCGAGTTCTTCATTTGTTGTGGCTTTTCCAGCTGATGAAAGTATTAACAATAAATAAATAAATGAATATTCATGAGATTCCCCGTGCCAGACTTTAATGAACTTACTGATTTCCAATTGACGTTGTATTCTTGCTTTACATCTTTCTCGATAATCAGTTTGTGTCCGATTGTACTCTGTCATAACTTCAACGAACTTCCTTGACAGCGTCGAGTGTTGTGTCTTACGTATTCTCAAATCGGCTGTTGCTGACTTTCCTTGCTCTTCTTGTTCGATGCTTTGCTCAATACCCTGAATAAGAAAATAAACATAAGTCAATTTAAGATTTAAAATAACTTTTAATTGATTTACCTTAAGTTTTCCTCTAACTCTATTGGCATTTTTCTTAATATCTGCCATCAAATCCTCCAGCTCTTGCTTGGTTTCTATTAAGAATCGACATTGTCAAAAGGATGAAGAAAATATTTAATTAAACTTACTTTCATCCGTTTGCGGAGCTGAAAGAATGGAGCTATGTTTCTTCTTAACCTCCTCGACATTATACTGTATTTTATCTATCATCTCTCGAATCTCTTCCACCTCACTGAAAAACTCGTCCATGAAGCCATCAACATTGATGGCCACATCGTCCATACCCGCATCTTCGTCATCACTTTGGGCCTGTTATATTTTAATGAACAAATAAAGAAACCAATCAATCACATGTCTAGAAGATCAACTGACAAAAGGACAAATTTAAAATTCCACAGAAAATTTTTCTTTCATTTGTTTGCATGTGAAAATTGAAAAAAAAATTCATGCATCAAAATCTCCACTTTGGGGATTTGACTATAAACTTGATGAGCTTGAAGATTATCTACTTATGTTGCATAAAAACCTCGTCATCCTTTAGGTTCACACACACAAACACGAGGATAAAAACATAAATTTTTAGGGTTGAACCAGATATGCTTAGGGATATCGACTGCTGAATTATTAATGACAAGTCCATACCTAAATCATTCTTTATTCATTAAACGAACTTTAAACAAAACGAGACAAATTACTTGTCAACTCTAAGCAACAGTTTCGTTCAATAATTGTTTAATTAAATTACTACCTTAGTAAGAATTTAATACGATCAAGTAAGTCTTTTGTCGACTTCCCTACCCAATTAATAAAAAAATTGCATTCGATGTTAAATCATCATAAAAAACCTCTGGATAAATTAGCGTGCTTTTTGTCCGAGGAAAACCTTTTTATTCCTTGAAATAGCGCCTATAAAAAAACCAATAACCTATTCCATCGCGTGCACATTAAAGCGGTTTTATTTGCTCCTCTGTCTCAAAGCTTAACAAGAATTTCAAATTACATAATATTGAAATTCATTTCTTTTTATGCTCGCAATGTTATCAGCTCAAATGAAATCGTAATCGTGACGAAAAACAGAAAGGAAAGCATCAACAACAACAGTCATTGGTGATGATGTTGTTTTTTGTTATAGGCAGAATATTTTTACGAGAGTCTGATGGAGGCTTACGAAAATATATAATCATATCAAAAAGTATAAGAAATAATTCTCATGTTGGCGCCATCAATAAATAACGGAAATGATCCTTAACAATCACAAGAGATTTCTTCAATTGTCAAAGCTTCGTCACTCACTACATCTTAACTTTCTCACTCTCTCACTTTTTATGCTTTTTATTGAACGTTTGAGTGACATGGAACAATGAAGTTGTTCTTGTTTTAAAAAATAAGAAAATATTATTGAGAAGCATTTTGACATCTTCCCTTCGATGGCAACAGATGGCGCTTGGAACGAATCTTGCATAAATTTCAACACCAGATGTGAAATGTTTCACAAAAATCAATAGCGCGCATAAATTGTGTCAAGCATAGCAGAATGAGAATTGCGATTATCTATTAAAATTATTTTTCTTCCAATTCGAAGATTTTCTATTTCCTTCTAGAGTAATAAATACATGAAGCTGAAGCGTCATAAAGAGAGACTAAAAAAGATTTATTTATACACCTTCTTGAGATCATAAATCAGATGAATGTTTGTTTGTTTTCTTCCGCATGTTTTACCTTCTTACATTAATTTTATCGAAGCATTTCCTTTCCTTAAACACATTTTATTTTTGTATTCTTTTTACTGCTTTCGTTTAAAGATCAGAGTTGTTGATTTATAAATGAATGGGTAAAGTTTTAAATATTTATGTCAACATTGTGCAAAAAGCTAATTACGAATTTTAAACCTTCCATGTTTACACGAATCTGATAAACATTTTATGTATGAAACATTTTTTTATGTTAACATTGACATCCTTGTTTGTAATCATAATCATAGAACAATAACAGAAAGTTGTAATGAGTGAAATTTGATTTCGATGTAATAATATTCGTGTTAAAGTTTCATTACAACCTAACTATCATAACGTGGTGCTATGTAGTAAATAATAATCGATAATTATTCACTCGCTTGAAATTATCATTTATTATTCACAATCTTTTTTGTTTCCTCGTTCAAAAGGCAACAATTAAGTCGTGAAATGTTCGAACGAAATTCAAAGCCATGAAAAATTATTTCAAGAGCATCGTATTGACTTTTGATCAATTTATGAAGATTCGATTAAGCTTCTTGACATTTCTTTCTTCTTTCTTTAAATTCTTCTTGTTTATTTTTGCACCAGAAAGAGAAATTTAATTTAATAGAATGGAATAAGACAGAAAGCGTCAAGAGGGAATTGAGTCAGTTTTCGTGAAGTCAGAACTTTCCGAGCTTCTTTTCTTTTCACTTCTCACCAAATTGAATTAGCACATTTTTGTTATTACACATTCCTTCTCTTCCCATTTTCCTCAAAGTGCTTTCAATGGGCATCGCTTTAACTCAATGTGAGTCGAAGTGTTCAAGGGTGAGGATTTTCATATCTTTTAGCATATTTTATAAGTGTTGGCCGGTCGGTTGCTTCTTCTAAGTGAACACTCTCGAATGAAATGATGCTCGAAGGAGATTCATTAGAATTAACATTTAAATATGAAGAAGAATTACCAAATGAATTTCAAAAGATTTATCAGAAGTTGTCGTTGCGATAACTGCGTTTAGTCGAGTCATTAAATCATCTGCTTTCGAACGACTTATCAACATTATTAAAACCACTTTAATAAGATGATTGCGGGAAGAGATTGAAGAAAAATCGTCATTTGATGTTCGTAATTATAATTTCCGTAACATTTAACAATTTGTTGAATGAGCTCAACATTAATTTTATCTCCCTTCGTCGACAATTTCTCCAACAAGCATCTAAAGGAAGTTTGTGAAGTTTTTAATTCAATGTTATGTGAGACTTTCAGTTAAAACCGTGTCAATGTCGTTAAGTGAAATTGCGAACGTGAGATGAAGTGCAAGGAAAATTGAAAACAGAAAATGTGGGATGAAAGAGAGAAGAAAATCAATGTTGAAAATGTGCTGATCTAAGCATGTTGTTCAATGATTATACAGAAATATCTTTTCAAACTCAACAAGATAATCGATGCGAAAATCAAGAGCGTTAAGCAAACAAAGCTCATAGCAAAATCAATCAATATTTTGCTATATAAAGCTTTTAAAAGTATCCATTAACAAATCCATTAAACAAAACATTATCCTACGCTTCACGGAAATTCAATGACTCCTATTTCCACTCTGACACGATGCAAAAGCTTTTCACGAGAAAAATAAAAATAAAACATCAATCTGCACTTTTTTCATAGATCGAGGCAAGCTGTCGACATTATATTTTCATTTAATATGCCATGAATTCAATGACACGACTGAGGGAGGGATTCGCATAACCAAATTGTTTATCAACTCATCAAAAAGCGTCTTCATCTATCTCACTTATGATATTTTTTTAAAGAATGCGAAGAAAATTTGTCATAATATTTTTACAAATGCTTTCGTTCATATTATTCTTAAGCTTTTCATGTTTTCCTTGTCAAGATTGACGTTCAAACAAGTGGAGGCTTTTCATTTAAAGTGTTTCCCATTCAATTTATATTTTAAATTCGTATCGACACTTACATGTAGAAAGAATGAAGAGCATAAAACATCGATCGATAAACATCCACATTTAAAGCTTTTATGCTTTATGGTAATGTTTAGGGACGCTTTATAAATTATTAACTCTGTTAACTTAATTCCACTTTCTATTTACGTTAAAACAACCATGAACTAGATAAATAAGTGGATCATGTGTTCATATAGTTTCCAACTACATATCCCCAATCTCATTGGAAGTCAAAACTAGGCAAGCATCACATTAATCATTATCCCGGCTTAGATGGAATCAACCTCCAGGGAGGAAGTCAGCGTGTGACCGACATGGAGTAAAATTTTTCAAGGTAAATACATTCATGAAAAGGTTTTTCTGGCCTTTCTTTCCTTTTTGGGTAACAAACTTTAATTGAAAGCAAATAATAGAGAAGCAATGTTACACCCAAAGCCAACGAAGGAAGTTGTTTTTATACGAAATGATATGAAAACACTGACGAAACTACTCAGCAAAAAAGAAAAGAATCTGAGAAAACATAAAGTTTAAGCTTTATCATTCCAGGTCATTGAATATTTCAACTTCACTTCTTTCATTTTGCTTATGATTTCTAAATTTAGAAGTGTAGGAAATCCGAAATCAGAAGGTGAAAGGATTCATTAAAGCCTTGCTGTGGATTATTTAAATGAAAATATTTTTAAAACTTTTTCATAAATTATTCAAAACTGTTTAATAAAAAAATATGCTCATGGATGGATGTAAATAAATCATGAAAAAGATAAATTGTTGCCACTCGAATAGTAGAAAATAAATGAAATAAAAATTCAATTAATACTGCTTTGAATGAAGAAATTTTCAAATTTATTGTTTTATTTCCTCTTGACAATTTCCCATGGATAAAAAAAAAATTGTTCAGCAATCCAATTGTTCAAGAATAATGGAGTTGACTAACGAAGGAAGCTAACAAAGAAAAGTCCTGAGCACGTTCTTAAAAGCGGAAATCACATAAAACACGTCACAGTGGTAAATGGACAACAGCGGGACTACCAACAAGCTACTCAATTTATAACCTCAGCCATTTGCTTTTATTAAACCGAACCACACACAATATAACAGAACTTGACTTTCCTTTCAATTTCCAGCCCTCTCAGGAACACTTTCAACATTCATTCACTCGTTGTTAATGTTTATTCTTTAGGGACGAAGGAGAACTTTCTTATTTGGGATTCAAGCCAAACAAACAATTGCTTTTGGCTTGACTTTTGAATTTTTATCTTTCCTTTTATTATGAAAACAATTTCAATAACCTTATCCTCGAAGAAATATTTCCCAAAGTATATAAAAAAAAGCTGTTGAGAGTAAATTGATCTTGAACGGAAAAATGTTAAACATTCGAAGAGATATTAACAACAAAATAAAAATTCAATTTTGAAGGCAAAACAAATTACAGCAAAGTATCAAATTTTGTAACTATGAATTTATGATTCAATATCAATTAAACTTTCATGAAGAGATTTCCATAAATAAGCTTCTCCAATATTCATGAGCGAATTTCTCGTATTGTACGAAATCATTTTCATTTCCTTCCGCTTTCTGGTAGGCGTCGAGTAATTGTAAAGACTAAGAGAACCGAAATTTATTTGCCAACAGTCATGATTATTTCACATTTATCGTCATGAAACTCTACAGAGCGTTGTACGCATAATAATTTTTGGCAATGCTTCACCAATATAAAGGGTAGATTGAAACAAAAAGAGCAACAACATTAATTATTGAAACATAAAAAAAGAGTCGAACGGGACTTTGCTTCATCGTTATTTTAGTTTTAAACTTTATGCATTATTCGTTTCATATTTTTTTTCTGTTTGTATTCAGAGAAGCAAACATATTGAAACGTCATAAAATTTATCATCACCCGAGGGAACGACGAGAGCAAGAACAAACAAGCATCAAGATTCTGATATCATAAAACACTCTTCTAATTCTCAATGATTAGTGTTTTGCTGCTGTCATCATAATTCACTCCTTTGTCGTGATTCCGATTCGATTTCATATGTCGTACTCTAATTTCACGCTTTATCAAGTCATGTGTAAAATTGACATCAAAATCATAACGATAATGATATGGGTGGGAGGAAAAACATAGAAAAAAGGAAAGAAATAGATAGACAAACACATTGCATTTGCTGCTGCTTAACATTCTATAGTTTCATTCGATATACCATCATAAATGTTATCTCAATCCAATCGACAACATGTTCATTTAAACGAAAAGAAAGACATGAAGTTGATGACTATCAACAGACCATAAGCTGCCGTATACATACATGCATTAAGACTGAGACGTTTAAAGAAATATCGCCACTTTGCTAATTGTCTGTGACGTGCAAACATGTGTGAATTTTCTGTACTTGACCTTCAAAGAAGAATTATGAATGTATTGGAAGAGATTGTCTGAAGCTAAGGCAAACAATTGAGAAGCTGTCAGTGGATGTGATAAGAACAATGAGTGACACTTTACGTGTGTTACCCATTTTTGTATTCAATCTTCTTCCACAAAGCTTTTACATTGAACGTTGTGAACATTTGTGTTCAGGTATGGTTAATGGTTTTTGTCTTCCAACAACTTACTTACAATCTAATGTTTTGATAAATGAATTTTAATAGACCTTCCAAGGCAATTTATCAAGCATCTGTCATCGTTTAATCACCGTAATTTCATTATCATTCAACCGACCGCTGATATCACCACGAAAATATTCCGAAGCGGGAGTAAAATAATTTTCATTGTCGATATTAAAAGTTTTTTTTTTCACGCTTCACTCTACAAAAGATTATGAAACATAATAAAATCATCTAAGTGTGGAAATTAACACTTTTCATGTCGGTTAGCTATTGTCAAGTTTTTACTTTCAGAATCTTTGAAATCTTTTAACTGAGAATGGCGAAGGAATGAGAGAAGAACGAAGAACAATTTTCATTGAATTTCCATGTGACAATAAACAAAACTAGAGATTGAATAAATACACTTCTGGCAATGAACTTTATTGGTTTGGAATCTTATATTACTTTTCTCCACATACTTTGTGAAGGTTAGCAGAGAAATAAATAAACATAGATTGGGATAGACGAGGATATCTAACTGAATAACAAACCAATATGTTTATTATCGGATCCTAGCTGACAAAATGTCTTATCGCACTCGTTTTTCATTGCTGTGTCGACTCTTCTCTTCGTCTGTTTATAGACTTTGCAAAGTAAGGATCATATTAGCATCCATTTAACCATTCAACCGTGCTTGATTTCTCTCGACTTATTTCTATTATTTTTTTTTGTTGTTTTCATCAGAGATTCAAACGAGTCCCTCATTGTTGGAAGGAGTAACGAGTAAAGTATTTACAACTAAAGCATAAACGAGTCACGTAGCTATTCGCCATGTTGCTATCATTGCCATACTTCCGTAAGCATTTTTGCGATGAGAGTTTCTAAACAAAAGTCTTGAAAGATATTTTTGGTGACGCTTTCAAGTTGCTTAAATATTTATAAGGAAACTTAATTTCCGAGTAAATGTTTAGATAGATATTAAACATTTTAATAACTTCATAAAAACATTTTTTAAAGCTCAAATCGTAAATTTATCAACTGAAGATTGAAAATAACAAAATCCCCATCAAAAATCGATTTTTTATTATGTCAGACGGAAACTAAATAAATCAAATAAAGACCAGCCTTTATCCTCATTGTATTTGTATCCGTTTTGGTTTTAATATAATTTAAATTAATTGATTTTAGGGAATTTCTCTTTCATCCCAATCAATGGAGATTACATAAATGAAGCCTTCGCCTTATCACGTAATTAACATACAACCAACTAAGCTCTGATGATAACAAGCTCGCTTTATGATGTTCAATATTAAACTTATTTTGAATAGAGAGAAAGCTATTAAAATGAAACTAGGAATAAATTCTGATGAATCAACATTAAAGTTTTGTGAAAAACGAGAAAAGTTTTTTTAACTTTAAAATTTACCGTTCGTGTTGAAATGAAAAAGTTTTTATCTAAATTATCTTAACAGCAGTGCTATGCATTTTAAATAATTAAGAAAACTTCCAAACAATAAAGCAGAATTTTTATCATAAGATCGATACAAAAAGTTTAAGTATTACGACCATGATGGGACTATAATTAAATAAAACAGAAACAATGGTTTTGGCGTCTCGCCAGAGAGTTAATTGCACCACCAAACTGTCAGAATATTTCAAATGAAATGAAAAGCAGAATTTTAACGACTAAATATTTATTTATATTTCCCTTCGTAACCGCAAACATAAAGAGCGTAGCGAGAGCGATTTTGACCCATTTTATAGCTTTTTATTTCCTTTAAAAATAATGACCATTTAAAACTTCGGCTCTGCAAGTTCTCAGTGAAAGCTTTCCCAATAGAAGTGAAGGTTGTGAAGTAGAAAAAAAAATGGAAATCCATAAAGAGTTATTTATTGTCTCGACTATTCTCAGAAGAACAATATTTCCATAATAATTGTTGCTCGTTTTCATTTCTTTTCCTTTCTTTCGTACCCAACAATCTTCTTGTTCAATCTGTTATTTCATTTCTTTAAAAGAGGAGAATACATTTCAAATTATTGAAACTTATATTCTTATATTTTCTATTTTCCTGACAAAGACATGATTTGTTCATGAAATATGAGAAAAGCGAAAGATTTTCCTTTTTCTCTCACTTTCTAGGATAAATGGCCAAATGGGGTACACCTAGAAATCGTGGCAAATCTTGGCACAGTTTTACGAGCTCAATTTTTTATGCTCTCTGGCCAAAAATTAACTTCCGAAAGGAACAAAACGATGAGAGAACATTGTGACATCATTTGGCCATTCACCCTAATTCTAGTTTATTTCTAACACTGTAAATCATTTTTCTTCTTTTGTATATAATAGACATACTTGAAACTATTAAATATTCTTCGTTTCAACGATTTTCAAAAGAATTCCACTTAGAAGCACGAGAAGAATGAAATAATGAAATTAAATACGTGATTAAATGAGAGATGAAATCAGAAGCATAAATATAACAGAAATGGGAAATCGTTGAGCTTTTCACAGCTTTCATAGTGTGGTGTTAGCCGCAACATAAAATAATAAGAAAAGTAAGAAAAAAGAGGATGAATACAATAATAATTTTCGCAATTTCATTACTTATAATTATTATATCTAAGCACATTTGGAAAGAATGAATGGAAGTGTAAGGGAAAAAGTTCTTGTAATTTCTTAGCATTTCGTCGTTGTAAATATCGATGATTTTCACTTTTCCATGTCTTTTCTTCTTTTCTTCTTTTCCTTCGCTTCAATGTTATTTAACAGACTGAAAGCATTTGTTTGAGGCTTTACATAATAAAATAAAATAAAGAAGAAAAAAACAAAACGACCCCGAATCCTAAACGGGTTAAGCCAGTATGATGAAGAATGAAAGAATTTCTTGGATGAATTGTCTAACTTCGGGGGTGATGGAATGTATCTTGTTGGAAAACTCAAGTAAATATATGACAAGATAAAATATAAGCGGTTTTCGTGAAAATTTTACAAGATTATTTTTCTACAGTCTCAATTTCATGAACAGTCGGAAGATGAAGGTCGAAAAAAGGGAAAGCAGAAATTTCGTACACTTCATGACAATAAAAATAATATTAAAGGGAGGATTTGAAAGAAAAAAGTTCACTCAACGATAGAAGAAAAGGGATAACAGAATATATTTTGGTGTCTCAATTGCAAGTAAGACTTTGTAATCATTTTAATCGAATCTACAATCTTGTTTCTCATAATATTTTACGAGATTCTATAAAATTAAAAGTGATGGATGGGGATTCTTGTTCAAATGTTAAACCAAAGGTTATAAAAAATGAATGACGGAAGATTGTGTGGGTGGTTGGATATTAAATGAAACTAACGCGATTTATGAAGTAAATTCGTAAATGGAATTGAGTTGGATATGAAAATTAATCATTTTAAATTATTCTCAATGGCGATCTTGATGGTTTGGGTTTTATAACTTAGATCGTCGACCCATAACGATGGTTTCGTTTTAACAGAAGTGGAAGAAGAAGAAGAAAAACAAATGCTGTGAAACTACCAAAAGATTACAGCGGAAGAGAAATGTCAAGCATCATGTAACCCTTAATCAAATTTCATTTATCTTTCACTCTGTCGCTATCGTTATCGTAAATAACTCTTTAAGTGAAGAGGCATAAACAAAACCGAACGTAATCTTCAATTGTAATGAAACATTGACTGAAACCTTTTCTCATTCAACGTTTGATAAATATGAAGTAAAAAAACTGAATAAGTATTCGGTTACTCTTAAACATGTTTAAATACACAAATAAGGAAGAAATGAATGACGTCAACACGATTTGTAATCTTATTATTTATGTAACTGTTTCATGCTTTCTTCGCTTACATTTTCCTTTTTTTTCTTAAGAAGAGGAAATTCGATAAACTTTCAGTCTAATTTATTCACATCATCAGACGAAAAAAGAGAAAAAGAGAAGAGCATAGAATATGCCTTTAAGGGAAAAGTTATTATATTCATTTATGGAAATTAAAAGACGTTTCGTTTCTTTGGGAAAGCGAATGATGCTGAGTAGAATAAAAAAAACTTTTTCTTGGGACCAAATTTCTTATCTTTTCATTATCAGTTTCAATCCGATTCATAAAGCCTCGCTCGAAATATAAAAAAGTTTCGTTCATTTCATTTCTCAGCATTTCAAAGCCCATCACAAGAATTGAACGTAATGGATTCATAAAAATTCTATCTCGCAATCAACATTCCACCTCGCGTTCACTTTCGCATTTCCCCTCAACTGTTTCTTTGAAATATCTTTGCAGGTCTTCCGACTTTCTTTCACATGTTGTCACACAAATCCATTTAAGAAAAGAATTTATGACATCGCAAACTGTATCAAATTCAATTCAAGAACGAGACGAGATAAAAAATTTGCCAACAAGAGGGATCTAAATATTTACATTCAACGGCAATACGAAAATCAGCCGAGGAGAAAATTTGAAAGAAACTCAAGCCAAATAGATTTGGTTTTTTTACAATAAAAGCCAAGATAAAAGCTTCTTTTCAAGGGTATTATCCAACAAGCTGTTGAGCAAAAAAAAATAAAATCAACGTTTGTTAATCAACTGTTTATATTTCTAAAGCTTCGCGTGAAATGTTATTTCATTTCAATGTTTTTAACAGTAATTTATTTAGTTAAACAAATATTTTTGTTTGTATTCTCACATGCCATTTAATATCTTTTTGGCATTTCTCTTGAAAGACAGAAGGAAGTGAATTGAGTTGTTAAGAAACGTTTAGAAATTCACAAGTGGTCACCTTTTCTATTACGTGAAATTGTATTCAAAATATAAAGCACCAGGTGGACATGAAAGGAAACCTTTCTATCTGTTCCCAATTGATTTCAACCTCATGACCATGAACTTCGCTCATTTTTCATTTTTCCGTCTACTTGGCAAGTTAGAGAGCTTTCTTTTTGCTATTTTAACTTCTTTTCTTGCCATTCGAAAAACATTAACTGTCAAAAGATTTTTTATGACGATAACTTCGCGAAGGGATTCTTATTCATCGTATCGTAAAAAAAGGAAAATCTGAAAACATAAAAACGAAAAGCATGTGAAAATCGCCTAAAATGACATCAACTGAATATGAAATACTGAAACCTACGACAAAAGTGTTCGCAATTTTCTAATCTAAAACAGCAACCGTGTAACAAGAAAGAAAGCTTTAAATATTCTTGACGTTCACCAGACACAAACACGTAGATTATTAAAAAGTTCTCAAAGTTAAATTAAAAGCTGTTTTGAATAACATTTATAAAGCATAAGATTTTTTAAGTGTGCAGATATTAACGTAACTAAATCAAATGATCTAAAAGTCAAAAATATCATTTAACATTGAAACTTATTCAATGACAAGATTTGGCATCGATTTTTTTCAACAAAGTTGGAATGTTTCGGACGTAGCATAGTTTTCTTGTTGTTGTCATAACGAGATGTTTATAAGTGTCTGGTTATTTATGACCACTACAGAAGTTTTGCTGTGAGAAAGTATTGCAATGGAATAAGGGAAAGATTCGTTCAAAGCATGGAATTCTCGTTCTTTACTCCTTTTTTCTGTAGTTAATTGTAGCAAAGTTCCGTCCTTTCTATAGCAAAAAAGATGACACAGCTGTGATGTCTCATTTCATTCTTTTTTTTCTAGCAATAGTTGAATTATTAATGTTTCTTGTTCACAAAAAAGAGAGATAGAGAAATCACACAGCATACGAAAATAAATAAGAAGAATCTTCTTTCAATCTTTCATTTCTTCACCATTTTTCTCAAAGTTATAAAACTTGAAACGGGTTTGCTTAAAATTCAAAAATTTATCTTTCAAAAGGTTAATGAAACCAATCACTTGTTACATCATGGTTTCACTTTCGACTTTTATTTTACTTTACAAGTTATGCTTTTAACTCTTCTGGAAACTTTCTTTAATAGAAAGGAAAACTAATTGTTGTGCATGAAAATTTGAATTCGCAACACTCTTCGATATAAACTTAAAAACTTTAAGAAGTAAACTATGCATACATGGTAAGGTGAACAAGAAGTGGATAAAGTTATAAGTTTCTTCAACGTTGCAATTCTGTCTGCAATTTACGAGCGTGGGATCAGAACTTTGAGAATTAAATAAATTTTCTGGCTTCAAAAGATTAGTGACAAAAGTTGAAAGAGAATAAGGCGATCATTCTTTAATTAAGACGTTAAAATAGGCAACAATGGATAAGATTCGTCACCACGACAGCGTCATCTGCTAATCTTGTTTGTTTCAGCCATCGTGACTCAAAAGGTGGATAAATTTTACAATTACGTCGCCTTCAACAAAAAAAAATTCATATTAGGCAATTTCATGCCTTACTTGTAATGGGCCTATGTCAATCTTCTTTTTTTATTCATTATAGAATTTCAACTTGTTGGATTACCTTCAGAACTCAAACTGTTGACTTTGAACAAACGTTATTTTCCGCTTTGTGTCTTTCTGGTTCTGATAAGAAAATAATGAGCATTCTTGTAGTTTTTCGCAATACAATGATATAAAAAAGTTCACAATAATGAAATGCGTAAAGTTTTTCATTTCGTAAAAGTTAAGGTTGAAAATTTTAAATTTAAATATTCAATCAAGTGGAACTTTTATGTTTGAATTCGTGATAATTTTTCTCCTTCTTCTTTTTTGTTTTATTTTTAAACAACAGTCATGGCTATACTATAATCAATCTTTTCTTCTTATCAGTCATTCTAGCGTCTGATAAAATACTTGATGACTAATTCCAAGTAACATTTTGTTGACTGTGTCGGGCGCCAAAGGGGAAGAAGCAATTGTCATTCGATGGGAATTTCCTACATTTGCGCAAAAATATCAACAACAATGGCCTTATAGCCCACTAATTCAATTCAGCAATAAAACGAATCGCGTGTGAATGACTCACTACCTCATTCATTCATCTGCTTTCATCACCGACATCATTCAATTTAGAATTTCACAAAACACTCAAGGCGCGGTCAAGGTTCCTTTGCAAATTCGAAATCTCTTTTCTCTGTACGAACCATCAGGAATTATAAAAAAAAATAAAGCAATTAAAAAAGTTCTGTTTTTATCGATTGTCATTTTCACACGAACAAATTATGGCTTTTCTGTGAATTCTAAAGATTCCGGTAACACTCACCGCATGTAATGCTGCTAATCTATCCTTCGTCATGTTGCTTGTTAATGTTGTTTTTTAATTTATGTTGAGGCAGTCAACTGATGCTCTAGAAATCACTTTTTGGTTCGGGCGATGTTGCTCAAAACTTTTTTCTCCTCAAGTTGAAAAGAAAAAAACTTTCCAATGCAAAATTTCACCAAATTACACACTTTTCACTGTGAACCTTACTATATTTTAATGCTAGGTGGTATTCACTAGGCTTCCATTAGCTTAAAATTGTGATTTATGCACGCTAAATCATTAATTTCGCCAAAAATTCACTCACGATCCTCCGGAAAAGAGCGAGTTTGATGAATTTTTTTCACAAATTTTATTGATTTTTTTTCTATGCCTTTGCGCATGAACCAATTTCAAGATCAAAGCTGTTTTATATGGTTATCTCATTTAATTCTCTATTCGAAATAGATTATTGTTTTCGTTTGTTAATTTTAACTCCGTTAGATTTCTATAATTTAGTGTTAAATTAATCTAAATTCTTATTTCAACCTTCCTTTTGTTTTGATCTTAAATTTGATCTTAAAAATGCCCTTCATAAACTACACGAGTTCCCTTATAAAATTTTCTGTCAAAAAGTATGCGAAGCTAATTAATATTTCTCCTCAACATATAAACAGTCTCATGCAAAAGGCAAATTTGCAAAATTCCATTCTGTGCGTGAATTTCCGTCCGTGCGTGATTTTTTTCTTGTTCTTAAGGGGTGTAGCAAAACTCTTGTAAAGTGTTATAAGCTCATACTTGTGTACCACAGAAAACTTTAATAGTGTTAGTTTGAACAAGCGAATTGCCTCGTTTTACAAAAAAGAATATTTTTTTCAAATATTTCAAGAAGTGAGTAAGATTTATCAATTTTTGTAGTGTAATTAAATAGATAAGAGTATGTTTTATAGTTTTGAAACAATTTCCTCTGAAAATAATTTCGTATATCCTTAAAAAAATTGAAATTTTGTTTCCGTTCCTAAGACACTTCCCAAGCCAGTTTGCATTTTAAGGTCGATATTCGCAAATCAGAAAAAACGCGGTCACTTTTCTTCTAAATCTCTTTAAACGTTCACAATTTCCATACCGGTAAAGTGTAGAGAACAAGCTAAAAGCAATTGATCGCAAGCTTAAAGGAAGTAAATTGCTTAAAATCGGCTTAAATTTGCTAAACTTGAAAATCTTCACAAAAAAGAAATGGCTTGGTTGTTTAGATTCCGTAGATTCCGTGAAAAAGCTAAAAACGTTAAAAATTTCAATAAAGTCTAATATAATTAAATATTTCAAATTCCTAAAAGAATCGCATCTTGAAGAAAATAAAAAAATTAGTAATTTCGTAAAATAATGAAATTCTTTTAGTATGTACGTTACAAGTTGAATTCTTAGAATTCTTTTTATGTACAACAACAACATGTCTGACTCATCATTCAAAAATTTCTTGCAGATTATAAATTAAAAATGGCAACAGAAGGAGATATCCCCACATTCAAATGCGTTTTAGTTGGAGATGGCGGTACTGGAAAGACAACTTTTGTGAAACGTCATATGACCGGTGAATTCGAGAAGAAATACGTTGCAACTCTCGGTGTTGAAGTTCATCCTTTGGTTTTCCATACAAATCGAGGCGCTATTCGATTTAATGTTTGGGTAAGAAAATAAATATTTGGAAAAATTGTTCAAAGGTGTATAAAAGTCTTTTTTCTTTGTTATTCTAGGATACAGCTGGACAGGAGAAGTTTGGAGGACTTCGTGATGGTTATTATATTCAGGGACAATGCGCTATCGTCATGTTCGACGTTACATCTCGTATCACATACAAAAACGTTCCAAATTGGCATCGTGATCTTGTTCGCGTTTGTGAAAGTATCCCAATCGTTTTATGTGGAAACAAAGTTGATATTAAGGATCGCAAAGTGAAAGCTAAGAGCATCGTTTTCCACCGAAAGAAAAATCTCCAATATTACGACATCTCTGCTAAGTCGAATTACAACTTCGAGAAACCTTTCTTGTGGTTGGCTCGCAAATTGGTCGGCGATCCCAACTTGGAGTTTGTTGCTATGCCAGCTTTATTGCCACCAGAAGTCAAAATGGACAAAGCTTGGCAAGATCAGTTGGAACGAGAAATGGAAGAAGCTTCAAAAACCGCTCTACCAGAAGACGATGAAGACTTGTAGACCAAACATTAATTAAATGCTCTTATAATTAAACATTACACACTCTAAAATTATTTTTTGAGTTTCTCTTTACCTTTGTTTAAAATTTAATTTCTATTTTTTCTTATAAATCATGAATTCGACGACTGTTTTCGTTTTTCGAATCAAGAGAATTTTGTTTCAATCTTTTCTTCATCAATTAAATTTATTTTTCTTTTTCCGGCTTTTGTCAATATCATCACGTTCAAAATTAAACTGAATAAAATTACTTAAGAAATGTTAAAATGTAAACTTTGTTCGTTTTATTGATTCTAATACTTGAAGTGAAAGGAAATTTCTGTTCGACAAAAAAGCCTTTAAAAGAAAAGTTTGAAGAACTTTTTCTGTTCTGGAGAACTTCTTTCATACAAAAAGTTCGTTTCTTTGGAAACTTGTTGCCAAGACATCATAACAAGCTACTGACATTTAATTTAATAATTATTTACATAAAGTGTATCAGATAAGAATAACAAATGACTAAGAAAGGTGGAGTTCAACAGCTGCAAACAGAAATTTGCAATGACGATGATCTTGATAAGTTTCTTGAGAGAGATGGCATCATAGGTTTGCAATCAACTTTATAATAATTTCTAAACTTGCAATGATTTTTATTCGTTAGTTCTCGATGTGTACTCTGAATGGGCTGGGCCATGTGTTGGAATGATTGGTTACCTTAAGAAGGCAAAACTTGAAATTGGAGGTGATTTCTTACATCTTGCTGTTTGCAAATCTGACACAATAGAAAAATTGAAAAGATTTCGTAATCGTTCTGAACCAACTTGGCTGTTTTGTAGCGTATGAAAAACAAACAAATTAAAATTTTCTTAATAAAAAACATAAAAAAATTTACAGAATCACAAAATTGTCAACATGTTACTTGGCTGTAACGTTCCACGATTAATGGCGATTATCATTCAGGAATTAAAATTTGAAGAACAATTTAAAGCTGGTGAGTTTGAAAGGACATTTTACGACTTTGAACAACTTCTTCCTGAAGAAGAAGAACGTGAAGCTTTATTGAGAACAATTGAAGAAGAAACTGATCGAATTGAAGCTGAACAAGCGATTCAACAAAGAAAGGAATACATTCAGTTTGTAACTGATGAGATTATAAAACATGTCATCGATATGGGAATTATGTTGTTCTTTCCGTAAGTTGACAATCACTTTTGCAGTTTCAAGAATAAATATTTATTTCATTTTAAAGTCATGTTATGAAGGATGCTTACAGAAAGTCGACAGATGTTTCTGATAAAATGGAATTGAGTTGCAAAGATCGAAAAATGATTCGAATCAAACCTGAAATGATGGAAATTTTACAATTTGAGATTGAAAATCCCTTGGATGAAGAAGTTAGTTAGTGGTTCATTGTTGATTATTAAGGTTATAAATTTTATTAAATACTCCCCCGCATAACAGGTTATCGAATATTTATACACAAAAGAAATTTTAATTTTCTTGATGAAACTTGGAGAAACTGACACGAGAGCGCCAGAAGAAGTTTTAAAAATATTTTACAAAGCAATTGCTGAACCAAGTTAAATTCATGTCTTAATTAATTGTGAATTAAAATTTATTAAATCATGTTCACTTTACAGACATTGTTTATTATGATGAGACTGGAGAGAAAATTATCCATTCAAGCCCAGCAATTCTTGAGCCAATTGAGTTCGTGCCTGGTAAAATAAAATATTTTCATGTTCAGTTTAATTAAATTTTCTTGTCTCTAATTAGGCCACGAGCCAGTCTTTGTTGAAAAACCTCTGCTAAGAAAGGGCAAACAACAAGCAGCTCAAGCTCCACAAGTTGTTATTCCCATTGACGAAGCCACAGGTTTACCAATGAAACTCATGAAAGTTCCGCCTTGTTGGACTCCATTTAATAAAAGGGGAAACGCTGCTTACATTTACATATTCTTTAGAAATGTACAATTAAATTATTTAAACTTTATTTGAAAATAATTTTACCATCAAAATATGTTTCAGTACACTGAACATTTCCTTCCACCCGATCCTGAAATGGTTCCGCAACATTTGTTATTTATTTTCGATGCTTACAAACGTCAAAATATTTTCGATGCTTTTAAACCAGTCAGCAGTGACGTTTTAGCTTTCGGTTACTTCTCATCGGAAATTATCACGAGCTGCACTTTATTGGCAAAAATCACTGACAAATATGAGTTGCTGAAGCCAACAGTGTAAGTCAATTAACACTATTTTCATTAAAATATTAATTCTTCTATTTATAACTCTCCAGTAATGATAAGTTGATGTTGAAGGTTGCTAAGAAGCGAAGTGACATTGTAAAACGACTGAAACTTTTAGGTCCATGTTATGTCAGTAAAAATACTGTCGATGGAAAAGCGGATTGTGAAAAACTTTTCCCACCTGACTACAACGTTGAAGAAGAAGAGCCTGAAAATGAAAGTTGCGGAAACGAAGGTAAAAAGAAGAAGAAAAAGCGTCGTAAGAAGCGTGAAAAAGTTGAAGGTGATGCTGATCAAAGCACAACAACTGAACAGATGTCGGCACAAGATTCAGAAGATACTCTTGATGGTGATAATGTTTATGAAGTTCTTTGATAATTTGGAGTTTAAATTCTTCTTATTTTTAATTATTTAGATCTAAGCCCAGACGAAGAAGAACTCAATCATGATGGAAAGGAAGGTGAAGGAAACGAAGCACCCCCGCCAAGTCCAAATCATTAAATATTTTAGCTTTATTTAATGCTAAGAGTCAAAAGTACTTAATATTTTTATTATATTTATTCAAATCTGTGCTTTCTTGTGTAGCGTAATTTAAACTAAATAAAGCTTATTAAATTTACTTTTGATGGTATAACTTTCAAATGAAGTAAACATTTATTTATGAAAATCATTAATCATCTTGATGTAAACAAAGTTTCATTGTTGAACATATTTGTGATGGTTTAATTATCTTGAGTAATTCAATAATCCTCTCGAAATAGAAATCAATAAAATTTCTACAATAACTCGTGACAGTTGTGGGCATTTTATGACAAATATTGTGAACAATCTGTTTTATTTTAATATCAACATTAATGTCATTTAATTCTGTTTGAAGAACTGACATAATGAACTCACATAAAACACATTGCGGATGTTCTGTCATTGGATTTTCAGTTTGAATTTCATTCGGATTGTAAATTTTTATTTCAGTTGTCTCTTCATATGGTTCAACTTGGTTATGACAAAGCTTAATTTCCATGCATGCTTCTTGTGGTGGAATGTCAGCCATAATCATCTCAACAATCTTTTCTGAGAAGTTTGTTGAAAATTCCAAACATTGACTGAGAAGTTTTCCAGACAAATGATTGCAAAGCATCGTCATGGCATTTTCAATGTTTTCTTTAACTTTTCTTCCACTCACAAAATCGTAAATTTCTTGAACTGTAAATAAACAAAAGGAACAAGTTGGCTTGCCATCAATAGCAGTTGATTGAAGATGTTCCAAATCAAGAATATGTGGACACAATTTGATTTTCGGACAAATAAAGTTTGGATCAAGACTTCGATCTAATAACCAAATTATTGCATCTGCATACAGGTCAACGATGTTTTCACATTCGTTCTGAATCACTGATGGAAGTTGTTTGCAAACATATTTTAAAGTCTTCACCATTTCATCTTCTGTTGAATATTCATCCAATTTTCCTATAATTGAACGTAACAAACTTTGGCATGTATTGCACCATGATCCATTTTTGTGAATGATTAATGAAGATTCGTCAAATTTCTTCAGAAAATCAGCTTCCGAAATGAATTTCTTGTTTATTGTAGTAGAAATTCCCTCATGCTCGATAAAGTGTTTCCGCTTACAAATTTTAATTGAATAACAAAATTCTGTCACGTTCGATTTGGATGACAAATATTTGTAGATGGCATCGTAATATTGATCGGCAAATTCTTCACATTTTGAAGAATAAGGCTCAATTAAGTCACAAAAGTTCTCCAAATTACTTTTAAATTCGATTTCGGTCTTATTCACAATATACTTTTCATCAAGTTCTTTAATGAAATGCAAGCAGAAATGACATGGGGAGATGATTGATGGAACGTTGCTTGGTAATAATTTATTTTGATCACTCTTGCAGATTTCTGATTTGTTACAAAGACTGTTTGACTTTAGTATTGTCCCTAGCGCATCATATATTTTGTTGAATCTCATCATGACAACTTTGGAACAGTCCGAGAAAGATAAAATTTCACCACAAACTCCCAAAAGATTCTCCAATAAATCATCTTTTGACGTTTCATTGAATTTTCTTTCCATTAAGTATCCAAAGACTTTGCACTGGTTGCAAGTCAAAAGTTTCGTTGTTTCTTTTGGCTGAACTTTTATTAAAGTTTTACTGTACTCTGCGTTGTTACAGAAGAATAATTTCGAACAGATTGCGTCTGGATCCATCGCCGATTCCAACATTTTGAATATTTCTGGAACATTTTCATCGACGACGTTCTCACAAGAAGATGCGATTGAAGCGACTGGAATCAAGTCACAAGTCCATTTCAAGCTGCTTATGATTTCTCCTGAATTTTCTTGTTTCTTAATGAAACTTCTCGCTTTGTCAACCCATTCTTTGCAATCATCGCAAATTAAGTTCGAATCATTTTGAACTCGATGAGTTTCCCAAACTGTAGTGATACAAAAGTCAACTGCACGACACTGCTTGGCATTCCTAAGAATAATTAAAGAACATATTAAAAATTCAGCCGGTTTCTCGTCACATTAATCTAATGATTTGTATAAACAAAGCAGAAAAACTGAGCTTTGTGTTTGTTGTGTTATCGAACACTCAAATGATTTATAACGATAAGATAAATACGCCAACTTTCGTTTTCCTGTGACTCTTCATATTTTTTCTTTCGTTCAACGTCGTATATGTTTGTTTATACGTCACAAAGAATTATTCTTCGTCGTCGTTATTTCAGTCGATAATTAGTAAATAATTACTTTTAAATGTTATTTTAACTCACATGACACTTTGACACCAGAAGCTGACTCCTTTGGAGCATTCTGGGTTGTATTTTGTCGACGATGACTCTGATGAGGCCAATGGAGTCGAATCATTTAGGGCGGCTGATAAGGAAATTAAAACAAAAACAAAAATGAATCATCTGATGAATAATAATTCAAAATTTACTCACCAAATGCAAAAAGCAGAATAATCTGCAGCAACTTCATGTTGAAACGATCACTTGAAACTTTGGTTCTTATTTCTATGAATAAAAGTAATGTATCTTAACTTGCAGAGTACCTATTTGATTAGCAATCAATCGGATTTAGATTTGCTTTGTTTTTGTCAGACTTAGCAAGCGGAATGATTTGGGATGGCTAGTGACAGCAGTCTTGTCAAAAATGCTGTCAAATAATTTAAATATGAAAAGTTCGTTTAAATTCGAATTTGATTTATCCGTTAAAAATCATGTGCTGCTGAAATATGAAAAGTTTTAAAAGCGAACTCTGTGAAATTAGCAATTAAAAATCTGACACGAAGAATGAAATGGAAAAAGAGGAATTAACATGTCAATGCACCATAAGTATTCTCCATCAACCACATAAATTTTACTTTTTTGATTTTACTCTTTTTATGTTGATGAAAACTCTCATCCTACGCTTTTCACAAAAATCCGATGGGGATTTTATATCCTTTTTGCAATAAATCATCGGGTTTATTTTATCTTTCTTCTTCGGTATCAACCTTTAATGGACATTAAAATAAAGTTCAACACCTTTCCTTTCTCCTATGCTTTTCGTAAAGAATGAAGGAAGAAGCCTACAAATCTTTTTGTTATTCAAACGATTTCCTTTCTTGTGAATGGTTTACTAAAATTCGTACATAAAATGATTTTTGACCACGTTAATTTCAAATTTCATGGAATCGTTTATTTGGTTTTTAACGATGCGGAACGATTGACTAACGAATGGTAAATATCTTTGAGATACACATCTCAAATCTCTCAACGTTAAATTAATGCTGATTTTTTATTACAAAAAATATTTCAAAAAGCTCAGATTAGCATTTTTATGCAGCGAACGAACTTTATCGTTACAGAGAAATCTTTTCCTCCCCCCCAAAAACAGAACCTCGGGGAGTTATCGAACATAAAACAGTTCACGATTGTAACCTTTTTCAAATCGCCCGTGCAACTTTATGAGTATTCTTAACGACTTTAAAAATTTCTTATTCTCTTATTCCAAAATTTTTGCATAATGTCGTCGTGTCTTGAAAATAAGAAATGAGGCAGGTAAGAAGAAATATCTTTAAAAAAGTTACATTCGTTGAAAATTAAATTAAAATTAATTAAGGAATAGCCAGGAGTTTCTAACGTAGAAAAATCGGGAGACATTATGTAATCGTTTAAGCAGGAGAATATTTTTAAGCATGCACATTAACAAGGAAATTGTTTTATATACATAGCTGACCAACATTTTAAACTCGCAAAGCAATAGAAACTGAAAATATGAGCAGGTTGAAACGATCGGAACATCTTCCATTTCCGATTCACTTTCCATAACTAATTGAGCAATTATTTCCATAAATTTGTAGCTTTTCTTTCTTCTCTCGACCAAACAAAACAGTTGAATTCAGTTCTTTTACCTTTTTTATCAGTGAAATATGAAAATTGGTTTCAACCTTTTTTTCCAACCTCCATGCGCAATTTACTTCATTTCTAAACCTTCAAACAAAAAAGAAATGAATTCAAATATAGCTTCATGTGTCTGTTGTATATGTAACAAAACAAAGAAAGAATGGATAGATAAATGGAAACTTTCACGTGAAATAATTTCATAAACTTACAAAATATGTTGAGAGTTTTAAGAGGGGTGGAAAATATTTTTCTTTGGTAAACTTCTTAATGAAGAAGAAAAGCTCTGCTTCGTTATGTATGTTTATTCATTTACTTCAACTTTAAATTTCTTGCTTTGTTGCCCTAGCAGTTAATGTAATTACATCGTTGTCGCATGCTAATTGGCAGTAACACATTCCGAGAAATTTCATTTTTGTCGACTTAAAGAAGAAGAAAAAGGATGTGAAAAAGAAGAAGACTTCGAAATGCTGAATTCTCTCAAAATTTAATGACGCTTTGTGAATATCAGCTTTAAATTGGGTTCTTTCTGTTATGAATGATCGTAAACTTTTTCCCCCTTTTAAGTCTTTACAAAGACATTAGCTCAATTAAAGATATTTGTGTTTAAGGATTTTCATCTCCCAATTTTATGTTTTCATCAAGCGAGTTCAGCTTTTACAGGATGAAAAAAGGTTGAACGAAACATTAAAGGTTATCAAGTTGAAACAAGACGAAGGTAAATGTGGACGTGTATGAATCGTGGGTTGCTTCTTCATTCGAGAAGTTCGAGTTTATTGATTTTCCTTTGGATCTGTTTTTCTTCCTCGTCCAAACCAAAAAAAAATAAAATAAAACAGTTTCAGAATAGAAAGAAAGGATAATGATAAAATAATCCTATGAAACGAAAACGAAACTTATCAAGTGTTCACCTTGGGTTTTCTGTGTTCATCATGCTTTTATTTATGTGCCGATGAGAAGATAAAAAGCTTACAGTGTAGCAAGCGAAATGGGCATCGACAATACTTTTGTAAGGTTAAGAAAAGTGGAAATCCCCTTCGAAAAGAGACATTTAATTCGATTAAGCTTATGGTGGAATCAAAAGCAATAAGCTTTGTACAACTGAGGGAAATTGAAAAAGTTTTTCTTTATTTTTTTCTTCACTAAATTTTTGTTTCTTGTTAATCTCTCGCTATTCACAAAATTCGTTGAATAGAATTAGAAGGAAGAATTTATCTCAACAAATGGCACTCGAAGACGAAAAAAAAAACACTGAAGATAAAAGGAGCTCTTTCCCATTAATTATCTCAAATGAAGCATTTTCTTTCTCACAAAAGTTTAATTTCCATGATAATTCCATTTCCGTCTTTTTTGTTTCAGCTTCTTTTGCTTAAAATAATTTATTTCAGGTGAAAATTACGTAGAAGAAAATGAGAAATTTAATTGCTTCTCGTGAATTGAGAGAGAAGCTTTTTATCCATCTAGAGTCATCTAGACTTTTAGTAGAGTCGAAAATAGAACTCATCAGAATTTACTTCAAATCAACTTTAATGAATTTCCCGAACCTTATTTTTATCGAATGATTTTGCTTCACTAATTTATTTTATTTGTTTTTGTTGTGCTAGGCTCGTAAAAACGAGAGAATTAAGTGTTGACTGTTTTTAAAAAGCACTAAGCGATTATCAAAAGCTTAATTGCAAAAGGCTTAAAGCTTATTCAGAATTAAAAGAGAAAAGAAAAAAATCACAGTTTGTTCAATTTATATTCTCAAATTACTCGATTTAATCCGATGGTCGGTTGAAAAACGATTTTTACATTTCATTGAACTATTTAAAGTTCTAAACTTTCGAATTGGATTTTGTTCAGTTAGATTTATTTCTTTCGATCTTTGGTAAACCAAAAAAGATTGTGTTTCAAAGCTATTTTTCCAGCTCTATTTGAATAGCATTTCTTCACTCCACTAGCCATTCGTAATGGTAAATTCAGAGTTGCAGCAAGTTTACTGTTCGATACATGACACTTCTATAAATTATTTATGATGCGGCACATAGCACAACAGTTCTCTTTCACAGGTCATGCGATGCATTCATTGGATCTCTTTTTTGTTTAAGTATGAAAAGCGAGCGAATGCAAAAAATAGAAATAAAAATTGTAGCTTCAGCGAATGCAAATAATTCATGTGAATATATTTTAAACGGTTTTTGTGTTGCATCCGCTTTTATGCACAACATTTTGAATAAAAATCGACTCGCTTCGCTCTTTTCTATGTCTTTATCAATGTTTTTTTCTAGCGAGATGAATTTTAAAAATAAATGTGTTGTTCAGGGATGAAAATGGTGCTGAATAAATTTAAATAATTTTAGCATAGTGGCGGATGAAACAAGGATAAAATGAAAATTTAGAGAAGCGCAAAGCATAAAGTATAACTTACGATCAACTATGACATGAAAAATATTTTTAATTTCAAACACATGAAAGAGTTTTTTTTCACTTCTTCCTCGAAGTTTATAAATCGGAAGTTGCTTTAATGTTGTTATTGAATAAATTAAGGAAAAATAGAGAAAAGTTATTGCATGCATTAACACTTGGATGTTTTTATTTAATTAAATTTCTAAGTCGAATGTTTACATTCAGAGATTATTTCTGAATGCAGCAAAAGATTGAAAGACGTTTCTTTATTTTTCATATTTTGTTTATTTCTCTCGCAGCGTAAGGTTTATCGCCTTATCCTGTTTTTAATTAAGAACCTCAGCTTTCTATGATCCGACAGCTTAAAAATCTATGTTCCCATAAAACATTAATGAATCTGCATAGATTTTAATGATTAAAAATAATTAAAGCAGAGTTTACTGTTCTCCCTAATCAAATAATTAATTAAAATAATTCTGGAATGTTATTTATGAAAGAACGATTCGATAAATAACGTGATTTGCGAATCTGACGCAAACAGAAAATTATCCTGCGAAATGCTTTACATATAAATTAAAAATGTTCTGTGTGGCCGCTAATTATTTTGACGGTTGTTCGTGGATATTCTTTATCGGTTTGCTGGCATGCTGATGTATACAATTTCAATCATTTTGAAAATTTCACATAAATTATCTGCTTAAATATAAGCAAACAAACACTGAAATTGATTCATTTGATATTGGACTCAACTTAATTCTAACTGCAGGTAATTTAAATTGAGTTTTATCTAACTTTACAACTAAAACTTTTCAGTTGGTTCCTGTAAATTTTTAATTAAATTGTTCATAAATATTTTGGTGTCTTCAAACAAGATTTGATCAATCACACGACGACTGATTCTTATTTCTCATTCAAAGTTTGTTTTTTCATTTTCCATCTGACAATTGATTGGGATCAAAAGTTAAAGCTTACTTAAAAAGATTTCGAAGCCCATTGTACAAATTCATTTCAAATAAATCATTGGTAACTAATTTGTAATACTTTTCAAAAGGATTTTCTTTTCATTGTACAAACTTGCAGAGAACGTGGAACCAGAACAATGAATAACTTTCTTTTATCTCAAAATCTTCTTTGAAACATTCTTTCATGATATTCTTAAAAGTTCAGAATAATGGAAAGCTAAGATAATTGTGGAATCAGATTTGTGTTGATAAGAAATTTTTTCACGATTTAGCTCTTCAACTTTCAAGAATCAACTCAGTCGACGTCATAAGAAATTGCTCGAGAAAAAGATAAAAACTTCTCAGTTCTTCATTTTGCTATGTATTCACGTCACACAGAATCTTTTTATTCCTTTACGAAGTGTGAATCGTTTTGTGATTTTTCTCTAGCATTTGAAAGACGAAAAATAAATATAAAATTTCGTTTAATTCATTTAACAAAAGTTTTCAGCATTTAATTTTAATTTTAAATTACAGAATATTCACCATGAACAATTAATCTGATTGACTTGACTTTTATGCTTCTACATTCATCATAAGTCTTGCATTCAACCGTTTATGTTTTCATATTCAACTGTTCAACGTCGTAAACACTGGCAAGGTTGCGGAAAGCGCCTACACATATTTTCCTCTATAAATATTGACTTAATGTTTATTTTTGAAGGAAAATTACTTTCTTTTACAAGCCATACCACTTTCCCCATATTGAAATTCACAACATCATGAAGAAAATTAAGAATTATTTTGATTCGCAAGCTAAACTCTTCGTTGCAAATTATTTATTCAAATCACATGCCTTTGTGTCATTAGAGAATTTCAAGTTTTTCTTTTACCATTTTTCTTTTCTTTATTCTCAATCCATTTACATTCTAACATATCTTTGATAAATGGTTAACACACTGAACAACAACAAATAACATAAAACATAACTTCGTAATGATTCATTAGCTAATTCAAATTCTTATCATGAATCTTGAGAAAGGACGTTTTTCAAATTCAAAGTAATCTTAAAAGAAATGTTAAAATCACTGTTTGAATTAAAGTTAAAAAAAGAAAGGGTAAGTTATACAACATCCTTTTTCTGGATATTTCTCCTGTTTATTTCGATATCTAGAATCTAAACATTTCATTTTCCGATACTCTCTTTCACTCGTTTTCTTTGTAAAGCTAATTCAGAATCTTATTTGAAATCTATATTTAGAAGGGAATCCATTTCTTTTATTACTTATGTTGCCCTTCAGAAACATTCATTATTAATAAGAATTTGAAACATGAATGAAGGTCTTATGAATTACCAAGAAGAGTTTCAAATGTTAACTCCGCAATACTTATGAGAATGATGTGAATGATTTATTGGATGCTTCATACAACTTTCTTATAATTGTTACGAAATTAAAGTTTGTGCTACACACTTTGAAATTTTCTATTGTTGTAAGCAAATTTGAAGGAACTTTAATCCTCCTACCAAGACCTTGAATGAAGGCTCCGCTTGCTACTCAAATGTAGCCTCAAATTCTTATCAATACCAAAATATAAGAAAATCCAATTTTTCCACTTTTAGTTAAATAAGATTAAGTTAAAACTTTTCTCAGCATAAAACTATAGAGGAAAACATTATTTGTGTCATTGGAAGATAGAAAACTCGTTTAAGTATTTCAATCTGTTGAAACTTTCAAATGAATGTTGTCTATAGAAACAAGGTAAGTTAGGTTTTCCTTCTGTTCATTGTTTGCAAAAGAATGGCCCTAAGGACACTTTGAACCGAGTAAATAGATTGAAGTCAGTGCCAAGAGAATAAATATCGCTTTCGGTTCATATCAGATGAGTGAACACCGTTCTATTTTTCACATGATTTATCTCATTGGTCACGTTTTTAGTCCTTGATCTCCGAAAAATCTTAAAGTAGACACACCACACCCACTTCTTTTAAAAATCCTTAAAAGTTGTTTCCAAAGAAATGAGAAAATTATTTAAGACGCATTTTCCGAGATGGCATTACAAGGAAAATGAAAGATCTTAAAATAGCTTCTTCTTTTCCTAATTTCCTTTCGTTCCTCATCTTTCTTCTTGTTCGTGTGTCTTCCTTAACTTCTCCATGAATTGTGAAGAATTTGTAATCATTTGACAACTTCTAACGATATTGACGTTGATTCCGTCTCACATATCGTACGACAAAGTTGAACGGGAAGTCATTATGTCATATAATTTTATTTTACTGCGAGACTTCTCGAAAGGTTTTTATTGAGTTTCCGAAGCACCAATTAGCAGTAAACGGAAGATAATATTGAAGCGAAATTAAATCGGGGAAAATTTTTCTTATCTTGTCTCTTGGATCTTTATAAATACTTAAGACGCGTTTGAAAGTTTTCCGCTACTTCATTTCCACGTTTTTATTTATACTTTCGAGATTACAAATTAATGATTACAAATTTGTTGCTGGATTTTCTATAAATGGAGAATTTATTTTATATTCCTAAATATTTTATACACGCTTGTTAAGTAGAAACAATAAATTAGCATTATGCTGTGAGTTTTGACAATTTCTCGATGAAGACACGTTTAATTCCGTTTACCAAACTAAGAAACGAGAAAATGTGCAGATAAGTGCAGCAACCTTTGGAAGATCAAGTGAGATGCTTCAAGCAATTTAAAAGTAAATGCTAGAAATTCAATCTGTTGAAACATTGTTTTGCTTTCCTTAAAATCTTTCTCGATGTGTGTTGGTTTTGCATCATCATTCATTAGAGAATAGCGAACATGTTTGAACTTTAAATATTTTTCTTGTGGTCAATATTCTGAAAATGAAAAACTGAGGTTTGGCAATTAAAATTTGCTGCTTGGATTAATTTCCTGAAATTCATAGTTTAACCTTCAGATAAAAAATAATTTCATGCTGTGGATATTTGTCGAAATCTTTCAACCATTCCATCAACGGTATGTGAGTAAAATATTCTGAAATGAAAATGGAATAAAACAAAATATTTTTAGAATTTTCTTATACATTACATATATTTTCATACACATAATGAATTCAAATATAATTATTTTTTTTTTTGTGTCTTCTTTCACAATTATCATTTCTGCTTAATCCAAGGACTGTTTTCACATTATAGCTTTATCGATTTCATGTGTTTCTAGTCTTTTATGAGCTAAAGTTTTTGAGCTTTACGGCTGTTTCGAATTTTTTTCTTTTTGCAGACATTCACTACAGCATAACATGAAACAAAACAAAAATGTTCTCTTTTCAAAAATGATCATCTGCTGAAGCGAGTGAAAAACGAAAATGTTTTGTAATCCGTACGCTAATTTATCGCATTTTACGTTTGAGACAGTTTTATGATGTTTTTGTTGTGTATTTATATCACCAAAGATTCTTTTGTTTTTGCTGTTTACGTGGATATGAAACTCAGATAGAAGTTTTTATAGCTTTCTGTGGATCAGATCACAAACATTGCTTGAATATTCTTTTCATCATGTCAGGGATATTTTGACGGCTTTTTTTCTTTTTTCTTTCTCACTTGTTTTTCTTTTTCTTTTTTGTTGTGAAAAATGAAAATTGTCGATTTCTTCAAAGATAAGAGTCATCAGATTAGAAATTTTTTTACTTTTGCTTGTAGTTCTGAATTTTTTTGTGAAAAAAACATCAAATGTAAGAGATATGGTATGTCATTCGTTGCTGAAAACAATCAATCACTCTCGAATGATTTCTTCGTATCGTAATTTATTTTGAACCAGGCTTTAGCAAGAGAAAAGGAGAAGCCATTTAACAAATTAAATTACATTTACGTAGGTGGCATGACAACAATTTAAACAATTTAATTTAATCATATATTTTACTCTCCCTCACTCGTTTATATTTTTTTTCTTGTCGACTAATCACAATGCACCTAAAACATTTATAATGTCTATTTATGGTAGTTTAATTAATATTTTCTATGTATTTCTTCTTTATTCTTTTACTGCTAAAACAATCATAAAAATTTCTTGTTATAATTATTAGGGGAGTAAAAGCATGTGTTATAAATTAAGAGAAAAGGAATTTTAAAGATAAAACGAGCTAAGAAGTTATGTTAAAACAAAAATAGAATCACATCTTTCAAAAGACAATAAAACAATCTCCGAAAATTCATGCAATGTCTTTCGAGTTTTATTTACTTAGATATTATTTTTTTAAGTCTCTCTAACTTATTTAAGGGACGAAATCTGATAGATCACTTAGTCGCAAATATTTCCCGGTCTGATTAATATTGTTTTTAATCCTCTTTCACAGTTCTGTCAAAGACAGTGATGAAACGGAAAAGCTTCTTTTGTATAAAAAAAGATAAATTTTCATGAAACATGGAAATTGAATTTGAAGTGCTCAGTTGAGTGAAAAACTTTAATCACACTGCTGCGAAATTATTATATTTTCCCATCTTCATCGTTTGCTTTACTTTTCATTTGTTTGTGACTTACAATGTAATGGAAAAAAAAGTTTTAAATTAATATTTCTCGCGAAAAAATTGTTCAAGAGGGAATAATTTAGTAAAAGAAAATGAAGAAAAAAGAAATCTCCACCAAGTTTCTTTTTCTTCGGGAAATCTCATTAATTAGTTTGAAGAGTTTTTCTGTTTTATTTATTTTTATTTTTTTTTTGTTGATGTTTCGATAAATTTAAATTAACGTATAATTTTTGCTTACTTCTCTCATCTTGCATAAATTTTCATTCCTCAACTTTGCAAGTTCTCTTCGGGCTCATCTTATTACCTAATATAAAATTAATTGAGATTGTCATTTCTTATTCTTTTTTATTTTTTAGCTTCTTGATATTCCTTAGATAATTTTACTTCAATGATGAAATGAAAAATGTCTCGAAGTAAAACAGAAAGAAATGCTTTAATGCCATTTGAAGCAGAGATGACAAAATAAGATTAACGAAAATTTGAAAAGTTTTCATCATCTCGAATTGTCTAAGAAAAAAGTTGTTGTGTGGAATTGTGAGAATCTCAACATAACATAAAAACACAATCATCAAGATTTGCAGAAAGAAACATTCGCTTGGCATAACATCTTATTTTCCACATTGTTTTAAAGGCCATTTAACTCTCATTTTTATTTACGTACATTTTTCTTTCTTTTCTTATTATATCGATAGAACCGTAGAAAACCAGATTTTTTTTTCACTTCTTTTGTGTATTTATCATTGTAACAGTTTTTTTTTTTTGATAACGTCGTAACATGTATCATCATCTTAGTTTTGGAATATTCATTTTATCTTATTTACAGAATTTATTTAGGTACAAGTATCTTAAATATTAACTTCATTCCTTCTATTCTTGCTCTATAAAAACTAGTTTATCTATCTCGTTCTTCTCTAACACTGGGGCTAAAACATTTAATTTGGTTTTCTTTTCAAAATTTTTTTTCTCATTTTTACTTTCATTTTGAAAATAAAGATATGTGTGATATGTCTAGAAACTTCTACACAATTTTCGTCACTCTAAAAGGTGTTTGGCATTGAAAGAAATGTTTTTTTGCTTAATGAAGGAAAAGGAAAATTCCGTTTAAGTGTGTTTTTAAAATTTTATTTCAAAAAAATCACAACACAGAGTACGATGTCATTTTTGTATGCAGCATTTTTTTAAATTTTCAAGCTTTCTTAGATGTAAGGTATGTACAAAAGAATCTCATTTATTTTTTATTTTAAAGAGATGATAGAAAGTTCACGTATGTTTGTGTCTACTTAGCACAGGTACGACAAGATTAAAAAGATTTAACAAGATTGAAATGAGAATGGAGAAGTGGATGAAGTGAATTTAATCTTTTATGAGAAACACTTTCATGTCGTATTATTTCTTATCAATTGAACAACATTCAACGTGTCGTGACAAAAATATTTTCCTTCGACTTTTCCTTTTTAGCGAATGTTTCAAATAGCGTTATTCTAACATTTTCAATTGGAATCTTTTTTTTATTATTATTATTTTCACATTATTTTTTATTCCCCATGAAGTCTGCTACAAGCTACAGATTTAGAATTGTGTGTTTTTCTTTTTATTCGTCTTATCATGAGAGAAAATGTTTATTTCTTCTTAACTTTCTTACTTAAAGATTAAAAGGAGAAAAAAAAATAATATTCTAACAATGAAGTCGTTATGATATTTTTCTTTAATCATGTTTCAATATTGCCACGGAAATTGAGATAGTTTACAAGATATTTTTGGCTTCACTTAAGTTTTGTATCGTTTTCGAAATAGGAAAAAGTGTAATGATATCAAAAATCCAAAGTCATATGGTGCGATCAACATTTGCCTTAATCGTTCTTTCATTTCTTTATAATTATATAATTTTACATCAACAAACACATAATACAACCTTTACAAAACTGGGATTTTCATTTCCACTTTATAGTCATTTGTTTTTCATGCGTTGATAAACGAAAACGTTTTTCTTTCTTTTTTTAATTTTAAAACTTCATTGAAGCAAGTAGAAATTTTCTTTTTCTTTTGATTGTTGTTTGACACTTGAACTTATTTTTGATTACTTGTTCACACTGATCCTAAATAGTAATTAAATTATTGTTTGACAATTAATTATTTCATTAATTAATATTTCACATTCTGCCGACGTTGATTTTTTTTAAGAAACTTATTAAGCATCAAAATTATTAACTCGCAAGTTAAGATTGTCTTTAGTTGACATTTAATTTCACTCTTCGGTTATAAAACATTCACGATGAACATTGTTGGTGTTCATTTTCTTGAGGCCGGTGAGATTTCATGTGAGCGCTTCGACTTTTGACTTTATTGAAAACTCTGAGATAAGAAAAAAGAGTGAAATAATTTAATGTCATTAAATTTTGTTTACTCGCTTTTCATATAATTTTTTTAAACAGGAAATCGGACAAGACGAAAAATAAAAAAACTTAAATTTTATATGTCATTTGACTCAAACGAAATTAAAGAACAAATTCATTCTAAATTATTTCTAATTTTATGATTATAAAGAAATAAATTATAATTTGCGTTTATCTAAATATGCTTTCAACTCATTAAGTAAATCTAAATATTTATGTAATAAAATGATGAAAACAAACTTAAATTATTTGACTAAGTAAGAAGACAAGACAATTAATGATAAAGTAAACAATCAAAGTGCCTAGTGAGGACATCTATCTAGGGTCTTACTTGCCGCACACCTTGCAGGGAAAATCATCCTTTAAGTTTGTTCCCGCTTGGATAGTATTGTTTAATAAATTACCATTATTCAACTGGTTCATGCTTCGTCCGATACAGTGAATGCGTGTGTGTCCATGCAAAGCAACGCGGGATGAAAAACTCTGTGTTAAGTGTTCATAAAGATAGAACACACAGAAAAAAGAAGAAGAAAATGGAGAGGGGAAACATGAAAATCGTATAAATTGACGGCATTAAAAATTTAATGCTTCATTATAGCGAAATGATGTCGTTAATTAACTTACGGCCGAACAGTCAGGAACTTCGCATACATGAGGTCGTAGTTCAGAGTTTTGGTTGACAGTGGTTGGATTATTCTGTCCAATAATATTTCCGTTATGGATCGTTAAATTATTCGAATTATTATGGTTGTTGGAATAATCAAAAAAATTATTTTCGCAATTTGTTGTGTTATTGTTACTGTTATTTTCATTGTAGCTTTCACGATTGTGTTGGGGAAGATGTGTAGATTTATATTCATTGCATAGCTTTTTCCAGAAGTAATATAATTGAACGCAATCGGCTGTTGTTTTACTCTCAACATCACGAGAGATACTTGAAAAATCTTTTCCATACCTTTCTAAACCTTTCAAAAATTTCTCCATTTCATTTTGTGTCCAACGTTTGTCAAGACTCACATCTGGTGCTTGTAAGAGCTTTAGAACTGCTACATGAACTTCTCCCTGTGACTCCATCAACACCTTTAGAGCTGACTCAATTGAATGCAAGCCCATCATCACAGCTGACGATTTCGCCAAATCAATGAAGCGATCTAATTGACGATTGTCCTCAAGTACATTTGGTTTCCACAGTAACGTTTCGTAAGGTTTATTTTCATCATATTGCAATGAAATAATGTCCGTTGATAAAGACACTTGATAATCTGAACCGATATTGACCCTCGGCTTTTCAAAGAAATCAATCACATTTACTTCTTCATCGTCAACGTCAATTAATTTATCTACAGATGTTCTCGAGAATAATCCATTACCTTGACGTTCGGGATTAAGCATTGGTGATGGCGTATAATGAAGTTGTGATGTTTTCTTCATATTTGATTTGAACTGTTCGTGTTTTTTTACGGTTGTGCCATCAATTTGCATTTTCTTCTTTGACACTAATGCACAATGGAGCTTTGGTGATGAACCGCTCGATGATATGCTGTTGGGACTCAGGAAGACTGAACCAATATTCTCCTTCGTTAGGATTTGCTGGGTTTGTACATTTAAAATATTCTTATCGCTATTATCACTGATTTCATTGGGGCCTTGTTCGGTTTTAATTTTCTTAGCTTCTGGTGGTGTAAATGGATCGATATCGAAGTTTGGTGTCTCTTGTGACGAGTGGTGTTGATTTTGTTGTTGTTGTATTGATGTTGATGTTGTTGTTGCTGCTGTTGATGTAGTCGTTGTTGTTGTTGATGGTTGTTGACGTTGACTACCAAAATCTCTCGGTATTGATGACAAAAGTGGATCATCTGAGTTTGACATCATTTGTGATTGAAGTGAAAGACCGGAGAGAAAATATAAATCTAATGTCGAACCAGCACCATCATCTTCATTTGGTAGAATCTCGTCAAGTGCTTCTTTTACTTCTTCAGCTGTTGACATAGCAGCAGAAAAGAAAGCGGCTGACAAAGGCGACGACGTATTACGATCATCGTCAATATTAAATGCTTGCGCTTCATCTAAGAAATCTAAATTTTGATTAAAATCTTGTAATTTGGCACTGTTATCACCGATGAATGTTTTCGAATCGTTATTTAAAAAACTATTATCGCCTTTAAAGAGATCATGTTCGTCTAAAATGCTTTTGTTGGTGCGGAAAAAGTTACTTGTCTCCTCCAGTACGTTCTTACTATCATTGAACAGTTCGTTCTTCAACTGAAGTATTCGTTCGCTTTCAGTTAAGTTGCTATTGTCTTTTATACTTTTCGAGAAGAACTCACTGTTGTCGTCCAACAGGAAATTCTTTGTCTTTTTATCTTCATGGAAAAATGTACTGCCATCGGAGAAATGATGGGAGTCGTCTAAGAATGGCGATGCTTGCGCAATTGTTTCATGACTAGCTGGAGGTGTTGGATAAGGTGATGGCAAAGGCGATGCCGATGTTGTTGGTGATTCATTACTTCCATAAAGCATGTAATCTTTTGAATTGAGTGTGCCAAACTCGACCAGGGAATCAGGCAACGGTGAATCCAAAACAGCTTGTAATTGACGCGAAGGTGTAAAGCTCTGATTCAATGATACATTTTCTGATAATGACGTGTAATCGCTCAACGATCCAATGTCATCAAGTTGATCAGATGTCGAACTATCTTGAAGTAATTGAATAGAATCGACAGCTTGTAAAAGCATTGCAGTATCATTAACATTATAAACATCTTGATCACTAAGGAACGATGGTGAATTGTTGCCCGAGTAAGCAAGAGTGTAAATATCTGAAGATCCAGATGTTGACGGTGCTTGAGAGATTGTTAAAGACAAGGGACTTGATGATCCATTTGACAAAACAAGAGACGTCGTTGAGTCAACAGAGGATGTCTCAGGAGATGAAATTGATGTTGGCACAATAACTCGTGCCGCTGATGTTTGTTGACCGGGATCAGAGCAAGTTCTTTTTACAGCAACTTTTGTGCCACGCTTAAGAAGTTCAATCAATGTAGCATCTTTGTCACTTGATAGCGGTGAAATCTGTGCTTTTGGAACGAGACTCGAGGGAGAAGTTTGCTGTGCTACTTGTTGCACAATTGCCTGTTTCGCTAGCCCATTAAGAGACGTCGATGTTATACCAGATGCCACAATTTTTATCGTGTTGTTATTAGTGTTTGATAGTGTGTTTACATTCTTTGCATTAAGAAAGGCTTCAGCTTCGGCGAGACGCCGAGTTGCGGATAGTGGAGCAGCTGGGACGACAAACGCTCCCTTGAATAACATAAAGAGAATGAAAAATTACCACCAATAACGTGATTTCGTTTTATGTTCACAAACGGATGGCTTACCTTTAAGTCTTTGCTTCTTTTGTTGATGATTTTTTCTTCGATAAGCGCTCGAACACCCACGCTTGCTGTTTGAAGAGGCGGCCCCGACGATTCTTTCTTATCAGATTTTTTTGTGTCTGTGTCTTTTTTGAAGTATCCACCATGAAGTCGCATGTGCCCGTTAAGTGCTGGAATATTTTTAAACTTTCGATGGCATAAATTGCACTCAACTGGCTTCTGTTCAGCTTTTTGTCCATTCTGTTGACTATTTGGTGATGCTGCTTGAGTTGTCTTTACATTTTCATGACTCGACGATGTCTTTGATACATTCTGAAGCTGAGTCTGTAAAAATCATTAAAATAAATCCAATTATTAATTGAGAGAAGATTTTTTTTAGCGGCAATGTCGGAGACAAGGACTTGATAGATTTTCAAAAGCTTTTTTTTCCTTTATCGATAAATCCTTTTTTTATTTCTGTCTTCTTTCTTTATTTAAAGGAATTAATTTTAATTGCAAAAAAGGATCTCGAATAACGAATCCCTCAAACTTTAATCCATTCATTTGATGAAATAAATAAAAGAAAGGGGGAAAATGTAATTCAATTTCATTATAATTCAAATCACTTTGATGTTCTTTGTTGCATGAAAAGTTTTAATTTTAACTTTTCTTTTTCTCAGAGGAGTGTCTCGAAGATTTTTTCTTTCTTTCTCTGATTTACATGCTTCAACATAATGCAATAGAAATTTCAAATTTCAATTAACGCTGAATACTTTTGTGTTTGCTTTTAGGTTTTCGAAGCTTTGAAAAGCTTTTCTTTTTGTGTAATCTTCCTAACTTTGATGTAGACATTTAAAGTTATTTTCAGCATTTTGTTAGATATTTGAGATGAATTTCATTTTCGCTCCTTGAGTCACGACTCATGTCAATGAATTAATGAAAATTCTTCCACCAAAACAAACTCGAAGCGTGAAACAGCTTCACATGCATTCAACATTCCGCATTTTTGAATTTAAATGTTCTGATTTAAGTCGCTTGCCATCGTTTCACTTCCATCATAACTTCATAAAAATGTAAAGTAGAAATTTTCTCTTATTTGCTTTCTGGAAAATAAATCTCAGATGGTTAAATGAGCTGTAACTCGCATGGTTGACTTCTGATGATACACCGGAGAGAATAAAGAGAATATTATGGCAACATCTGACAAAGGTTGGCATGTTATCGTGGAAGTGTAAAAAAATATCTTTATATGACAATTTTTACGCAAAACAAGGGAAACATAACTGTTTTATTATAACTGTATGACTAGTAGTAGGTAGAAAACGTTAACACAAACACATAAAGACATCATTTATGATGGCTGTTCAGTTCACATTCAAATTTACAATTTAAATCTAACGTCATGAGGGAGAAGGAAAAAAGTTATCTGCTTTAATGTCTTAGTTTGCATATTTTTGCACAGCATCGCATATGATAGAATAGAAATTTACATGTTTACAGGATAGAAGTGGAATTTATGCAAAATACTCATGCGAATTTTATTAAACTCTCATGTGGCTTTGCATTATGAAGGGTGAAAAATATGTATATCTAGTCCGAGGCATGTTATAAAGTAATGCTGTGAAATTTTGCTGTGCACACTACGTGGCAAAAATATTTTTATTCTACTGCCAGTTTTTTGTGTTGGTTAACCATACTAAAGAAAATATTCATATTTATTATTATTCTCTATTCTCCATAACGAGATATGACATAATTTGAGTGTGGGTGGACAATGCTTGGTAAAGCATTAAGCTGTAAACGAAAATTGAATTTGGACGAGCAAATATAAAATTACTTTCAGTTCGTTCGTCCATTCACGTTAATGATTTTACAACATCAACATTCACAATGTTTCCGAATCATCTCTCACCTGCATATTCCAAGTTCTCGGTCGTTGCACGGTTGTTTTCTGTCCATTTGCTTGCTTCGTTTGCTGCATGATTTGACTAATCAAATCCAACTGCTGACGTGTTAAACCTTCATTATTCGTTCCCGTAGGGGAACTAGGCGATGGAGATTTAGAATTGATTGCAGTTATTGTGTTGCCATCACCATTTATCTGATATTGTATGCAAGTGGCGCCATGTGGCGAACTGGCATCGCCTTTAGAAGAAAGAAAGTAAAAAACAAAGGAGAGTCATGTTGAGATAAGATTTAATACAGAGATTTATCGATCCTAGTTTGACAAAATGAAAAATTACCGCTTGCTGTTGCTGGTGATAAACTGGGATTGGTAATTGTTGATGTGCCACTGCTTGTGTTATTAGACGACATACTGTTAGATTGATTTTGTGATGATGCTGTAGACGTTGTCAAAACCAGCGTACTATGATGGTTCTCGGTGTGACGTCTCAGGGAGCGAGCGTCACAATAAGATTTCCCACATCCTTCAGCCTTGCACTCATACGGTTTCTTATTCCGATGTGTCAACATGTGACCATTTCTAAGCGATGACAAATGAAAGAAAATATCTTTTCAGAGTGGATTGCGGTTGTTGTCATAATTGCAAACTCTTACAAATGATCCTGTCGTTTGAATGCTTTCGAGCACATACCGCAAACATATTTTCGTTCATCACTGTGGGTTAATTTGTGTTTTGCCAGTGCCGATGCATTGCCAAACACTTTGCTACAAACCTATGATGAGTATGGAAGGAAGAAAAATAAATAAATAAATCTTTACTAAAGTATGAAAAAGCTTCAGTGAATGAATGAATATTTAATAAGTCAAATTGATAACCACTTCACGAGAGATGGATACTTATGTAAGTAAATTCTGAATATTTGATGAGAAAATTTTATCTTCATTCACGATAAATACTGCACAGAAGACTATAAGTTTAGACGTCAGACGGATGGGAAAGAGTGGCTTGAATTTTAAGTAAAGCTCAAGAACCCGAAAAAGACTTTTGCGTTTATTATTCTTCAATCTTTTCTTTTTTTTTTCTTTTTCGGCAGCCTTTCGTCTCCAATCCGAACAATATAGAAAGTCAGATAAAAAGCAGAGGGAAATCATAATAAAAAGCTTCAACATTTTACCCTTAAAAACCGTCGACGGAATATTGACAATTCTCGAAGCGAGAGTTTCCCATAAATTATAAATGTTCGCAAGGGATTCTGACATAAAGCTATTAAAGTCTGAACTTTTTTGAATTGAATTTTTTTCTGTGTTGCTTCAGCTTTTCATCCCGTCCGCGTCCGTTGAATGGATTTGAAAGTTTTATTATTAAAGAAGGAGCAAAGGAAGATGGAAATCTTTAAAGAAAGCAAAAGCAGCCGCAAAGTAGATAAATTCGGGTTAACACTTAACAAATTACCCAAACATCTTCCGAATTCACAAACATTTTTCTACACCGTTAAGTGTTTGTTTTGGTTCAGATGTGAAAATTCTCGTACCTATCATAGTCATATCATTAACCCTCATGTTCATAGTAGCTTTTTGTGTGATTGCATGACCCATATGTTTAATTAAGTGTACATATGGCACTTTTCTGTTGTACAACAATAAAAAAAGGGAGAAAAAAAACATGAAGACAAAAATCTCCATGTTTGACCAAAGCATTAACCTCACATATCTCTAACAAAAACCGTATTAGCCTGTTTACCTTTGAATGAATTGGCTGTTTGGATATGGTGAACGTTACATCCATTCATTAAGGATTTTCTTTCAAATACATAAATCATGAAAGTGTTTTGTGCTCGGTACGCAATGATGCGTGTGCTGATTCAAGGCGATATCAAAATACATGAAATTTTGCAGATACAATGTTTGGACGCACACGCACAAAATTAATCAAGAATAGTTTCATGTTGAAGTAAGAGAGAGTGAGCTGTCCAATGATGTTCAATATTAAATGGTAGACTCATGAAAAAAAGGAAAATCGAACTTAAATCAAATACAACATGAGAAAGCTTTGTAAAAGATTAACATTCAAGAGCTGTAACGAACATCAATAAGTACGAGCTACTTCACTAGTCTCCAATGGATTTTTTATTTTCTATCATGATTCATGAACTTCATCTTTTCTGTTATCTTCTTCTCTCTTTTCTTTTTTTTTTCTTCGACTCATGTCAAAATCAGTTACGAAAATTTATCGACTACGCATCGAGAATACTAATATTGAAATTATTGAAAGCATAGCGCGTAAAGTGCTTTAATAGTCTATTGCTATCAATTCCATTCCCTAAACTCTTCAATTTTTCCTTCCATTCTACTATAAATGATATGAATTAATAAGAAGATGAATGTGTATTTATTGAGAAGTGATTCAAGTGAAGGAAATTTTATTCAAGAAAACGAAATTCTGCTTGATAATTAAATTAAGAATCATTTACAGAGGGAATCCTCAAGCAGAATAGTTTAACATTAAATGAAGCTAACAAAAGTCATGAAGAGAATTAAAAGAGCTTTTAAATGTACAAACTTCATTCATTCCGTTCATTAAGTTTTCAATAACTTTACAATTAAGCATTCTATTGTGATTTTGAACCCTTTCGAAAGATCGACAACTAATACACTTGAATCAAAGTTTCAAAGGGAATTTCATTAAAGCCGTTTAATGGAAAGAGCTGAAAGCAAATTTCTTTCCATCATTTGGCTTTTTTTGAACTGGCATTTCATTGAAATCGAGCATGCGTATTTGTGTGTGTCGATGTCGACTGCAAATCGTATTTACTTTACCGTAAACGTTTAATGTACATCCATTTTGCAATATTTATTTTGATAATGCTTGAAGGAAAATCGGGGAAAATCCTTACGGTATTTCATATTCTATTGTTTCCACATGGCAAAGCTCATTTGGAGAGTAAGAAGATTTTCAGTCAGCACAAAATAAAATAATATAATATATAATAAAAAAGAAAGAAAAAAGCATTAGGGAATACTAACTTATAAAAAAAGCAGATAACTACATGAACAGACATTCATGAATGTGATGGAAATGCTTTGATGTCAGAGTGGGAAAAATGTTCGCTCATCATTTTATTGAATTTGGTAGATTTCAGGGCGTCTTTTATATCATTCTTAACGTTTGTCTTTTGTTTCAAGCCGTGTTTGCCAATAATCATGAATAAATTGTCTATTTACGTTATCAGCATCCATTCATGAACACGTTTTCTGCGATTTTGTGAATTGACCTGAATATTCACTTATGTGAAACATTAAGCATTGTCATTGCTCTTTGCCAGAAGAAAGTAAAGTAAGAAAGAAAGAAAGAAAGAAATCCAAAGTAATAGAAGACGACAACGTGGAATAAAAATGACAGAAAAGTAAATAAAAAACGGAGAAGAAAACATTTGCATAATCATCGCAAAACAATAGGGAAATACATTTGCCAAAAGGAAAATTGAAAAGAAGAAATATTTCTCGTTTTCCTCTTTACTTTGAATAAGCTTTTATCTCGTTGCTTCATTCATCCCTTCGTTCGTCATGTATTCTCAAGACACGCAGGTGGTTTCATTCTTCACACACATGTTGTGATGACTTGAAAATATCTTTTCTATTGTGCTTCGCATCGATGTTAAAGTCAAACTGATGGTGTGAGAATGGAAAGCGGGAAAATTTCATTCTTCATCAGATCCAATCTCAGACGAAAATATAATTTTATCTTCCGCTTCTCATTTATTTTTAAGTTAAAGCAAAGGAAGCAGATTGAATTTCTTTTAGAAATATTTATATACAAACAAATATTTCCATTAAATTAATGAGAAATGAAAGCGGCAAAATTTTACCTGGCATACTTGTGGACCATGTCGCGTTGGTGACGCTGTTTTTGGTCTTTGTTTTTTAGCCGGCGTTGATGAAACAGCAGCATGATGTAAATTGGAATTGGTTGATGGAGTAACTGTGGTAGCCAAAGTTGTCATAGTAAGCGGCTGTTGTGTTGAAACTACGATTGAAGCTGCTGTCGATGACGACGGCGAAATCTTTTGAGTATGATGAGACACGCTTGATGATGCTACAGTCTCGATTACTTTAGCAACTGAAAATAAATTGAGTTGTTTACAATGCGAAGATTCTTTTTCATTTCACTGCTTTTGTTAAATTTCCATCATTTCAACCGTCTATTTATGTATTTTCATTTTTTGTATTTTTGGTTAACATGGCGTTGAAGCAGCGGAAAAATTTCCGCTTCGACATTATTAATTACATTGTCGTACCAGTCAGAAGAGAGTAAGCTATTCTGGTTTAAATAAGACGAAGCAAAAGATACTGAAATTATGTCGTTAAAGGCAATATCAGGATGCTGTCAAAAAATATTTTTCAAGCGATAATAAATTAACTGCCATGAAGATTTTCGTTTTTATTTTCTTATTTTTTTTTATTTTCGGGTGTTGTAATCACTTTTAGCCTTAGGAAGGCTTTTTTCTGAACTTCCTTTGTGCTTTGCCATCATAACCATGAATTATTTTCCAACATTTTCATAAATATCGATAAATGAAAAGACGAAGTTTTCCATTCACGATGCTTGGCAAATAGTTTAAGGCGAAAAGCGTTGGAGAAAGTTTTCGGATCACCGAAAATAATTGATAAACGCTTAAAACATTAATATTCGGGAAATTGTCGTTTCAACAGCTTAAAGATTTCGCAAAGTGTACTTAATTTTATTTTATATACAATTTAATAGGATTTACATGATGAAAGCTTGTTGAGCTACGAATTTTCTTTTTATCATCATCATCATGCCTTGAATTATTAACTAAAAATTAACAAATATTTTTAAATGGAAATATATAAAAAAAATTCTTTCGTGGAAAGCTTCTTATCAAAAAGCTTTGAACTTAAATGGAATATTTATAGCAACAATTTTAATGTTTAAGCACTTCTTCAAACCTACACATTTAATTTTAATTCATCGTTTGATGACGAGTCAAGACTTTATGTTTTTGCCATCGTAATGAACTTTTCATTCTAAGAATTTTAATTAATTACAACGCAAAACATGTTGAAGAGTAATTTGAGTGTTTGATCCTTTCTCATAACATTTTTCACTTTTATTAATCTTATTTTTTCTGATCTCCTCATAATACTTCAAAAGACACTTCTGTTTGAGATGGAGACACTTTATATTCAAGTTTTCTCCCTCTCTCATCGCCATTCGTAAATATTTTTGCTTCTTCAATTTAATATCGACGGGAATTACGTATTCTGAATTTTGATGTGACTGACTCGATATTAGCAGAAGCAAGAAAGATGAAATGCAAATTGAATTATGATGATGCTAATAACAGACTTAAAATCAGCTATGCAATGGCAGTGTTTGCTTATCTCTATCTCTCTGTCTCTCTCTCTCATTTCTATCCTCAAAACCGTAAATAAATTTTCACATTCACATCACGTACCTGTTTCAGTTTTATTAATTGTTGTGGTAGTTAAACCGTTTGCTTTGAAGAACGCATTCGCTATGCTCTGCGGTCGATTACCGTTCTCGACAATATCAAATGTTGCATCAGTTCCACCAGCCTGAAATATACCAAGCATATCGGCCAAAACGTCTGGATCAGGATAACCGATTGTTACATTATTTATTGTGGTGCCAGATTCCGAAACGGGAGCTTGTACTGCTTCTCTAAGTTGCAATGTCACAGAACCTTCTGCTCCCATCGATGCACTGCACATAAGTAGCCTTGGTGGCGCCAGTCCAGTCAGCGGTAGTCGCAAGCCGGCTTGAACCTACCAAAATATATGAAAGACATAAAAATAAATTGAAATTAGATATTTTTTAGCTTTGTTATCATCAGAACATGTCAAATAATAAACTTTGTCCAATTGTTGGTATAACTAAATAACAAAACGAAACTTAATCTCAACGTAATAATCAGAACTTTCAGTTAGATATCGATTTTTGTATTATGATAATACATACTCTCGATTATATTGCTAACTCCATTCGACATTGGAAGAAACTTTTGCCTTAAGCATTTTGCCCCGTTCCACTTTTCCTCGTTTAACCTTATAATAAAACAATGGTAATAAAAGTTTATTTGATTTTCTCTCTCATTTCAACCGATATCGCATTCCGCTCCCATTTAGTTAATCTTGTTGAAGCATCAATTGTAGTGAAAATATTTTTCTTATCTTTAGTTCAAACTTTGACGCAATTTCAATTCTCATACTGCTGGAAGAAGAAAGAAAAATTTTTGCCTTTGGATGGAAGGAGAAGAGAACGAAGCTTTTTTTTATAGATTTTATGCCTTTGGGATTTTAAGACCATTTTTAATTAATGGAACCTTTTTTTTCTCTCACTCAAAAGTCCTTTAAAGTATCACCCTCAACTTACATCGCATTTTCTTTTCAAGGCCTTTAAGGCTTCACCAAATTCTATAACATTGCTACGATACCTCTCAACTTTCCTTTTTCCTTTTTGCTGTCAAAGAGACGAAGCAAACTAATCACTCGAACGTGCAAGAAAATTAAAGCGGATCAGAAAATGTTTCTTCATTCCGACTTAAAGTTGAAGAAAGAACATATTTTGATATATTCTTCATGTAAGTATGTTTACTCATAAACGACATGTTCTAAGCCCAAAAAAAACATAATCGGAAGCGTGAAATGTGTTTTCATTTTGTGTTGGAAAATATTTGCGTTAGATAAAAGTTTTATACTCGCTTTTCGAAAAAGCATTTTGTTTTTGAAATAACAAACTCAAATTATATTTCATTTCAATTCAGCGTATGAGTTTGAATCACACAAATTGTCTAAGCGAACTCAACCGAAATGTGTTTTGTAAAAAAAAAATTTTTTTTTGTTTTTTGTTGCAGGAAAGACGATTAGAGAATGTTTGGCAAAATTCCCATAACTACAGCCGCGAGACGAAATAAAAACAAGAGAAATTAATTTTAGTTATTTTCGCTTTCAGTTTCTTTTTCTATTTTATTTAAATAACTTATATTTATATTTGAGATGGGATACTAAATTGAAAATATGTGCATATAATTAATATAAATAAAATTAGAGACAAGTTTAAATTGGTCTAACTTTATTTAGAATTTTCTTTTCAACTTTTATTCCTAATGAAAGGTTACAAGTTGTTATCACCTTTTGAATTTGTCAGCTTCAATAGAAATAGAAATTAAAGAGAAGACTTTAAATACTTTTCAGAGTCCATTTCCTTCAAAAAGTATAAAATATCTCATGAAATTATTGAAATGAATAAAATCGACGATAAAAAATCTTTAACGCGTTGTCATTAATTAAAATGACCGAACTTTGAACAATTAAATAATTATCAAACAACTCTTCTTTTTATATTTGAATTATTTCTGACATAAAATTTTATTTTTAATGCCTCGTAACATCTTTTAAAGTGTTTTTAAAACCGCTTTAAACCGACGTTAACTTGTAAAAAGCCTTTTTGTTGAAAAATGAGTGGCAGAGTATTTGAGAAATGTTTGGATGAATGTTACCATTCTCTTCACAAAAATGTACAAAAACATCGCATTCTGTCTCCGCGAAAAACCCATAAAGGTCAGCTGGCGCTTTAAATCAGTGACAATGATTAAGTATTCTATTCGCTTGTCACTGACATAGGCTGTTTTATTTTTTCCTTTCGCTTCGAATGAAAGTTAACATAAAAAATGAGGAAAGTTTTCTACGCTCCTTCACTCAGATCCACCACGAAGTGTTTTTGTGTTTTTCATTTTTTTTTGTTGCGGGACTTAAAATGAAAACGGACTAACTTTTAATGCTGAGAGGAGAGGAAAAGTTTTAATCTCTTAATTTGTTTCCATAGGCTTCAATATCTGCATAAAAATTAAACTTCTTCGTTTGCCTTTTTTCATCGAATCCTTTTCAGACTACCGTTGATGATAACATAAGTTAATGTGAGCGAAAATCAATATAGCTAAAATAAATTTACATTTAAGCAGTTAACAATTCCTACTGCTGCACTAAACTGATGCTGATTAATGGCTTCTAATTTCTCCTGTCGATCCTTGTTTACATATATTTTATATTACGTTGAAGATTTATTTACACACCCTTATCATTCCATATAATGAACTACTAAATCACTTTACTATTGAAGCAGATAAGCGAACGATTCATCCCATATGTAGTGGTGGTTATGTGGTTGTAAAAAGCGAGTCTTCGTTGAGGTAAAGGTAAAGTATGAACAAATAATTAGCGTATCGACGGCATCGCTCTTTTACAAGATGAATATCTGAACATCTAATTAAAACTTTATTCATTATCTGAATATAAATTTTAGTAATTAATACATCATATATTTTATAGACTGCTAGTTCATAGTTTTCAAAGATAAATTGCTTGCTCATTTATTTTACACACATACCTTTCAAGTCTACGTTTAACATCGAAGCGTCGATTGCTCGATTGCGCTTGTGAAAATTATTTCATGAATCATAGAAAAGGAAAGAATGCAAAATTAAGTGCCAAAGTTTTTCTTCTACTCGAATTATGTATTAGACAGACGACGAAGAAAAATAACAATAAATCATTGCGTTGAGAGTAAAGACGATCGAATTAAATATTCTGAAAGCTGTAAAAAGTTTTTGAGAGTTTCTCACTTCCAGAAATTGTGATCAGAATTATGATTAAAATTGTTCACTTAAATTGTGATGAAACTAAATTTAAAGGGAAATTATTAAAAACAAACTTTCATGATTTTAAACAACTTCCATCAACTGCATTGTTCGTGAAGTTAGGAGAAGGAGAAATTATAGTGCGACGAAAAATGTTTAGTAAGAGAAAGTTTCAGAACTCACAGCTGCCTTTTTTTTAATTACAGCAAATGTATCTGTAATTAAAAGCAAAAAGCATGCTTTATATAACATAGCATCATGTGCTTGAGCATGTCATTACGGTCGCTATTAAAAGAAAATTCATTGTTCCCAAACACTCATTGTAATGTAACTTGTTGAGAAATGAAAAGAAATTTTTAAAGCATCTTCTATGATTTTCCCTCGTATGAACATAAATTATATCAGCAGATAAATATTTTCCATGGAATGACGCATTTCCATGTTTTTTTTTTGTTGAAACCTTTAAAGAGCTTTAATTTCAACAACATTAATCTGTTCCCTCTTTTTCTTTTTTGCACATGCTTCTGTTCATTTTTAAGCAACACAAGAAACGCCTCTGTGAATCTTATTTCAAAGAAAATTTTATTTATCTTTACGCAGCTATCAAAATATGTGTGAATATTTGTTTTTCGGCTTCTCTGGAATCTAATTCCTTCGCTTAAAGTATTTAAAGCGATGACAAATAGTTCAGTTAAACCTTAAGCATTTCCAAAAATATGGGATCGTGACACATGATAACCATTAGTTAAAGAATGTGCTTACTTCCCTCCTTTTAAATGTCTTTCAACGTAAACAAATTATTGTCATCTTTATGTTTCAATTTATTTAATTGTTGTCATCAACGAATAACCATTTGCATTTCATTTTAAGAGGCGATCTAAGCTACTTAAAAAAACTGTTTTCAACAGTCATGGAAAGCGCGAATAACTTTTGCTTGTCTTTAATTGACACCAACAGGTGTCAGTTAACTTAAACCAATTAAATATTTCTCTTTTCAAGTCACTCAAACTTCAACATGAGAGATTGAATTTATGTTTTAGCTTTCAAAACAACCAGTTGATTGAAACTGTTCTGAATGTAAATGGAGATGAAAAAATATTTTATTTCTCGCAAGAAAAATATAAAAATAAAAAAGCGGTTTCGAATTTCAAAGAAAATTTATTTTGATTTTTGCATCAGGTTTATGGTAAATATTTTAAACGTTAGTTGTATCAACATTTGAGCATACGAACCTGAAAAATGTTTCATAATTATCATAAGAAGCCTTATTACAAACAAAAGATATTCGTTGGTTGTTTTTCTTTTATTATCTATTAAATGGAAACTTTGTGTCGGTTAAATTTTGAAAGAATTTAGAAACAAGAAAATCATGTCATTAATTTCAAACGTTGGTGGGCGATCGTCGCGGAGATAAATTTTAATTTTTCATTTTTCGACCGTGAAATCCTCTTTCTGTTTGTGATGAAACAGAGGATAAAGTGAATTCAATGTCGTTTGCATCATTTAAAATTGTTTACAGAAGAACATAAAACTCGATAAAGCATATGCCCAAGTTTCATCATATGCTCATTATTAAACAACAAATGTTTATGTTCCAAATTGCGCAGCAAATGAAAATGAATTCCATTTGTAAGTTCAACCTTAGCTCGTCCATAATTATCGTGTTTAGCATCTCACAGTAAAGCTGGAGAGTTGTAGCATTGAAAATTTTCCGATTTCCTTCTTTGCTTGTAAATTGTGAACAACTGAAGATTTTTTATGGATTTGAGGAAACTTTAAAATGCAACAATCTGTTGTAAATCACTTCAACTCATGTTCAAATTTGCTTGAAGCAACTTTTTGTTCTTTATTTAATGGTTTTTCATTTATTTTCCATATTTTTATAAAGTTTTGAAGAGCACATTAACTTTTTTATTTAAACACGTGTTTGATGGCACACGACAAACAAAAATTATTAAAATTATGTAATGTTTAAACTCACTGACACAAATTCTTCTTTTATTGCTTTGTTTCTATTTTAGGAAATCTCTTAAGGAATCTTCTTCTTCGAAAAAAATAAGAAATTTGATGAGGGAGACGCTTGAAAAGATTAACATGAAACGAAGATTCTAATGTTGCTTACATAAATGTCATTTTCTTAAAAGTCGAGTTAAAATTCCTTGGAGGTCTTTTCATTTTCTTATCATTTTCTCGAGAATTGTTTTAAAAATAAAAATAGAAGAAGAAAAAAACTTTTGGACCGAAGTTGATTGACAAGATTATTAAAGAATAAGAAAACATGTGAAGCGAAAAACATTGAAACGTAGGAAAAATAACGATTTTGGATTCTCTAAATTGTCTCAAATGATTTTTCACATCTTTTTCCAATGGAAATTGCGTCATGAAGCAAGTATAAAAATATATTCAAATTCGACACATCCATCCTCGTGTTATTCTTCTTTCATGACGTTCAGGTGGAACATTTGTCCCACTTTTCCATTTAAGTTTTCAAATGCCGTCGAGTTTCTGTTTGATATTTTACTCCCCTTCCTAGCCTCATTAGCTGAGTTTCGTCTAAATGTCGTTTTCTAACTTAGAAGACGAGAGTGATTAATTTAAGTAAATTCACCGCGACAGTTCCATGAGGAGAATTCAGAAGTATTTTGACGTCTTTCATTTGAAACTCATTAATTCATCTCATGCATATCCTCTGCCGATTTCAATCTTCTTGATTTCTAATTGATATCAAAAGAAGATTTTTGTCATCCGGATTCATTAAAGATCAATTCGAGAGCTCAAAATTGGATTTGAACTTTCATTTCCTCTCATTTATTTTCATTAGTTCAAGTCGTTCTTCATTTTCTGTCTATAAATTAATTTATATCAGTCACAAACAGAATTGTTGAAGGCTTGCGGTTGACTTTCTTTTCGAGGCTTTTCATAATCATTTTTATTTAATATAAAATCAAACTGAGAAAATGTTCACATTTCAAGTCATAGTCAGATCTGCTGAAAGCTTTTTGGGTCAAGTGGTTGTTAATTTATAACGTTGTGCTTGCGTGTAGTGTAATTCAAAAAGCAAGCATATGAGTGATTTAATTCAAATGAGTCTTCATGAGATGTTCACCATTGAAATACATGACGAGAGTCTTCTTTGATGTAATTAAAATTTATATATAGCGACGATATGAAGACAAGTGCCTCAACCCGATATTAAAAGCGACTTATAATATCATGTTTGCTTATTTGAAATGCAGCTTGAAAGTGTTTTCTGCACGGCATGCATGAAAAACTTTTGAGAAAATTTGTTATACGAGCTAAAGCATCTCAGCTTAAGATCATTGAACTGCGAAGGAATATTCGTTATAAAATTAGTCATCGTTGCTTGTTGCTAAAGCTTTGTCACCGACGAATATTTACTTCAAGCAAAATAGACGACATTTGAATGTCAACTGCTTCACTAAGCTACAAATTGCAAAAGAAAAATTATAAATATCTACTAAAAAAACGTGGACGACATTGTTGATAGTTCGCTCATACATATTTTTCACTTTATGGCGTTTTCAGACGCTTGAATCTCTGCGATGAATCATTTCGAGTAAAATGAAAATTCTGGATGTTTGACTTCAAAAGCAAATTTAATTTGATAAATTGATTCAAGTCTTTCTTTCTTTTTTTTTGCATTTGAGTGAATTCTTTATGTTCACCTCGTGTATTCGGTTCGCTTTTTAAAAAAATCTTTTTCATTGGCTTCACATTTCCATTCCATGTAAAGTTCTACTCCATAAAAAGTTTATCGTTTTACAACCGTGCAGAAAAATAAATTTCACTTCCGTACACTTTTTTTTCGCTCTCCTGATGAAAGGAAAACTCGTATTTTATCAGACGAGAGTAAGGATAAAGTTTTGTTCATTTTTGCAAATTGAATACTACAAAAAATTTCTTTTTTCTGACGAATAAATTTTTTTTATTTAAATTTTCAATCCGAGACAACGTCGAATGCTGGAAACCATATTTTCAAAAAGTAAATTTCATGTTTCTCTCTATTTACTGACATCAGCTTCGAGACATTGAGTGAAAAGTTGTACAACTTTCTGAAATGTTAGAGAATTTCATATTTCAACGTTTTTTAAGCAACAGCGGAACGTTCGTGCGTTGCTTTAAGAAGCAAAAACCACTTCGACCGATTATTCAGCTGTTCCTGAGTTATCTTGAACTGCTTATTAATGAACAAATCTTTAGATATTTCTGTAAAGTTCTAATATTAACGACTTAAATGTCAAAGGAAAATGCCAATGGTTTATTGACACTTCAAAGCAATGAAAACAAATGATTCCCTTGTCAACACTCTCAACACTATATTTCAACGAAAGAGATGAAAAACAGAATTGAAAATATTTCGAAAAATAAACCGCAAGAACTTGAAACTGCGGTGAGGGGCCCTTATGACAAAAACATTAAACAGATCTGTTGAAAATATTTAAGTTCGCTTTTTTCGTTACAACTTACAAGATTGAACAGTAAAATAAGAACAAGAATGATGAAGAAAGATTCATCTGAACTTTAATCTTATTTAACTCAATTCATTCGGATGTAAATCACCTCAAACATAAAATATTCAAATTAAATTAGTTAATTAATTTGAGCATTGGTGTATAAAGCTCACTCGAGTGAGTTTAATTTTCAATTTTGAGTCGTGTAGAATCAGCGTAAAGAAAAAGAGGTTTACAGAAAATTTATGCATGCTTGTATATGAACGAACTCATATTTTATGTAGGAGTGAGGGTGTGAAATTAGCATTAAGGGTGAATTACTCTCAAATGTTGAGGCACGAGCAGGCAGCATAAATTATTTATAAATCGAAACTTTACACCAACCATAACGATGTGAATAAATATGAAATCAATTTTGTCAGATTCTCACAGCAACAGCTTAAAGACGTTCAATTACCTTATTCATTTGTTTGATGTCGAAATTCCTCTCACTTTGTAAATTAAATCCATGAAATTTCTCTCTGTATCCGAAAATATTGCAAATAAATTGCACAATATTTTGTTAAAATGAAATATCTTCTCTTGAATTATGTTTCTTTATGCTTTTGATTTTATTCTTGTGTTACGCATGGTAAACGAATTCATAAAAAAATATATTTCAGATATATTTTTACACATTTATTATCTATTTATTTTTCTCTTTTCTTTATTTTATTTTCCCATTCACTGATTTTTACATCATCCACCCACAGACATTATTTCGTCATTTGTGTTGGCATTCAATTGATTTCAATTTCACTTCGGGCATCATGGAATAAACGGGACTGACAACCATTTTATTTTATTTTATTTTATTTTCACTCTCTTTTATGTTACTTTGACAACAATTATCTATTTATTGTTCAGAACATTATTATGTTTGATTGTTAAAATCTTTCTGTTTCGAATCTACAGCAAATGTTCATCATTAAATGTAAATTCTAATCTCACTCGTTTATTTTATCTCGTTATTTTGTTCTTCAAGTGCTCAATAGAATTCTGAATATTTTAAATACGAAATGATGATGCTTTAAGTCTCTCGAAATATTTATATTTAGGACGGCTATTTAATTATAATTTTCTTCAATTATTCAACCTTCTTAAAGTTAATTAAAACAATTTTCTTCTCACAACCACTGTAATTTTCTTTTTCTTCCATAAACTGAAAACCTTTCACTGGTTAATGTCACAAGATAAAATTTTACTTTCTATTTCTTTTTTTTCTATTTTGTAGACACAACATGATTTATTTATTAAATATTATTGTTATTTTCCTTTTGAAATTTTGCTACAAATGTCTAAGTCAAAACACTTTTCTTCTTTTTTTTTTATTATTTCACGTTCGTCTTCGTATCGTGTTGATTATTCGCGACTTTTCTTTCGAAATATTAAGCATGCTTTTCGTCCTCCACGCCGGAATGGAATCACATTTTTCATCGTCCTTCGAAAGTTGTTTCTCTTTTCTATCTTTCCCTCTTTGATAATTACATTTTTTTCCGCTTGAGAGATGATGTCAAAGGCTATTCATTTTAATTTGTTATTTTCTGAAATATTCTCTTTTTCCTTTTCGACACAATTTATGAGTTTGCAAATTTGTTTTCAACAGTCCTTGTGATATCAAACAATTCATTCATCTTTTCTTTTTATTTTTATGTGTTATTTACACAACGAGATTTTTCCATAAAATTTTTCACAACCACTGATTCAGATGATTGATAATTTACGTTTTCGTCTTCATTCTTTATTTTTTTGCAGCTTAGCTTTTTTAAAATGTTATTTTTCTTTTCTTCTTACTTGCTGTGAAGATATCTGCTATGTACAGGAATGTTTTATTCCTAAGCTCGTCATTATTTATTTGCTCAATCTTGTTCTTTCGTCTGCGATCATTAAAAAAGAGTTCTTCAACTCACTCGTGTGTGTGAGTTTAATTGCAAATTAAAAACATGTCTGGAACAATGAAAGAGAAGACTATAACAGAATTAGTTCTTTTGATCTTTAAATTGTCGTTTCTAAAAGGGCTGATAGTGAAACTTGAAACATCAAATGAAACGTCGTACAAAGAACATTTCAATCATGAAATTTTAAAGCTACATATATGAACCGGTGAAGCGTTTCCTTTTCCATTTTGAAGACAGGTTATCATGTATCTAGCCGTAACAATTCAATACATGAACAATATATTTCAGCGAGCGGGAAAACAGGAAATATGACCCAGTTTATGGGATAAAACTTTGTGTTTTCTTTTCAATTCTATCTAAAAGATCGATAATGTAAACCGAGGGGAAATTTAGAATTGCTGTGATATTGAAAAATTGCTCAATAATTTCAAGCGTGCATTAGTTTTGTCACTGTTAACGAGGTGATGTATAAAAATAACATGAAATGTGACACAATTACTTTTCGCAAAGGCATTAAAAATCAATTTCGTTGATTGCAATGAGCTTTAAATTCTCATTTTCCTGACATAATAAAAATTAAATGATGAAATTTCACTTTATAAATATCGCTCAAATGACACTTCGTTGTAGCTTATTAGATAAAAGTCTTTATATAGACAAAACGAGAGAAAATTTTATTTACCATCGAATTCTTTTCTAAAAAAATATTTCGCATTATTTTTCTGTGCGAGTTTTGTTTTGAAATATTTTCTTTTATTTTAGTCTTGAGCACTTTTATTAGAACTTTCAAAATTAATTTTCATCGCTTTGAATTCTTTTTTAAAAACAAAATTCTGCTTTACTTGAATAAATGTCTTGATAAAACAAGAACACACACGAATCAACTGCACGAATTCTGACCAACTAATAGAAACAACTGAACGGAATGGAAAACTCGAAACTTTAACCCATCGTGACATGGAAAATTTTCCTTCGTCTTGTGAGATGAGAGCATAAATATGTAGAAATTCACTATTACATTGAACGAGATGTGAGTGGAAAAGCAAATATTCTCGCAGCATCACAAGCTTCACGCATGCGAAAACTGATGGCAAACAGAAAACATGATGATTCTACGTTGGAAAATGAGATGAAAACTTCCACTCGCTTTTCATTTTTCGATGAAAATTCTCTCTTTTGTTTCGGAATTTTCTTTCTTCTTCATACATTTTTTCCTTCTAAGATTTGAGCATCAGGAAAATGTGCCTCTCGTTCGATGTTTTCATGTGTCATATAAAAACTTGACTACATCTTAAACGAGATTAATATCTTCTATTTTTACTTGGATTCAAATCTTTTTTCTTCTCAAAAGTTCAAAGTGACAGACTGTCGATGTAGATTTATGGTCGTAAATTGTCAGTTAAAGAGAATGAAGTTTGAAGTCTTAATGCTGCTGTTGCCTTCAGTCAAAGCTATGACCTAGTGACCTAATTTCAACTTGTGTTCTGTTATTTTTTCAGAGCACTTGAAGGTAAAATGAAGCTGAATAATCCCATTTAGGTATTTCCTTCCTATATTTTCAATTACAAATATTTACTGAATCATGTAGAAAATAAAATGTTCATACATGATGAGAAAATTATTCGAACGTAGAATAATTTCAATAAAGTTAATCAGAATTCAGAATTTCTTATGACATTCTCACTCATCCTTCGATATTATCGTTGTCGTCATGGTAACTCTCATCAAACGATGTACATGTGGTAGATGCTGTTTGGAATAAATTTATGTTTTATGTATGTAAATTTCAATTTTAATTTTTTTTTTCCTCTAACTTATCTTCTTCTTGAAAACAAGGAGACATTTCTGATGACACAAAATGTAAAAGAATTCTTACAAAATGACAAGAAAGGTTTTTCCATTTTAAGTCATTACAATCGTACAAAATTCGAGTTTAAACCTTCAAGTTGAATTTTTGTTTACGAGGATTTTTAATACAAACATCATTTGAATGAGTCAGAATCTTGTTAGTTATTTTATATATACAGGAAAAGACTTCGTTTATTTACGAACATTTTTAAAACAAACTTTATGAAGTAATTAGAAATTCAAAACTTAATCTAGTTGATTTAACTTTTAATGTGCGTAGATAATTGTTCGTAAGAAAATAATATTTTCATAATGTGTGTGTTTATCGAGCAAGAAAACAAATAAATGCTTGAAACATTAAGGAAATTTATTTACATTTTAAGATCCCACGTTGATCAAGTCAAGTTGAGATGTGACATCATTTACAGAAGAATGAAGTAAACTTACGTGTTAATTATAATGAGAATAACATAACATTTACGATGCAGATAGTCTAGTTAGAAATGACTAAGACTTCAAGGGATGTCGCTGCGTAATTTCAATTGACGGAAGATGCAAAATATACCTAATTGGAATCGAAATCAAATATCTACTAACACAAATGATGATAATGAGATGAAAAAATGTGGTCGAGAAGGAGAAAAATGAGTTGGGAATTTAAAGTTTATTTTGGATGATGGCCAAGAAAAATTTGTGACATCAATTTTCATTTCACATGCTTCTTTCTATTCTTCACAAGAATGTTTTGTCGTTTCCACCAAGCAACAGCAACGAGATGAAAATGATATGGTCAATAAAAAATCACGTTATAGCTTTTTTACAACTGTCGACTTCAATAAAACGACTCACTCACCCTTACTTACAGTAGTCAAAGGAAAAAACTCCATAGAGATCATAGTCAAAGTTAATAACGCGATAAATTCGATTCTAAATGTGTGTAAGAAACTTAAACGATTAATTTAAAGTCGTTTTGCTCACAAATAAAATCTTGTATCAACAAAACTGAAATTTGTATTGAACTTAAACGTCATGTTTATTATACATTTTTATGTTATTATTAATAATTCTTTACTCACTTTATAAAGTTATAAAGAAGATTCACGTAACTATGTATTAAAAGTAAAAACAAAACACTTAAATAAAGAATTATTGTAAGCATCTCCTCACCGACCTTGATCCATCGCTTCAAGGGATTTTAATTAATCTTAATCATGATTCAGTTGTTTTATTATGCTTCAATAACAATAGTCTCGATAATCCTCGTAATACAATGAATTTTTAATGTTTAATGATTCATTCATCTTTGCTTCCCTTCTGTTAACAACCGGGAATATGAGAGGAAAATTGTACTTAAATAAGTATTTGAATGATTTGAAAGAAAAAGAAGAAGATTGAGAAAATAATGACGAAGGAAATTGCTTATGATTATTATCTTTCCTGAAATACATCAGCGATATTGAAACATGGATGTAACGGGGAAATCTATCAGCATTGATTTGTCGAGAAAGCTTTTTTGCATTTGCGCATTTTCATCAAACATTTTGTATCAATCAATTATCAGATGACAGAAAGCAATGTCCACATGTCTTTAATAAATATTTTCTTGTTTACTAATATTTGAGGCAAAACGATGAATCAATTTAGAAATTATCCATCATTAATTCAATCTCACAATAATAAGATGTCTCGTTTGGTGATTAAATGAACGACTTGACGATTGAACAATCTTCTTTGCTTTTGTGAAGTGAACAAAAACAAAAATTTTAATAATAAAATTAAAGCTATATAAAATTGCATAAATTTTTCGTAACATTTAATTATTTGAGACAAATTTTCTGTCTACGTTTTTCGCAAAAATATTTTTGGATCATCGCCAAGACTGTTACAGAGAGCGTTTAGTTAATTTTATGAAAACAATTCTAAAGAAGTTTTATCTGAATGTTCGCATGCTGTTGCTGAAATTACCTTGTTGCTTATTACACATTGAATTATTAAAGACTCATTCAACATTGGATTCTCTTTTGGGTTGCAAGATAAATAATGGAGTAGCGAAATGTTTTTCACAAAGGTTGAAAATATTCGGGTTCGTAATTTGATTTTTATTTTAAATCTTAAATTTAACGAAAATTTACATCAACCTTGTTAAATGAAAGCTGATCATAAACATGTTTAAAAATAAAATATTTTGATTACTCGACACAAAGTTCAAAAATATTTTGAAGGAAAAACTAAGAAAATTCCATTCTCAAGCTTCGAAATTAAAATCTTTGAGTTTCAATTATTTTCTAATTACGTGCCATCTTGAACTCAAAAACTTTAAACTAATTCTAGAAAGTTTTATTAAATAGTTTTAGTGGCATTCTCATTGCTCTAGCTGCACGTTCATTCAACTCAAATTTGATGTCAACTGAAATTAAAGAATAAGAAACACTCAATTAAATTCTCTGGAATGAACTTTAGAGAAATGAAACAAAGATAGAATTGAAAACATTTCTAAAGCTAATTTCAGTAAAGAAGCTACTTAAACTTTACGGTGAATTGAAACTACAGAAATTTTAAATGACACTGAACTGATATTGAATAAGTTTGGCCAATTAGTACCTAAGTGACAAAGACATCACAAATTAACTATGCTATTACTCAGTGGTAATAAATATAAAATAATTAAAAATCGGAAGATACAAAGTTTGTTTAGTAAGTAAAATCGAAAGTTTTTCCTGCAAACCGACAAACAAATGGCAAGAATCTCATGTGAATGTCTTCATTACTTAATGCTCGTTGTGCAAACAACATTAAAAGATATTATAATAAGTTATTAAAATTCCGTTAAGTGTCGCTCGACTTTTGTTGTCTCTTGGAAGAGAAGGAATTTCTAAATAGCGACTAATTATCACTACTTACATTCATTTAAAGATATTTTTCTAATTAGATAGAACAGTTTACAAAACTGGAAGATAATAATTTATTTAATTATAACATTTTGAATGAAATTGCTGTTATGTTAAATTCATTTTTCATCCTTTTCATCTTCAGCAAAATGGAGTCGCTTTTGATTCGTAAAGGAATTTTTAATTGCCTTTTAAATAAAAGTTAATTTGAAAAGAAAGAGAGCAATTAAAAGCAAGTTAAATTCCATGCCCAGCAACAGTGGTCATCTCAAGATATTTTTAAAAGCGGAAAAGAATTTTAATTAAAATTTACTCTTAAACCCACAAAATGCTGAAACAGCGAATCGAAATTCTTTTTATATAATAAAGCAAACCTTTATTTATTTTCCACCGCCATCATAAAATTCCTTCATGAATTTGATCGAAGACGTAAAGACTTGTTGATGGTATGAAGAGAAAATTTTTGAAAAGCTTCTTTTATTCTTCATTTATCGATTTCAATTCTATCGCGAAATGTAAATGTTTTACAATGTATTTATTTGTTTCGCACTTCCCTCCCAAGACATGATTTCGTGCAGCAATATCAGATCGAAATAAAAATTTTCTTTCACGTCAATAAAAAACGAAACTCATAAAGCGACTGATTTTAAGTGAAAAAGGTCGCATTCGTGAGTTATTTTATGTTTTCTTGTTTCCCTTGAGGGAAAATGATTTTGTCAACAGCAATAAAGCTCAGTTGTAGAAGAATCTTTAATTTTTTATTCAGCCATCGTGTCACATCATAAATATTGTTATCAGCTCAAGGGATTGAAATCAATGAAAACTCTTCAATGATATTTTGATAAAAAATCGATCCTTAGCTCGATCTACTGATTTATTTAATTAATAGAATTAGTGGATTAACCATTGACATCAACTTAAGTCAAATATTTTGATTATTTTGAAACGCATGAAACAAGCTTAAAGAATCTTCGAAATTTTTTTGTTTTCTTTGGTTCACTTTCAGAATTTTCCTCATTAGATGAGCCTCGTTTATCTTGATTTTCTGTGATGTCGGGAGTTATATCAACACTGACATCTTCGACTGAAGTTTCGGGCAATGGAATCAAATTATCGGATGATGCATTGTTGGGATCAATAAAGTCAGTTTGATTTGATATTGCCGATATATCACACTTATTAGTGAAATGATGTACTAATTGACTTTCAGAAGCAATCTCTTGACTTCTATAACTTTTAAGTGGCCCATTAATAAGAAATTTACGTGAAGATGAAAGTGTTTGTTGTTGATTATAACTTTTTTCACGCTCCTTCAATTCTTGCATTTCTAATCTCAGCTCATCAAAAACCATTTTCATTCTTGCTCTGTCCATTTCTAATGAATAAATTCGTTCTTCTTTCTCATGACAGCTTTCTTCCAACTCCAGAATTTTGATGTTTTTCTTTTCAAGTTCCATGATTAAATCACTGTCATCATAATTTTCCTTCATTACATGATGATGTGTTGTGTCAGTCGAAGATGGAATATTTGCAATCGGCATGGATTTGTGACGAGAAAGTTTCCTCCGCTTATCGTCATCTTTCATGCTTTGAATTATTTTTTTAACCTTGCTTTCTACATGGTCGTACTTTTTCTTTGGTAGTTGAAGATCATGGCAAGAAATTGATTTTTTCGTTTTTATTTTTTCAGGAGGAGGAAGAATTATTTTCTTTTTACTCTTTTCAGTCGATGCGAATGAGAATTCAGGATGGCCACATTGACTTGAAGATGGATTGCTGCTTAAGTTTGTGGCGTTGCTTACACAAAAATCTGATGAGAAGTTTGAAAGATCAAAAGCATCTGTGAATGTATTCCTGTCATCGTAACTGTTGTCGTCGTTTAAATGAATAGGGAAAGTTTCATCAGAAATCATCTTATTAAGATTAAAAGCAATCTTGACTGGAAGGACTCTGAAAAGATTTTATTAAGATAATCTCATTGAAATTTCTTTTTTTCCTTTCCTTTACCGCAATTGTTGAACTAATGTTTTAACTAAAAGTTTGATACCTTTAGAAAGAAGCGGTAATATCATCAGAACAAAGGATTCAAAACGTCTCACAAGTCAGGTTTTGAGCTATGTTTGGTAAGACTTCAAATGCTTCGAGTAATTTTTATATCCTTTCTTTGACTCGATATCTGTAAAAAGGAAATTAAAATGAGAAGAAAATGACAATGAATTGCAACAAACTTCTTTCTTTCACGTCACAATTCTCTTTGAAGCTTTCAGACAAAGAATCTACGTAACAAAGAAAACAAAATTAAGTGAATCATTACAGAACTCTTGTAATTAAACTTTAATTATAATTCATTTGTATAAAAGCTTTAATATTTACTAACATTTTGTCGGTAGAAATTAGATTTAACTTATTTTTCTTGCAAAATTTAAATTGGAGCAACTTGTTTAATTTTTATGGGTTAGGATAAAAACACCATAAACAACAATAACACGTGTGCGTGAAACCCTGAACTTTGCACCTTTTAAACAGGGCTGAGAGGGGTGGGACATAAAACTTCGAAACTTAAACAACAAATGAGTCAAAATATTTTAATTCGTTTGAAATCATCTTAAATTTATTAATTATCATTAAGCAACCACTTTTAGAATCAAAAAACTTTTAACAATAATAATTTAATGTTCGAATTTCAACTTAATTTCATTAAAGTTGTATGACATTGGTCTTGTTAAGGTAATACGAAAAACTGTTTGCTTTTATTCTGATGAATTTGAAAAGCGTCCTTTTTTTAAATCGTGATAGGACTGCAAATATGATAATGAATCACTAGGCAGCGAGTAGCTTTTGTGTCTTTTATTCAGAATTTGTTGTTCACCATGAATGTCATTTATCACGATGAATATGTACGGCGCATATAAACAAACTTATGTGATTAAATAAATTTAATAGTTAAACAGAAATGAGAAACTTTAAGTTCTCTAATGATTTAAAGCAAGATTCAGCATTTTTGTATGCGACTTGAATGTATAATTCACATCATGAGATATAAGAAGAGTAAATAATTCTTAATTTACGACATGATGTTGTGAATTTCAAACTCAGATGAGTTCTTTGCGTTATTTGAATGCAGGTAACGTTATGTCAATGTAAATATCGGTTTAAATAAATAAATAAAAGTAATTGAAAACATTCAATATGAAGCTAGAAAGAAGGTTGATTTTATGTTGAATTTAATTACAACTCTCTTGAGACTTTCAAAAGAAATATCTATGAAAATATTTTGTATATTAAATAAACAAAACGACGAAAAAGAATTGAGAGAAACTTCTCTGAATTAATATTTTGCATTACTCCTATTTGGAAAACAATCTTCTGCTTTTATTTTATCACTTTTATTCGTTCTCCTTCCCATTGATCCCTGCTCGAAGCTTTACGTTTAAATTCTGTTAAAGCTTCTCTCCAAAGTGCTTCTCCGTGCTGGTTTCTATTAAGTTTTACTTTCTCAGTCATTTATATGCAAATCTGAAAAAATCACAACAGTAAGCACTCCGCACTTCATAAAAGTATAAAAGACAACGTGTGACGGGAATACATAGTTCGCGAAGCGAAAAATCTCAAAGACATTTGCTTATGTTGAAGAAGTTTTCATCTTATAGTGTTGACTTCATGAGAGTTGACATAAGAAACTAAATGGTAAAAATTTTCTCACATCACTCACATTCAACACAAATCTGAATCACAATTATCTCAACTTTCCATTATTCCAAACATTTGTTTTTATAATTTGATGAAAAATCTTTCTAAGAAGCTTCAGAAGAAAGGAAAGAAAGCAGAACTTATTCATTGTTCTGTCTTCACGTTTACTTTTTCTACTTTTCATATAAAATAAGATAGAGAAAAGTAAAACAAATGACAATAGATACTGATTTGCAGTGTGAAAGGGCGCAGGGTGAATGAATCAACGAATAAACTGATTAATGACCTTCATTCGTTACATCAAGAATACAATCAGCAAACCAACATTCAACAAAGAAGTAGAAAAGGGAGAAGACAGTCAGTAAAATACTTCGGGCGATATTTCAATCATAAACAATGAGGAAGGAAAATATTCTGCATTGGTAGAGTCAACTTTGAACTAAGTAAAGACTGCTGTGGTTTTTTCCTTCAAGGGATGAGGAAATAATTTTAATTTGATTTCCATTTCTGTCGTTATGAACCGACATGGAATTTCTCACATTTTTCCTTATTACATATTTCTCTGAGGGATCAACAATCCAACAATCAAGCGATGTCGTTATGGAAATGAGAAAGAAAACAAAATATTTTTGCGTCATATTTTCATTGAGTTTTGCATAAATTTTCATGGTAAATCAGAAAATGTTCACAAATGCTTTTCACAAACTTTTTTTTACATTATGTTCGAGCTTTAAAACTTTTTTTTCAATTATTTTATTAATTAAAAAAATTTATGATTAAAAAATGTTTAATAGGAAGAATTTTTGAATACATCTCGTTAAAGCTTAAGAACTAATCAGAAAAGATTTCATCGATCAGAAATATTTTTGTTATCAATCTTTTTAAGATTGTTGTTGTTTCCAATTCTTCATTCAATCTTATTCTTCTCAATTTTTTAAATAGAATAAAATGTTTAGTCTTTTTTATGTAAGACATATAAAATGCTTTCTAAGTTTAGAGCCTGTTAAAGATAAACACCATTATCGTTATACGCAATAAACTCGAGTCCTCTTAAGAATATATAACAAAGAAGACGATGGAAAAAATGCTGAAGCGATAAGATTGTTTTAAAAGAGCAAAAAAACGTTTTCGGAGACTCAATGTGGATAAGCAAATGTAAAAGAAGATTCATGTTTTCAAATATAAGCACAAGAGTAGAAGTGTTTTATAAATTATCTTTTCATCGGCAGTCTCAGAGTTTTTCTTCGAGGGATGTATTGATACAATAAAAATAGATTTTCGGGTTTGAAAGAATTTTAATGTTAAACGAAAATAAAAAAGAAAACTAGAAGAAAATTTGTTATTGAAGTGAGAAAGGAAGAAAGAAGAAAAAATGGAAGAAAGTCCATAACAAAGCAAATGCGAAAAGGGAAAAGGTGTTGAACTTTATTTTAATGTCCATTAGAAGTTCCCATAGCCATGAAGAAAGTGAACTTGGTGATTTATTGCGGAGAGGAATTGAAATTCCCCATGGTTCTCAAAGCAAGAATGGCAATGGCAGAAAAAAGAAGGAGAAGTTCATCAACATAAAAAAAAATGAGAAACAGCCAGAGTCAAACTTTTCCATTAAGACATGTTTAGAAAAGAAACATTCAGTGTTTGCGTTTGAAATCTCGACGCAGTTTGATTCAAATTTAATGGAAATTAAGGGTTTTCCTCCACTAATATCCCTTTTATCCTTTCCATCATGATTTACCTTCATCATCTACCCAATTTATTTTCTCAAACCCCAATATATACAATTTTTCTTTCTTTTCAGAAGGAAATCAATTGTGGAAAGCCAAGAAAGGAGAATTGTTGCATTAAACTTCTCGTCATCATCGTTGTAAAAAAAATCAATCACTTGCCAATCAAATCAATCAATTTTGAAAGCATTGCTGATATAGGAAGCACCTGTAGGATTAATATTTTCGTATTTATGTGATGTGATTAAAAGGAATTCTGTCATCATATTGACATATGTACGACGTTCTCTGATATATTTATTTATTTAGTTCTTCGAAAAACTTTTCCAGAGATGGATTGAAGCCCGCTGATGCTGTATTTAAGTGTCTATCTCAAGCTATATCTAACATCAACAAATGAAAGTTGATAAATTTTTTATGATCATCATCAGAGTCATGAAAATTTTTTATTTCCGTTTTTTACGATAAAATCGATTTTACATTCACTATGCTCAACTTCGTATTCTTCCATTCTTTCTCTTAAGAACAATTTTTTGCAATTTTCAGCAGGTGCGATGTGGGAACAATGAACATAACTAGACCAGAAAAAAAGGAGAAGAAGTAGAAAAAATTGAAACGACTTGATGTCGTTACGATGGTTCCAATTTTATGTCGTCATAGTGAAAAGTTTACCATTTTCATTTTATATTGGAAAACTTTTGCTTAGTTGAGGGATTATCTTTCGATTCATTTTTGTGGAAACGAAAAGAAGTGATAGAAAAAGTTGAGTCAATAGAAAAAGTTTCAGCTTGCTTACGGGCTTAGTTAATTAATTGAATCATTTCGTGTTCGGTCGTGTTCTTGTTGTGGTGAGATGAAAATTGGTAGGCAAAAAATCGATATTCCCTTTTTCTAACATTTGGTTTTGGGTTTCGCAATGAATTAAATTTTCACAAAGTTCTTTATTGATTATAGAAAATCTTTTTGTAGTTTCGAAACTGAATAAATGAGAAAAATCTTTACGAGTTACTAAGCGACCGTTTCTAACGAAGAAGAAATTTTCAAAATTAAGTGAATTAGGTTTGTCAAAAGCTTTATCAGGCAACCTTCTTTGACTTATCATTAGCTTGCATAACAATGTTATTTTGAAGCTTCTTTTCTTTGCAAATAATTGTTGTTCACTTACACACATGTCTAAGAATGTTTTCAATAGATGACATTAGTAACACAACAGAAATGTTTACACTGAAGGGAGAAATCATTATTTTCATTTATGTATTTCTATCGCATCATTAAAGACATTTATATTGACGGATGTCAATGTCTTTTCAGAAATAATAAATATAAAAGGGAGAGAAGCATCTCCAAAGCTTTATGGAGAAGCAGTCTCATTAAAAATAATAAGACGACAATGATGATGCTTGTTGTGCTGTTGATTATTGATTGTTATATATATTTATGTACATAAACGGATTTATAACGAAGATAACAATAGTAAGTTAAATAGTTTGCGAAGAAATATTTCTCAAATGCTTCTCTTAGAATATTTCGAGAAGACATAAATTGTTGAGCAGGTGCTGCATTGCATGATCGTGTATAAAAATAAACATCAAGAAAAACAAATTTCTTATTCCCATCTTCAACTTTTCTTTTAACTGCTCTCGAAAAACTATTCAAGAGTTTTTCAACACGAGCTGAAAGCACTTTAATTTTTCTACTCGATTTAACAAGTTTCTTATTTTGTTTTATCTGTCGAGTTACAGCTGAATGGACGCTTGAGATTTATATTTATACTGCGAGCATTAGAGTGAAGAGAGAAAGCAGTCTAGTGCTTTGTGTTGTCTTGATTGGAGTCTAAAGTTGATGAAGCAATTGCTGGAATGGAAATTTTAAGGTTTTGTTTAAACTCTTAATGAAATTACTTTAAAAGCTTCTAACTTAAAGCCACCAACACCGACCAAATTTTTTTTTTCTTAATTATATTTGTTTCATATTGTTCAACTTGTACAACATCAAGGTAATTATCAGTTTTAATTTAATTTCCTTCGTTCATTTGTGATGCTGGGAAATTAGTGAAAAATGCATTTAATGTGTTAATATAATTATTTAGCTTGTGGAATTGCCACCGTGAATTTAATTGCATGGGTTGGGCGCGTTTTTCAGTAGAAAGCAAAATAGCAGTTTTAGACGTCAACAAATAATAAAACGTCAATTACAAGCGGTCGCATTTTCCGTTTCGCCATTGTTTTCTCAATTTATATTCTGTTGACTGAAATTGCATTTTGGTTTGTTACCAATGAAAATGCGAGAGAAATTTTCCACCTTGTCTTAATTGCTTTCCATTTGTTTGAAATTCGAATTTTCACGAAATTGTAAGTGTATGGTAAATAAACTTTACAACCCTTTTCAGAAAATTTTCAATAAACTTGTTTATGTTTTATTACAATAGTTGAAAGATTCAAACACTTACTTATGTACATTCAAAGACACAATCAAAAGTTTTTTGATCCCAAGTTAATTTAATTTGCTGATTGAGTAGACAAACCCTTGATCAGTATGAAACTAAAGTATGCAAAATACTTATTTTGATTAATTTGGGATTTTATTTGCTTTGCATCCCTCGTTATCTGAAATGAGAGAGAGAGAGAGAGAGAGTGAGGGAAGGAAAAACGATGAAAAATATAAAATTCAGAATCATTCACTGAGATGAAAGAACGTCATTATAGATGATTTAACTGAATTTTAAGCATTTTCATTACTGAAGTGGTGACAAATTGCTGGGAGGATACTTTCTCGTTTCAATGCTGAATGTTGAGAAGTCAATTGAGGTGTTCCGATTCATTTTTGGGTCACGTTGCTTGAAGGAAATACTAATGAAGCATGCTTTGCCTTGTACAGCAGAAATCATGAACAAAATTTTAACATTTGATTTTTCAAATTACCTTGTTCAGCTTCTACTTAGATTTTCCTTGAACAATATTTCTACCCTTCTAAGTCTAGATGGAAGGACCAACATTAAATCAAATCTTATCAAAAATTTCTTTTTTGCTTCTTAGAAGTTTTTGGGTTGACAAATATTTACATCGTTTTCTGATAAAAGAAAACATGCACAAGGATGGAAATCAATATTTTCTATGTGAATTTTCTTTCTAGCAAGAAAAGCTTTCGAAAATACTTTCTTGGATTTGAACAAACAAACAAACATTTTTAGAATGCCTTAAAGGCAGGTAAGTAAAGCAATAAACATCAAAAGGGGATATTCGAGCAAATTTATCAGATTTTGTTTACATTGATTGATCAAACAGACATGCTTCGAAGATAAGCTTAGTTATTTTGCCAGGGAAATTCTTAGACTGATAAATTTTCGAACACTCAGATTTACATGTTTCAGGTGTACCTTCTAAACAACTCAGCTTTCAATTACAAAAATTTGATATCGATTTATGTTATTTGTCACGTCTGGATAAAATACAAAACAAACATAACATGCAGCTGATACAAATGCTTAATCTATTTCAGATTCCATCTTTATATGCATGACCAAATGAAAGCAAAGTTTTTGGAAGAGAATGAAGAGGAATGGAAGAAAGATTTCATTGAAAAGATTTCCGTGCCGGGTTATAAGTTTCTGCCTGAAATGACACAACAAAGATTCGTCAAGACGCATTTACCCTTTAAGCTGCTGCCACCGAGTATAATGGAAAAGCGCGCCAAAGTCGTTTATGTAGCGAGACATCCAAAAGACGTCGTGGTTTCATATTATCATCTCAATAAATTGTATCGAACGCAAGGATATGTCAACGATTTCAATACATTCTTTGAATATTTTACTAAAGATTTATGTGAGCTTTCAACCATTTTCCATTTTATATTTTTTATTTTTTATTTTGCATGCTTCATCGGGAAATTTAAAACTGTCGTCTTTCTCCTTTCGCATTTCCATTCTTACAGTACATTGGAGCCCTTACTTCGAACACATTAAGGATGCTTGGAGTCATCGTCATGACGAAAATGTTTTATTTCTTTTCTACGAAGATTTGATCAAAGATTTGGAAAGTTCTCTGAAGCAGCTTGCCTGTTTCCTGGGGAAGCCGCTAAAAGAAGAACATTTACCAAAACTGCTAGATCATCTCAGCATTCAAAATTTTAAGAATAATCCTGCCCTTAACGGAAAAGATTTAATAGATGTGAAAGTTCTTGCAACGGGCGCTCAAGGATTCGTTCGCCTTGGCAGCACAGAGAAGAATAGCGAATTGACAAGTGAAATGTCTCAAAAGATTGAGAAATGGATTGAAGCGAATTTAAAGGATTCCGATTTTAAGTTTAGGGTTTGAAATTTATTGTTGTAAATATTTTTATTTTGGAAATTCGAGAAAGGCGGCAATGAAGCTACAAACATATCTATGAAGTTTATCAGTTAATAAAGCGACGATGTCGACGTCGACATTTTTCTTCTTTAAAGTTTCAAACAATCTGCTGTGCTTATTCATCAATACATCCACCTTCATCCTTCATCACCGACAACATCAGTTTTATTCGAGATTGAAAACATTCTCAAGGAACTTTAGACTTTGAAAAGTTTTCGTTTCTTTTCTTCATTTTTTGTCGTCGTCATTCTTTTATCGATTTGTCTTCAACGAACGGTTGGGTTTGCGTGTTTCCAGGAAATGAGAATAATTTTATCTTCAATATATCATCAGGGAAAAATATTGAGAAAGATTTATCTCAATTCAAGCATGTGTGAGTGTTAGTCGAGTATTGAGATCGCCTCGAAGCTGAAAGAAAAATGAAAGAAGGTAAAGAATGAAGTTAACAAATTACATTCCATAATTTCTCTCTCGATGTTTGCTTTGATGCATTTTGTCTTTCTTTAGATCCCATTTAAAGTTACACCAACAAAGGGATTAAATATCTTTTTTCTTTCAAGTAGAAAACCGCCAAGGAAAATTTTATGGTTCTTATTTAAGGTTCAAGAATTTTCGTTGAGTTAGGAAATTAATTGATTTAATAACATTAATTCTTCAACGGTTTAGGTTTTGTTTAGAGGTTTTGAGGAATTTAAATTATGGGCAAAAAGTTAAATTTTATATAACATGACAAAGATGTTGACAAGAGTAATGAAGAGATATTAAGGCATGGCAATGTCTTTACTCGAGTAAAAACTTTACATCATTTTAATTAAAATTGCCTTGAGTAACGTGTGTTGAGTTTACATAAGCATAAAAATATTTTCTCTGAATTTATAAATTTGTAATTCTTGTTTTGAAATCAACATTAAAAGATAATTTATGTGCTTCTTGTGAGGTTTTATTTAAATCTTTAGTAAATACGAAGTTGAGTTAAATTCAACAAATAAGAATTGGAAATATTCTCAAATTTTTATTCAAAATGAAGAATTTTACAGCTCAATTCAAATTATGAATAAAATATTTGTTATTGAACTCAGAAATAGTATTTGAAATGTTTAAAATTTAATTACGATAATGGATCATTACTGTGAACGAGCAGATCTCACATGCATTACGTGACATTCATTACAAATCCAATTCGTTTATGTTCAAACAAATTGCATGAGAGTTCTATGATAATAACTTTCAATTGCTGGTCATTATGGTCCATTCATAAGCTTTACGTTTTATGGTTGCCCATATTCAAGTTGTAGCCTCTGAATACGTACAGGAAATATCATTTAGTTAGTAATTTTTATACTTTCGAATTTTGCATTATTGTAGAGTTTCACCAATGATTCGTTCAACAATAACTTTCAGATTATTGTTGAGTTCGTGGTTGAATTTTTTTTAATAAATAGAAATCATGTTTGCCTTTTTCGTTGGAAAATTCATATTTCAACCTCAACATCCGATTATTCAATAATTGATTTAAACTTTCCATACAACTTTTTTCCATCTTTCTTCCACTCCACTCATGTTTACAGAAAAACTTTGTTAAACTGAAAAAATGAGAAATTGGAGCGAGAATAATTTAATAATTTTCAACCAATAAAAATTATTAAATCATTCGATTATTGAAGTTCAAAATTTTTTTTTAAAACTTTGGTATTCGATTGTTGATTATATAATTAATGCTCGAGCATTGAATGCATCGTCTAGAATTGAAATATATTTATGTTTACGTCAGCATAGGAGTTTTTTATTGCTTTAAATTCAATATGACACGTTCTGACTGATTTCACGTTGTCAACTCATTGCTAATCAATAGTGAGTTGAAAAAATGCCGAAACTGCTGTCACGTTTAGTAAGTTTTTCCAGCCTAAACACCAACACAAATTGGAGGTTGTTTCAATTTAATTTTAAAAAAAGAAATGAATGAATTTGTTAATGTTAAAGTTGTAACTAGAAAATTTAAAAAAAAATCAATAAAATTTAAAATTTCCTTCAAGTTGATTAAAGGAAATCACGAGAAGTCTTTAGAAATATTTAAAAGATTCATTTTTGTAATTTACGTACATATAGAAACATACAAAAGTTAAAAACGTTGCTTTTGTTTCTCATTCGCGAAAATATAAAAATAAAGCTCCACGAATTAACGATAAGATAAAAGCACAATCTGAGAAATTTTATATCGTAATAAACGAAAGCTGCTGATTTAATTTTCAAAAGTAATTTCCTTTTTATTCAAGGTCTTAATTAAAAGTCATGAAATATGCTTTACAATCCCGTGATTGAATTAATCCAGGAACGGTGTGAAGAAATCTTGAAAAGAAAATTTAATTTTAAATGAACTTAAAGCAGAAAAAATATTTTAAAGAGTTTCTTACTCTGTCATAGACATCGGGGACTCCACGACCGCATGGAATATTCCAGCTGACAATTCCGTGAACAACGTTGTTAGAAACAAAACCACCCCCACTGTCACCTTGACAGAAACCTAAGAGAATTCCAAAATTTCAGCTTCTTCACTTGACTAATAAAATGCTTGACTTACCTTGCCCGTTTCGAGTAAATGAACACATTTTGTGATCAAATACCAAACTAGCAGCTCTCGTTTCGCCAGCAGCATTAAAACGATTTCGACAATCTGCATTTGTAATCGAAGTTGTTTGGAACCATCTCAGTTGGGTTGTAGGTTGCCCTCCTGTAGCAGTCGCACCCCAACCAGCAACATTTCCATTAACTCCACCACCTAATTTAATTTAATTTCATTAATGAAAGTTCTTTTAAAGTTTTATGTTCATTTTCACCCAAAAACGCTGATCCCATAGCAACCTGATTAACAGTTCCAGAGAATACAAAAGTTCCTGCAACTTGTGTTAGTGAAATGCTGGAAACAATTAATTTGCGCTTTTTGTAATGAAATAAATTAAAACATTTTCTTTAACTTCACAAACTCACTCATTAGCAATTGTTCCTGCATTATAATTTGGATGATTGACAACTCGACTCAGAGTGAATTCAGTGCCACCAGATGAATGATTAATGGTTCCCACAACAACTCGGAAACTGATGATTAAATCACGATTGATAGTGCAATGAGCGGCTGAAACAACCCAACGCTGTGAAATAATTTTCAATGTCGGATGCAAAGAATTAAATTAATCAAATAATTCTTACATTGGAAATGATAACACCACCGCAGAAAAACAATCCCGCAGGTGTTCGGAGGGCTGCTTGGTATGGAAATTGTCCCAGACTGGCAGCACTTCCCCCAACAATAAACGGATCTGCATCAAGAATATCAAGTCCAGTTAATGGAAGCGGATATTCTGAAAGATTCTCCGAGTTCAAATGAACTGAATTGGTAATGACAACCAATGAAAGAACAACAAAATCGACTTTTCCGAGCATTTTGCTTCAAACGAGTGTGAAATAAAATTGCTTTGTAAGGAGTTTTTATAGTCAGTGCAATCTTAAAAATATTATCAGTGATTATCGGTGAGTGACGTTTCATTTGATTTAAGCCTTTAATACTTGAGTATTTGAAAAGGGAATCGATAAAATCAAGTTATCAAAATTTTAAATGCAGCGAGAAGAATCTCGAAGAATATTTCGATAAAGGCAAAAATTATGATAACATAAAAATACTTATAAATAATATAAATGACGTGATAAAGACACGCAACGTTGATGAGAGAAGGAAAGAATGATAAATTATTAAAATGTGTTTATGTTTAAGTGCAAGCATAATTAATGTTTCGTATTTATGTATCTTGTTCATTTCACAAAGAGAAATTTTAATTTTCAGCATAGGATGAATAAATTATTTAATTTTCTTAACAGCAGCTTCCCCTGAATGAAATGACAAAAAAAACGTAGAAGCTTTCTGAAATGGCATTAATTAAATTTTTCATTTCTTCATTTCTTTCATGTACTTGAATGAAACGCTTTTTATAGCTTTTTGCAAGTGAATTGAAAACAAAGATAAATAAAAAGAATTCTCATATAAATTTATGTTTGGTTTTATTTCTTGGCATAAAAGATCAAACACAAAGCACGAGCAGTGTGGAGGGTGGTGAGAGAATTCCAGGAAGGAAATGAATGGAGAGGGATTGATAATTTATAATGAAGCTTAAATATAGCATTAGATGCATTTATTTGACATATTTAATGGTCTTTGAAGATAGATATGTATTGCATCCAAGCAACAAGCAATTTAAATATGACCAAAATGTATTTCAAACTTGCATTCATTTTAAGCTGAGTTTTGCTTTTTATAAAATATGCTTCGTAAGATAAAATTCTATAAAATTTTCTGCATGTTTTAATCGCAAATTGTCATAGTCACGATTCACAAACCGTTGTTCGAACGTCACTTCACGGCTTGATAACTTCTGTCAGAATGTTACACTCTATGAAAGAGAATGAATTTATTGTCTTACGCTTTATTAAAATGTCATCTACGTATTCGTTTTCAGTAGAATAGTTGAAAGTTTAAGTGTAGTTATTTATAGTATTAAAGCATGCTGGTAACAATTACGACAGAGTAAACTTTTGACGACATTTGTTTCACAAGTTTCCAAACAAAACATTTCAGAAATTTGGACACTTTACAACAAGCACAGTAAAGCCACTTTGTCATTCTGCTTCGATAAGCTTCGTATAAGTGGTGACTCTATCATGAAACTGTTTTGGAATTTACCAAAATTCCTTCATTTTTCTTTGAATTCGGTTACCTAAAATCAATTTGGTATAGAAACATTCAGCTTGTGAGAATAATGTAAAGTTTATTAATTCATTCAAGTATAGTTCAAAGATTCTATTTGCCCTTCAGCCACATGAAAATAGTATTTAAATATAGATATCAAAGCTCCTATCATTAAAAATAAAAATAATTGTGTAGACAGAACAAATCATTTCTGAAATATATTGCTGAGTATTCAGTTGCAATGCGATTAATTAATTATAATCACAGTTATCCTTGCTTTGTAAATGATTTTTTAATTTATCATAAAGAAAAAAATATGAAATAATTACGGAAAATGTCGGTGACTTTATTATTCATGAAATGGAAATGAAAAAGAAAATTACAAATGTTATTTATAGCAACATTACATCTTTTTTAACTTATACATGTGTAACATCATTAAAGAACCTTCCCCAGAATTTTAATTTCGTTTTAATTAAAATTCATGCTTAGTAGCTTTTGTGAGTTCTTTTTTGCTTCTTTCTGTAGGTGTATAAAGAAATGAGTCAAAGCATTTAAAGCGAAGATACTTCATTTCAGACTCATGTTTATTCATTCAACTATATCATTTGCTGTTAGTTGTATTTAAAGAAATATAATTAATCAAAATTGTGATGAATCAGGTATGCAGATTTGCCTATTTAAACTTAAAGAAAAATGTGTCAAATAAGTTAGATAACATCAATTTTTGATTTGATGGAAAATTAAACTTTTGTATCGATGTCAATGTCAAAATCTATCGTCAAGTGACATCAATGAAGATTATTTCAGCTTTCAAAGCATGACCTTTTAAAAATGTTGGATGAACGACTTTAAGATTTCAGGATTAACATTACAATGGAAAGCACTTTACGACTTGAACGCTCCCTTGATCTCTAACTTTTCCATCACAATTCAATGAACCATTAAAAGACGATTTGATGTCAAATGAAGTGAAAACATTCATTAATAACAAGGACGGAGAAATTTTGTGCCTTTTTTGACCATTAATTTTCGTCACAATTCATCGTAGCTGACATCAAATCTTTTTGCAATGAAATGTATAATGAAATGAAATAAGTGAAATGCTTTTATGACCCGCATTTTACTAATGAGATGACGACAATACGCGTAAGATTGATTGTAGAGCATCTATCAAAAAACATAAATTTCCTCTTGTTTTTGCTTTATTTATATAATTTTTTTCCTTCACGATCATACAACAATACATCATAATTTTTTTAAGTGCGTTTTCCCATAAATAATTCTAATAACTTTTACAAGATTTTTACAACGAGGATAAAATATTTTTACAATTTTCTTTTATACATTTCAGGATTTATTGATAAGGCCCTCATAAAAATTGTTATCCTATGTTGTCATCTTTTATTGTTGGCGCTTCAAGCTTCACAAGATGAGATGAAGACAGTAAAAAACAGAATCGATATTGTGCATTTCTTTCATTACATTACTTAGAGTACACGAACAAAGCTTTTATTTGATTTTATGCTAAGAATTTTTTTTTCATTTTTATTATTATATTTTCGAGTCTTGACAACCTTAAAGCATCGAAACAGTTGTGAACATGGAAAAGTTTTGCAACATAAGTTTAATAAAACTACATTTAATATAAGTCTTTGTTTCCTGAAGGAAAAACTTGCGTTGCAAAACCACCCACCAAGTTGCATTTAATAAAGGTATAAAGTTAACATGTGTACACAATCTTTTCAAAACTAACTTTGCTTGAAGATCACTTAACTACAAAATTATGCAAATACCTTCCTTTTATTCCTTTAGCTTGCTCTAGAGAGAAATTCGTTTTGATGGAGAAATCCTTAAGTGGCTGTTCGGTACAACGGTTGAAATCACAATTCATGTTGTGAGAACATAAAGAAATTAACATTAAACATTATGGTGTAGCTTTTGCTTCAACATGATTACATATGTTTGTATGAATATGTGTACCTTATGCTCATAGCATACATTCATAAGTTCATTTTGTCGATAAACAGAGAAGTCATATTCTGCTTTCACTTAAAAAATGTCATGAGATAAAATGTTGATGTTTATTCTTTGTACATTTTTGAAATAAAGAATGAAAAACATTGAACGTTATGCATGACTACGTTACAGTCAAACCTCAATTTAAATTTGATCTGATACTGCAGAAAAATTTAGAATGACAATTTAATTAACTTAATAAAAACAACATTGAGAAAGATTTTGAAAACCTTCTTACTTTTATCTTGACACAAAATTCCATCTTTGCCTTTGATTTGCTTTTCCTGATTGATATCGAAATATTTTCAATCAACTATTGAGTTTATTTATTTATTTAAGTACGAAGGTAGGACAAAATTTCAATTACGTTAATGACTATCAAACATTTTAGTAAATTAAATTGGAAACAGAAGCTTATTGAGTATCTTTATATTTATTCAAGTAGCAATTGCTCAATTCAATGATTTTCATGGAACCTCAAGCATTGGTAAAGTTTTCATCATGTTATTGCAATAATGTAGGATTCTATACTCAACATTTGAAGACACAAATAAGGAGCTTCTAGAGTCAAACTTGAAGTAAAACAGATGGCTTCAATACTTCCCAACATTTACATTTCCTGATGATATTGAAAAATGAAGGGGGAAAAACAATTTAGAAAAATGCCAAAAGCAGAGGCGAAAAAATATTCAAGTTAAGTTTTGAAGTCAAATTTATGAAGTGCAGAATCAGTTTAAGCTTTAAAAACAAGGAAAATTCATTATCAAATTGGAAATTCCATAGAAAATAAACAGAATTTTGCAATATGAGAATTTTTACAGTTCATTTCACTCTTCATCACAACATGTGCTTGTCGCTATTTTTAAAGGCAGCAAAAAACACAAACAAAGCGAATGTTCCAAAGTGCACTTCAACTCAATCAATTTGATTAATGGACCCGTTTTACAACAAAAATAGATTAAAGGGTTTAAAGACTTGCGATTTTTCATGTTATCAAATTCAAAATGAGAGCTTTATAAAGTTTATAACAATTCAAATTTTGTAATATCTTCTTTATAAGTAATCTCGAAGATAAGAAAGAAGTTTGAATAGATAATATTCTCGTTAAATCTTTGCAAGATCTCAAAAGCTTCGAAGCTCGTTATTTTCTATTATCATTTATTCATCAATATGAGATTGAATATATGAGTAAATCTTAAGTTGTGTAAAAAGGGTTTTAAGAGTTTGGTTTCTTCATCATAAATTGATTGAACTTCACTTCAATAAATAGATACTGCTTTTCATTTTGATGTCTCAATAATCATTCTCGAGAAAATCTTTAATCACAACATAACAATTTTGCTCATACAAGGAGAGATTGAAGAAAAAATCTCATTAAAATTATTTATTCACTCCCAGCATTTAGATAAGATGTACATCTGATCTATAAAAGATTTTAAAGAGAAAAAAAACTGTTTACGTTGCTGAAAATGTCGAGCGACTTGAAATTGATTATTATTGCAGCAATTGTAGAGTAATGAGAAAAAAAATCAATTTACTTTTTTTCTCTTCATCATTCAATCGGGAATTTAAAATTGGAGAAATTGATATTGAAGATCACATAAATGGAATTTCGTTTAAATCCCCCTTTTCATCAATAGCAATTTCGTTCCTCCTTCTTTATTTAATTTGAATTTTAATAACACACTTTGGTATTTAATGAAACTTTAATGTCGGAAATGTATTTCAACAACATACATTTTCGAGAACAAAACCGTAAAACATTCCAAATTTTTGCATTCATTTTAGGTTCTAAAACCTTTTCTTGACCACAGAAATGAAATTTTGGTTAAACGAGAAAATGAAAGGGTTTATTTCAATTTGTATTTTAAACTTGAATGCTAGTAGTGTGCTGAGGAAAAAGTACTTTTTGATGACTTAAATTTATTCAACTTACATTAATTTTTGAGCTCATAAGCATTAATGTCTCAGCCCTTTTGGTTTTAATAAATTTACAAGATAGAAAGGATAATCACTTTCACATGTGGGTTGTGCAACATAGACTACATAAAAATAGATTTAAGCATAGATTTTCCACTTGCAAACTTTATAAAATGTAGTAAGGGAAACATCACCACATCACCTTCTCAATAAATAGAATGACGAGGAGATGAAAATGAAATTAAGGTTTTAAGGGTTTAAAAATATTTTCTTCTTCATCTTAACTTTTCATACGCTCTTCAAGCCTTTATTATGTTAAATAATTAAATAATCAAATTGTTTCTATCTATCGTCTTCCCTTAGCGATAATTTCTCGTTTACAAAGCATTGAATAAAAATCAATAAAATCAACATTCCAATCCCTTGACGTTTTGCTTATGAATCGTTTTAACGCAAGACGCAAGGAAATTCTTCACTGCAGCTGAGTTATGTCTAACACCACATATGTGCTTACATACCTAATTTGCTAACTTAATTACAAGTGTTCCATTCTCTCGAATTAATTAAATTTCTGGTTCTATTGTCTTGATTGTTTACGTTTAACTCTGTTTACAATTTGTAAACAAAAATGTTCCGTTTTAATGAACACTTTAAAATTGTAATGAGATAAATTAATAAGCCTAAGAAATATCTTTTTCGATCTAAATACAAGAAGCATTCATTATGATTTCTCTTCCAATTAAATATAATTTATCTCTGTCAACTTCTCTTGTTACAATATTAAATTCCTGTTACATAAAAATAATTTCTTTGATACTTTATTCAGAAAACATGAACAGGATGAAACTAAATAGTCACGTACAATTTGCTTGCCATTTCCAAGACTTGAAGTTCACCTTACAAATTGTAAAGGCAGAAGACGAACAAAGCATCACGTGACCAAGCCAACTTTTCTGTCTAATATTCCCAAACGTCCCGGAACATGAAAATCCTAAGGAAAACTTTTGACCTATAACTAATTTGATGACTGCGAATATTTCTGTTGTAATTTATTTCGATTCTAAGAGTTCGGGAAATGCATTCAGAGATAACTTAATAGCATGAACGAAAGTCACATTCCATTATTCAAGCAGTAATCTTCTGAGTATTCATTAAATTAACGACTTTAAAGTTATTTAAATTTTATCATAAAACAAGACGTAAATAGCTCCAAGTGAATTTATTTATGGCACGAAGTTAGGATGTTTCTTGAAAACCCAAATGTTTAGGTTAGCAAAATTGCAAAAGTATGCAAATGTCTTGTACTCTCTAGAGCTTCATTTAATGATTTTGTATTGTGTCGTCTCTTATTTTTTGTCATCCAAAGAACATCATTTAAGATTCTCTTGAGGTCCTTGTGGTTGAGAGGAGAATAACAAAAGAGCATGAGCTTGTGTAACAGAAACCCCAATGTTTTCATTTATGCTTTAGAACATCTCGAACCTTAATTGTAAGAAGACTGAACAATAGCCTTTGGGTTTTTACATATGAAAACTAAATTCATAGCGGGATCTACTCCCGACCGTTCCCTCTACGCCAAGCAACAAACTTTGAAAACAACTAAGAAAAAAAAAATTAAAACAAAGTCCACTTTCAGAATTCAAAAAGCGTTTAAATAAAAAAAAGCGTTTCTTTCTTGTTGTGCAATCAGTGAGAAATGGAAAGACTTGTCTCGAATAATAAAACGATTTCTTTTTCACTTCTAGGATTTTTTTATGCTGCCATCTTAAATACGCACGTACGACTCGCTTCCAGATGAAAGTAAATTGAATGAGCTGTCTAAACAGAATAGACAAAGATGTGAAAAACAAGAAAAGGTAAAGAAGCAAAAAATGAGAAAAGTTTTTCTTTTTTTTTTTGTTCTGGGGTAAAGTTAAGTGAGATTTTCGATAAAAGAACAAAATCATAAACTGCTGAAGTTGTTGGGGGACCTTGAAATGTTGTTTAGATTGCAGGGAGAACATCAAACGATACAATCATCATTATGTAACAGCTGCGTTGAATTATATAGATTAAATTAATGTGATGTTCAAGAAAATTGAAAAAAAATTTGAAGTAGATAATCGGATTTCTGATTCAAATTTAAGGGAAATTTAGTAACACGTGAAGTTTCTTTATGATTATTTAAAAAACGAGAATTCCTTGCATGTTTGATTATAATCTTTTTTAATATTCCACCTCGTTCTTCTTAGTTCAACATACTTTTCCTTCTTGTTTCTTCTTGGTGCAATATCACAGCCGCTGCTTCTCAATAAGACACAAATTCTGCATCTCACAGTCTGTGAACCTTCCCAGATACTCACTGATGTGGAAAATTGAATTTTAAAATTAAAACTTGTACGTTTTTTGAAGCGTGATAATTGCATAGGGAGTTGAGTATCCAATAAATAAACGACACTGCAACTCTAAAGAAACATTATTACAGCTTTAAAACATTTGGAGACTTAACATGATGGAAGATCTTTAAAACAAATCAGTGAAAGGAGGATCTTTTGATTCGATTTTTAGAAAAGAAAAGCGTCAGTAATCTTCTTCCACACGATTAAACTAACATAACAAAGCACATCTCTTGCATCTTTTAGTTGAAGAAGAAAAAGAAAAAAATTCCAATATCGAAGAAGAGAACTTAATACGATCGATTGACAATGGATTCTTCTTTCCTTTTTCCAATAAAAATAAATCCATGCTTAGGCTTTTATTTAAAGAAACACGAAGTACAATACTCGATATAAAAGTCTGCTATAAAATAGATGCGATTTTGATAGAAGCATTAGATTGCTTTGAGCTTTATCTGACGTTCTTTCGTCAATGTTTAATCAACCAATTCCTTGGTGAATTTTCAATATAAATTGGAAAACATACATCCGGCTCAGTACTTATTATTTATATAAACGGTAATTCGAGGTAAGAGGTAAATGTAGCGAATCGCTAAGATAAAATATTTAGATTTAAGAATAATATTTAATGAGAATTTCATGAGTGTTCTTAAGCTTTTTGAAGTAAGATTATGGAAGCATGTGGAGCCCTGAAGCACCAAAGCTCAATCGTGTTTTCAATTGCTTTACATTGTTGATAAATCCCGTCGTTACCCTTTAGTAATAAAAACAAAAAAACCGAAAATGATGAAGAAAAAAAGAATTTATTAACAAAATAAGTGAACGTACAACATTAAAAAAATAATTATAATTACTTTCACACCGTTTTTCTTAACAAAAGCATCACACGTGCTGAAGGCAGATCATTGATAACACTCGAGAACAGAAATAAAGAAACATTTCCTGAGATGTTTTTAACTCGTATGTTTATTTATGGAATCCCTCGTGTACCACCTACATTCGTAAAACAATACGAGGAAAAAGGAAAACTTTTCCTCACAAAATGATTATCTCTCATTTGGAAAAGCATTAAAAAAGTTTTATCATTATTTTCCAGTAAAAGGGTACGGCAAACCTGTCAGACTCGTAAAAACTTTTTGCTAAGTAGTCGCAAAAAAAAGCATTTGCTTTATCTCTCACATTCAGAATTAAAGAAAACCATAAAAACAAAGTCATTAAATATTTCCAACGATTGAAAATTTCTCGCAAAGAAATTACGAGCTTTTTTATAGATTTAAAGTTTGAAATTAATTGTTAGGGTTTTTGGTCTGAAATATATCTTGAGAGAGAAAAAAGAAAACTTTCACAATTAAATTTCATGTCTTAAATGGAGATGGAAAGGAAGAAGAAAAATCGATCGATATGAAAACCTTGAAGAAAGTTTCAAACGTTCGTTGAAGCCTTTCGTGAATGAAATTGTTTCTGAAACAATTCCAGCCGTCTGTAAATTTTTATTAGTGAACGTAAATTTGAACTTCATCTGAGAAGTCTTATCAGTCGATTCTTCTTTTTTTTTTGTACAATTCGCACCAATCTCATTATCAAAGTACCAAGAAACAAAAATATTTCGAAAGATTATATTTAAATACGTTCAATGTCAGTCACAGTTTTCTCTTCATTGACTTCAGTCGTTACATGTTTTCCATCACAATGACGTTATTGACGTGCTTTTTTCTAATAACAATATCGATTATTCTTTGTCTTGTTTATTTTCGGAGAAAGTTTCAATATTTCACCAAACGAAACATCATTGGACCGAAACCTACATTATTTGGGAACACGAAAGAAGCATTTTTCAAAAGAAAACACCTGACCTATGAGGTGGGGAAGATTTATGAGTATGTATCGTTCTCTTAACATTTCATGTGTGTCTACAAACATCAATTTTCGGTTACAAGTTCTGAAACGATAACAATTTTAGAGATTATAAAAACAAAGCACCATTCGTGGGTTTTTTCAATTTCACAACACCTTACCTATTGGTCATTGATCCAGAACTGACAAAGCAAATAATGATTAAGGACTTTAAGCATTTTCGTAACAACGAGTTCAGCACTTTAGTGAGCTAAATGAAGATAGATTGTGGATGACCTTTTGATCCCTCGC